ATATGCCCTCACAGCATTATGTACACGAGCTCAATATGCCCTCACAGCATTATGTACACGAGCTCAATATGCCCTCACAGCATTATGTACACGAGCTCAATATGCCCTCACAGCATTATGTACACGAGCTCAATATGCCCTCACAGCATTATGTACACGAGCTCAATATGCCCTCACAGCATTATGTACACGAGCTCAATATGCCCTCATAGCATTATGTACACGAGCTCAATATGCCCTCACAGCATTATGTACACGAGCTCAATATGCCCTCATAGCATTATGTACACGAGCTCAATATGCCCTCACAGCATTATGTACACGAGCTCAATATGCCCTCACAGCATTATGTACACGAGCTCAATATGCCCTCATAGCATTATGTACACGAGCTCAATATGCCCTCACAGCATTATGTACACGAGCTCAATATGCCCTCACAGCATTATGTACACGAGCTCAATATGCCCTCACAGCATTATGTACACGAGCTCAATATGCCCTCATAGCATTATGTACACGAGCTCAATATGCCCTCACAGCATTATGTACACGAGCTCAATATGCCCTCACAGCATTATGTACACGAGCTCAATATGCCCTCACAGCATTATGTACACGAGCTCAATATGCCCTCATAGCATTATGTACACGAGCTCAATATGCCCTCACAGCATTATGTACACGAGCTCAATATGCCCTCACAGCATTATGTACACGAGCTCAATATGCCCTCACAGCATTATGTACACGAGCTCAATATGCCCTCACAGCATTATGTACACGAGCTCAATATGCCCTCACAGCATTATGTACACGAGCTCAATATGCCCTCACAGCATTATGTACACGAGCTCAATATGCCCTCACAGCATTATGTACACGAGCTCAATATGCCCTCACAGCATTATGTACACGAGCTCAATATGCCCTCACAGCATTATGTACACGAGCTCAATATGCCCTCACAGCATTATGTACACGAGCTCAATATGCCCTCACAGCATTATGTACACGAGCTCAATATGCCCTCACAGCATTATGTACACGAGCTCAATATGCCCTCACAGCATTATGTACACGAGCTCAATATGCCCTCACAGCATTATGTACACGAGCTCAATATGCCCTCACAGCATTATGTACACGAGCTCAATATGCCCTCACAGCATTATGTACACGAGCTCAATATGCCCTCACAGCATTATGTACACGAGCTCAATATGCCCTCACAGCATTATGTACACGAGCTCAATATGCCCTCACAGCATTATGTACACGAGCTCAATATGCCCTCACAGCATTATGTACACGAGCTCAATATGCCCTCACAGCATTATGTACACGAGCTCAATATGCCCTCACAGCATTATGTACACGAGCTCAATATGCCCTCACAGCATTATGTACACGAGCTCAATATGCCCTCACAGCATTATGTACACGAGCTCAATATGCCCTCACAGCATTATGTACACGAGCTCAATATGCCCTCACAGCATTATGTACACGAGCTCAATATGCCCTCATAGCATTATGTACACGAGCTCAATATGCCCTCACAGCATTATGTACACGAGCTCAATATGCCCTCACAGCATTATGTACACGAGCTCAATATGCCCTCACAGCATTATGTACACGAGCTCAATATGCCCTCATAGCATTATGTACACGAGCTCAATATGCCCTCACAGCATTATGTACACGAGCTCAATATGCCCTCACAGCATTATGTACACGAGCTCAATATGCCCTCACAGCATTATGTACACGAGCTCAATATGCCCTCACAGCATTATGTACACAAGCTCAATATGCCCTCACAGCATTATGTACACGAGCTCAATATGCCCTCACAGCATTATGTACACGAGCTCAATATGCCCTCACAGCATTATGTACACGAGCTCAATATGCCCTCACAGCATTATGTACACGAGCTCAATATGCCCTCATAGCATTATGTACACGAGCTCAATATGCCCTCACAGCATTATGTACACGAGCTCAATATGCCCTCATAGCATTATGTACACGAGCTCAATATGCCCTCACAGCATTATGTACACGAGCTCAATATGCCCTCACAGCATTATGTACACGAGCTCAATATGCCCTCATAGCATTATGTACACGAGCTCAATATGCCCTCACAGCATTATGTACACGAGCTCAATATGCCCTCATAGCATTATGTACACGAGCTCAATATGCCCTCACAGCATTATGTACACGAGCTCAATATGCCCTCATAGCATTATGTACACGAGCTCAATATGCCCTCACAGCATTATGTACACGAGCTCAATATGCCCTCACAGCATTATGTACACGAGCTCAATATGCCCTCATAGCATTATGTACACGAGCTCAATATGCCCTCACAGCATTATGTACACGAGCTCAATATGCCCTCACAGCATTATGTACACGAGCTCAATATGCCCTCACAGCATTATGTACACGAGCTCAATATGCCCTCACAGCATTATGTACACGAGCTCAATATGCCCTCACAGCATTATGTACACGAGCTCAATATGCCCTCACAGCATTATGTACACGAGCTCAATATGCCCTCATAGCATTATGTACACGAGCTCAATATGCCCTCACAGCATTATGTACACGAGCTCAATATGCCCTCACAGCATTATGTACACGAGCTCAATATGCCCTCACAGCATTATGTACACGAGCTCAATATGCCCTCATAGCATTATGTACACGAGCTCAATATGCCCTCACAGCATTATGTACACGAGCTCAATATGCCCTCACAGCATTATGTACACGAGCTCAATATGCCCTCACAGCATTATGTACACGAGCTCAATATGCCCTCACAGCATTATGTACACGAGCTCAATATGCCCTCACAGCATTATGTACACGAGCTCAATATGCCCTCACAGCATTATGTACACGAGCTCAATATGCCCTCACAGCATTATGTACACGAGCTCAATATGCCCTCACAGCATTATGTACACGAGCTCAATATGCCCTCACAGCATTATGTACACGAGCTCAATATGCCCTCACAGCATTATGTACACGAGCTCAATATGCCCTCACAGCATTATGTACACGAGCTCAATATGCCCTCACAGCATTATGTACACGAGCTCAATATGCCCTCACAGCATTATGTACACGAGCTCAATATGCCCTCACAGCATTATGTACACGAGCTCAATATGCCCTCACAGCATTATGTACACGAGCTCAATATGCCCTCACAGCATTATGTACACGAGCTCAATATGCCCTCACAGCATTATGTACACGAGCTCAATATGCCCTCACAGCATTATGTACACGAGCTCAATATGCCCTCACAGCATTATGTACACGAGCTCAATATGCCCTCATAGCATTATGTACACGAGCTCAATATGCCCTCACAGCATTATGTACACGAGCTCAATATGCCCTCACAGCATTATGTACACGAGCTCAATATGCCCTCACAGCATTATGTACACGAGCTCAATATGCCCTCACAGCATTATGTACACGAGCTCAATATGCCCTCACAGCATTATGTACACGAGCTCAATATGCCCTCACAGCATTATGTACACGAGCTCAATATGCCCTCACAGCATTATGTACACGAGCTCAATATGCCCTCACAGCATTATGTACACGAGCTCAATATGCCCTCACAGCATTATGTACACGAGCTCAATATGCCCTCACAGCATTATGTACACGAGCTCAATATGCCCTCATAGCATTATGTACACGAGCTCAATATGCCCTCACAGCATTATGTACACGAGCTCAATATGCCCTCACAGCATTATGTACACGAGCTCAATATGCCCTCACAGCATTATGTACACGAGCTCAATATGCCCTCACAGCATTATGTACACGAGCTCAATATGCCCTCACAGCATTATGTACACGAGCTCAATATGCCCTCACAGCATTATGTACACGAGCTCAATATGCCCTCACAGCATTATGTACACGAGCTCAATATGCCCTCATAGCATTATGTACACGAGCTCAATATGCCCTCACAGCATTATGTACACGAGCTCAATATGCCCTCACAGCATTATGTACACGAGCTCAATATGCCCTCACAGCATTATGTACACGAGCTCAATATGCCCTCACAGCATTATGTACACGAGCTCAATATGCCCTCACAGCATTATGTACACGAGCTCAATATGCCCTCACAGCATTATGTACACGAGCTCAATATGCCCTCACAGCATTATGTACACGAGCTCAATATGCCCTCACAGCATTATGTACACGAGCTCAATATGCCCTCACAGCATTATGTACACGAGCTCAATATGCCCTCACAGCATTATGTACACGAGCTCAATATGCCCTCATAGCATTATGTACACGAGCTCAATATGCCCTCACAGCATTATGTACACGAGCTCAATATGCCCTCACAGCATTATGTACACGAGCTCAATATGCCCTCACAGCATTATGTACACGAGCTCAATATGCCCTCACAGCATTATGTACACGAGCTCAATATGCCCTCATAGCATTATGTACACGAGCTCAATATGCCCTCATAGCATTATGTACACGAGCTCAATATGCCCTCACAGCATTATGTACACGAGCTCAATATGCCCTCATAGCATTATGTACACGAGCTCAATATGCCCTCATAGCATTATGTACACGAGCTCAATATGCCCTCACAGCATTATGTACACGAGCTCAATATGCCCTCACAGCATTATGTACACGAGCTCAATATGCCCTCACAGCATTATGTACACGAGCTCAATATGCCCTCACAGCATTATGTACACGAGCTCAATATGCCCTCATAGCATTATGTACACGATTGAATTGTTTGCATGCTTTTAAAAAAAGCCCGGGTCTACAAGGTGTGTATAAGGTGTGCGTACGTGCAGGTGTGTTTTAACGTAAGCGAGCACAGCAGCCCTGGCGCTGTATCAATGAATCAAATGGCGTGTTTTGTGTCCGCTTTCCTTCAGTGATCAATTGCCCTCCGCCTACTCCGATCGAAAATGGTAATGTGCGGACATTCACGGCGACGTTTCAAGTCGGAAGTAGAATCCGGTATGAATGCAATCAAGACCACCGCCTTGAGGGACTACCAGAGGCTACTTGTGAAGCAGATGGAAAGTGGTCTTCAGACCCCCCGAGATGCATTAGACGTAAGTGTATTGTTGCTACTTAAAACCAAAGAAGGTTTGATATTTGCATGCGACACGATTAATGGACTCTGAAGCCAAAGTAAAGGTTAAGGTAGCCCGTGGCCAATGGATGCTATTTGCGTAGTGGCCAATGGATGCTATTTGCGTAGTGGCTAATGGATGCTATTTGCGTAGTGGCTAATGGATGCTATTTGCGTAGTGGCTAATGGATGCTATTTGCGTAGTGGCTAATGGATGCTATTTGCGTAGTGGCTAATGGATGCTATTTGCGTAGTGGCTAATGGATGCTATTTGCGTAGTGGCTAATGGATGCTATTTGCGTAGTGGCTAATGGATGCTATTTGCGTAGTGGCTAATGGATGCTATTTGCGTAGTGGCCAATGGATGCTATTTGCGTAGTGGCTAATGGATGCTATTTGCGTAGTGGCAATGCTGTACAGTAATACATAACTTACACAGGATTGAATTGCGGCATTGCTGGGTGGAAAGGAGAAGAAATGTTTGAAGTGTGCACTAAGTCTTGCAGTATTGCTCCAAATGAATTCGCATGTATTCAAGCAGTTTGCTTCTCTCGGGAAATTCAGTGGTAGTATCTGATACCATGACAAAACGGCAGCCATGCCTTGTGAGGTCGCTTTGTGCTTGTCTACCACGATATAACTGAATTCCATGTCTGATTAGCAGCAGCCTCATGTGAAACCACAGCATCATTATAACAGACACGTATTGACCGGAGAAGAATGAGCTGAACTTAAGTGGTGTCTCCTAACTAAGTTTCCATTGTCGGCTGCGGAGTTATGGCCTTTGGACACTTCTTCTCTTTTTCCAAGTGAAAATGAGCGTTGCAAACGCGACTGTGTATCCATTTTGCATTCTGTCGCAGTGATTTTGTTCACATCCTAGCAACACGCATGCTTGGCAATGGTCAGGTATCCAACTCAGGATGATAGGTCGTAATGTCCTTTCACGTCGTCATGTTGCTTTCCAGCACAGTGGCCGGGTTAGCCTAGTGCCATGTAGGCTAGAATGATTTTGTTATCTCCAAACGGCGAAATGGACAAGACATGGTCCCAGCAGTATTTGTCCGTAGTCGCTAGAAAATCCTTTCAGCCCAGCTGGCAAATGCATACATGCTACGACCTGGGTTAATGGGTCAAGGAAACCGCGCCTTGTGATTGTAATGGTGTAATGCAAAAGCACCCATAGTCGGATCACAAGGGGCAGGAGGTGTTAGAGACCATTTGTTTATAAATATCAGCATATAAGTTAGAGGGAAGCCCTCTCTCTCCCTCTCTCTCTCCCTCCCCCCCCCCCCCCTCTCTCTCTCTCTCCCTCCCGTTCTGTCTCTTTCCTCTCTGCTGCTCTCTCTCTCTCTCTCTCTCTCTCTCTCTCTCTCTCTCTCTCTCTCTCTCTCTCTCTCTCTCTCTCTCTCTCTCTCTCTGCCTCTCCAACCAAAAGCAAGTAACCTCCTGGAAAGCGGGAATTGCCTTTGCACGTACACACCCCGTATTGTGATACGGTCAATCAAGAATATCCTGTACAAGAACACATTAATGTGCATGTGCCAATTGCTCACCACTCCTTACGTTTTGAAGTGCACAGGAAATGAATAATTTGGTTCTGCACACTCCTTAAGGTACGCAAGCTCCACTGCAGCCACTTCATTACGTGAAAAAACCCTACACACACCATCCTCAAATGAAGTGGTCTCTTTGCTGCAAATTACTAATATCTCAATCATATTTTTGGCCAGGAGCCATCATCTGGATCAATCCTGATGATGGCTCCTGGCTGAAAATTTGATTGACTCGGATAATACCGGTAGTAATTTGCAGCAAAGAGACCACTTAATTTGAGGATGGTGTGTGGAGGGTTTTTCATGGTTCGGTGCACGTTCAATCAAAGTTTTGCAGCATCCGTGGATGAATGGAGTTTCTAATGTAGAGTGCGAAATAATCTTATTTTACCTTGTAGTGCACTTGCAATACTTCCAAATATGGAATACTCCTTTCTTTTCAAGCTCACCAATACACACACGATTGTTAGTAGAACATGTAAAGCATGCTGCCCGCTACATGGTGGAGTTTGCATCAACACGTACCGGCCGGCCATGTTAATCTGTGGGGAAACAGTGCAAAGAAGCGGAGCCTGTGTTGTCTTGGTTTCACTTTTGCAGTGGAAGAGCCTCAGACGCCGTGCGAATCGGATCCCTGCCTGCGTGGCATCTGCGTAGACCTGGTGGATGACTACAGATGTGAGTGTCCCACCGGCTACACGGGAAAGAACTGTGAAACATGTAAGTGTTACTGGTGATGTGCAAGCGACATACGCACACACACACACACACACACACACACACACACACACACACATACACACACACACACACACACACACACATACATACATACATACATACACACACACACACATACACACACACACACACACATACACACACACACACACACACACACACAATTCACACTCGTCTGTTTGGTATTCAGTCTCCTTTGAGTTATGACAATCCGAGACAATACAGCGGACTGAAGGTAGTGTTTTAAAAGCATGTTGATCTGAATGTAGCCGTGCGGTTACATTACCACGAGTCACCCACGTACATGTACATCATCTCTCTTTTGTTCTGTTGAATATGTGTGTGTGTGTGTGTGTGTGTGTGTGTATGTGTGTGTGTGTGTGTGTGTGTGTGTGTGTGTATGTGTGTGTGTGTGTGTGTGTGTGTGTGTGTGTGTGTGTGTGTGTGTGTGTGCATGCACCCATTCTTAGTGATCAGCTGTGGAAATCTAGAAGAAATTGAAAACGGCGCAGTTGACTACAGTTCCACAACAGTCGGAAGCAGGGCTGTGCACACTTGTAACGCCGGCTATAGGATGGTGGGTGACAGCCAGGCTGTCTGCCAGGACACCGGAGAATGGTCGGAGCAGCCATCGTGCACGGTCATAGCCAAGGGTCAGTACAGGAAATGATGCGTTCCAGGGATCATGCATATTGTAGATACAGACCTGTTTTGGGGGCTTTTCACCGCTTCATGATCGCAATGGCAAGCATGTGTTCAACGATGCTGTGAGCCAAATGCTTGACTGATGAGACTTGACACCTGTTACACAGTTATCTGTCCAGGGGTTGAGTTTCTTTCTTTTTTGTGCATGACATTGCCAACAGAGTACTGACCACTAACATAACAGGTATGATAATGCCAGCTTGCCTGTGACAAGACTGGCATACACCTTGCAAATCATTAAAGGGGAAGTTAAGGCAAAAATTAAAATTTCACCAGTTGTAGTCTTCGGGGTGCTGAGTCGAATGGTCTTGGTCCGAGAAAGCTGAGACGCTCCCTTCCTACTTGAATCCCAATCGAACTCGCGCACTTCCACCGAAACTGGGTGACTGCGCCCTACTAGATGGGGATTTGTATGCAAAATCTCACTAAAAGCGCCATTGCATTCTTATAAAAGCACGGATGACCGCGATTGGCCCATATGTTGTAGTCTTTTGGACGCTGAGTCGACTGGTTTTGGTCCGAAAAGGCTGCGATGCAGCGTTCCTCCTTTATTCCAGATCGAACATGGTTGAACAAGCGGTCACGTGCTCCTGCGTACACCAGTCACCTGGTCACCGTGCCTGCAGGGTACAACTTACTAGCCTTTTTGACCTTTTTTGGGTGCACTCCTGTCACTCGAGTTGAACCTTGGTGTGAAAGTTGTCGCCTTCTGGCGTGGTGACCAGGTGATTTGGGCACCCAGGAGCACGTGACCGCTTCTTCAACCATGTTCGATTGGGAATAAAGGAGGAACGCTGCATCGCAGCCTTTTCGGACCAAAACCAGTCGACTCAGCGTCCAAAAGACTACAACATATGGGCCAATCGCGGTCATCCGTGCTTTTATAAGAACGAAATGGCGCTTTTAGTGAGATTTTGCATACAAATCCCCATCTAGTAGGGCGCAGTCACCCAGTTTCGGTGGAAGTGCGCGAGTTCGATTGGGATTCAAGTAGGAAGGGAGCGTCTCAGCTTTCTCGGACCAAGACCATTCGACTCAGCACCCCGAAGACTACAACTGGTGAAATTTTAATTTTTGCCTTAACTTCCCCTTTAAGATGTAGGATGGCAAATCGGTACAATTGTTGAGAGAAAACTATATAGCTGATCTGGCAGATTTTCCTGTGCCACTCTCATGTACGACGAGCCTATTTGGCCCGGGTTATTGGTCTGCAATCATTGCTGTGTTGAGGCGTTTCTGATATCTGCTGTATTGTTATTGTGCCATGTGCAGCCCGCAACTGTCCCTTGCCCAGAGGTATCTTCAATGGACGTGTTACATACACTGGCACTACAGCGGGAAGCAGAGTGAGTTGTTATCACTTATCAGTTACTCGCCATCAACTGAGATGACAACAAATTCCCGTTCACGCAGAATATGTGTGCAGTACACCTGTGTACAATGAAAAGACGGTGATGAGGATCACGCAAACGTCAAATTTGACGCTCTTCACTTTTAAAGAAAATGTAGATCAACATTGTACAGTCTACTCCACTTCAGTCCAGCGAACTCGCACATAGCGAATTTCGTCATATAGCAAACCATTGTCCATGTCCCTGTTTCAACCCATACAAAATTGACCCTTTGAAGCGAACCCATTTTCCTTTATCACGAACCATATCTCGAAGGGCCGCATGTAAACCAAGTGCACTCATACATTCATGGGCTACATACCAGTCACTACTTTCTGCTTGCATGCATGGTGTGAGTTTATCTCTGTTATAACGAACTTCGGCTATGAAAAAAACCTCGTTCTCCTGCACAATGGTGTTGGTTATGTCTGGAGTCGACTGTAGTTTCAGTATCACTGTTTCTGTTTCTGTTATGCTGGGCTCACAATGGTGATTATACACACACAAACAAACACATGACTTTCTATCAATGAAACTTTTTCCTAAGTGTGTTGTCACGCACAGGATTCACTGACGGACAAGGCACTTGTTAGACCTACGTGTACATATAGGTTGGAAACCAATATGAAACATCGCAAGGTGTGACCACCAACTGCTTTGACCTCCATCTTTTTCTGTGCTCCTTGTTCATCAGATTCGATACAGGTGCAACCGGGGATTCAGGCTGGTTGGCCGGGCGATAGCCACGTGCTTGGCTAATGGACGATGGACATCAGCTGCTCCCACGTGTCGCAGTGTAGCATCCTGTGGCGGTGGCTCCAGTAGTGATGATAACGGCTCTCGCAGCAGCAGTAGCTGTAGCAACAGCAACAGCAACAGTGATGACTGAAGACCTCTTTGTTTCAGAGCTTAGCAAACTCAGACCGTGAATTTTCTGATTTTTTCACATACACTTTCGTTTTAGAAATGCAACATGCTCTATAATGCTTGTAATCTCAATTCATTTGATCGTTTTGAGCGTACATGTGCTTGTACATTGAAGTAGCGGTTGTGTGATATCGCTTGCACTAACTTAGTGTATCTGACAGGGTTGTAGTCAAGCATAACAAGTCATGTTATATATGCAGTTGGGAAGTGGTTTTCCATCATCCACTACACACCATAACTGCGCTCTCCAACCAACCTCAACACGTTGCCACAGCACACCACCAGCAAAGCGACACATCCCGGTTGGTGCTGCTGCTTACCATTTATTTAGTTGTGAAGTACAATATCAATAATACATTTGTATACATTATAGTAAGCACCACTCTTGCTTTGCTCAGTGTATTCCCCGGGTTGTTACAAGAGGCCGAAGGGAGGTGCACAAAAGAACTTGTTTCCTCTGTGATAGCCTGGGCGTGGTTTGAACCCCTGACCCTGTGGTTCGCCACCTGCGTAGCCTGGCGGGAAAACTTCCGAAAAGAACCGTTTGGCCAGGGCTACATGTAGGTCTACTAATAATATGCTTCAAAATACATGATTATACTTTGACCACCAGACCGTCAAACCGTCACGGATCCCCTCCTACGCCACTGTGTAAATACCATACTAGCTGTGCATCACTGTTATCAGTTGTCTGAAGATTGCCATCTGGCATGAAACTATTAGCTACAACACACCAGACGCGTGGTAGATCTACTCTGTGACTCGTGTGCCGGATTATACTTTGAAGTGCTATACTATCACGGTTCCCGCCTTCTAGACTACAGTAGTCAGTAGCATGTCAGCATGCTGCATTCTTCCGGGAATAGTGGGATGGTCCAGGAGTCCAGGAGTCCAGGAGTCCAGGAGTCCAGGAGTCCAGGACCATGACAGAGAAACAGACAGTACTGTACCTGGTAGAATAAATCCTAGATCTACTTGGAAGCGGACGGGTTTTGCAGCGGTGCTGCGATCCACAGTCAAATGGAAGCTAAATGGCCTGGCACGAGGGCAACATCATCGTTACATGGATGCGGTGAATGGGTTTTTTTTTGGTCTTTGACCACTTCGTCCGTGCGGTGGTGGCTCTGATCTACTCGTACTCACCTACCATAGAGACTAGTAACTACATCTGCGACCGGTTTGCTCCTAGATAGAAGGTGGCGACGTTCGTACGGATCCGAGGCACTGTCTGAGTCCCACCATAACCATGATAACCACGTTGCTAAAAAGTGTTGGTTGAGATCATTGCCATTGGGCAGTACCAGGTAGTAGGTACTAGTGTACTGTAAGTAGTACTGTACAACATCCCCTGACCACAGTCAGTGGCAGTGTTCGAAGTTCAGATTCCCGTCCACGATGGAGTAGTGCCCGGCAGGCGGCAGACCATTTTGGAAGGGACGAGACAGGGACTTGAAAGCCGTGAGAAGTAGCACAATCATGTACATTGAACTGATCAGGGAGTAGTCATGTGACAGCTGTATACCATGGTATACTACTCCCTGATTTGAATGTACATGTACATGTACCACCGGTGCACCGATACTCGCATTAACGCTAGGATTGCAAACGTCAGTGCTCCACACGTCCATGTTGCCACCTCACTGCTGAGTTCCAATTATGCTGCTAATACCTCACCCTCAAGTTAGTTCCAACCTGCATGACACGCATAATTCTTCTATGCGTGACCAAGCATGGTTCGCATTCTGAGTTCATCACTTCAGTTTCTAAAACAATACGGATCATAAATCCTGCGCTATGACCAGTCCATCATAATGACTAGAATTAGTTACTACATGTTACGATGTACATGTAGCACCAGTGTATTATTATGTATATCATGTAAATAGCCTTAAATCAATCATTGTCCCACTAGACCAGGTTCATGTTGGCAGTGCTGCAGCGAGATCTACTACCTAGACCATCATCACGTCTTCATCAGTGCCACAATGGCACCCTGCCCTGGCATCGCTCCCATTCCTCCTTGATAGGCTATTAGTGAGTATAAGGGCAAACGAGTCGAATCAACTACAATACTAACTACGTTGTAGGCGCGCACTTGAACTCTTGAATACAGGGACCAAACACTACGCGAGCAACACTCCGTGCATTTCTTAGGCATGGTTAATTAGACGGCTCTGTGGCACACCACGACTTTCGGGCTGATCAATCGTCAATAATACTATTGTTACTGCGTTGACATAGTCAGTGAACTTCAGTAGCTTGTGAGGTAACTATTACAGTAAGTCTTACTAACTAGTGGTGACAGGCACGCTGAACAAGATGGCGTAGCGATGGGCGATTGAAGTACTGTCAATGACAGTATGACCACAACGAAAAGCATGCATTGTTGTTCGTTCATTTGCGAAGATTCAATTGGGACCCATGCAGGCCTTCGCCAAAGACTAAGCTGTTGTGTTTGTGATTCACGTCATGAGCTCATCTTTCGGACTGCGTTTGACCTCGTTTCTACAGGTACCAGACTATGTCATTATAAATCAGGTAAATCAGGTTATGTACTTTTCCATCTACACTACAGCTGTAGTTTGCATTCCGATAAAAGTAATAGTTGAAAGAACGTCATCGTTGCTACTCGTGACTTCGTCAGGTTGGATGCTAGCAGTCGGAGGTTGCGCCATGCCTCAGTGGCTGTTCGTCTGACTCTCCTAACGAGAGTTTTTTTGTCTCTGATGAACCAAGATTGTGAGGGAGGTTCTTCCGCCGGCATAGCTTCTAGACTGTCTGACAGTACTTGACACGATTGCATGGGAGTCTGGGGATGCCGGTGCAAGCGAAAACCGCACTGTGGCCCAGCTGGCGTTCAAGCTTGGTATACCGGCATAATGGCACACATCCGCAGAGCTACCCTTTCATCCTGTGCAGAGCATCGACTGATCCACCAATATTATCATCACTGCCAAGTCTAGGAGGAATTGGTGAAATATGCACCACCCAACAACAAAGCCTAAGCCTTGACTCCCTATCCAACTCCATGGCTCTTGTCGCCGAAATAGCTCGACCATTAGCTTGACCAGTGATCACTACGTCACTACTGTACGCAAATTAGTTTGCCGCAGAGACGCTGCGCTGCCGAATCGCAAAGTGGAGGGCTCTGGGGAAGACGCCAGGAAAACGTCTTCTTTGCTTAGCGAGAAAACCATGGAGAAACCCATGGAGATGCAACATAGAACTTTCCGAGTATATAACGGACTCTCTTGGTCCAGGTTCTTCACTCTACAGCCAGCGAAAATTGGGCCGACGAAACAGCAATATTCGCGTTCAGAAGGGATTCTAACCCCAGACCCAGAATTCTTGTCGGGCAGTAGTGCTTTCGTTAGGGCAAGTTAGTTCCCCGACATAGAACAAGAAGCCGACGCGGATTTATTCGCCAGTATTATCCTCTTCGTCGAGTCTTCATTCCAAGTGAGAGAAGGCCATGGCCGGTGCTACTTTTGTGGTCCTAGCATTGTCAGGGCTTGTGATGCTAATCGGAACAGCTAGCGGGCAGGCCTCGTCGGTGACCCGTAAGTACATTGTGCATGATTGTATTCCAACAACTGCTTGCGGGCCGGGGCCAGATGTAGGGTTCAACCTCACTACCCCTGGCACTAGATTGGTCAGGGACACAGGACACTGTGTCTAGATAATCCGATCCATACATTTCAGAATCATGCACATTCCACGTGTATGATTCTGTCGTACGATTGGCCGGAGGGGAAAAGTTAGTTGCAGATGTTGTAATGTGGTTATATCGATGCATAACATGCCAAGAAAGAAAATGAAAAGGGAGCACTGTACCTGGATTCAGACCCACAACTCCTGGAAACAGCTATAGTAAAGATAATGGAAGTTTCGAATAACCAATGTCTAGATAAGTGAGGTCCAGTTGTTTTAAACCGTCAATCCCATAATCTGGAGACTCCCTCGGTTTAGGCTAAGGCCTCTGGAGAATCCATAAATACAAATATGAAATACAATACAATACAATACAATGTTACTGTACACGTACAAACCTGAGAAACCTGAGAAACCTGAGGTTACGAAAGAGGTTGCAGCTTGTAGGAGGTCGGTGCTCCATACTCTGGGACTTGAACAATGCACTGTGTCCCTCTCATATACTGGACATCGGCTATGAGCGTATTTTCTTCCTTTTGGTAAGATTTTTTTCTCCATATTTTTTCTGTTCATTTGTGCCTCCTTCTCCAAGTCTCCCATATCTGGGTTACTCAGACCTCTTTTGCTTCTTTGTCATTGGATCTGTTCAGTCCGTTTGGCTTGTGAATTCCGATAAAACGTAACCAATCAACCAACCAATGTTACTGCATAATGACGATTAAATGTAGACCTACACTTCGTGTGCTTAGTTTTTGTTGTGTACTGCGTGACTGTGTCATTTCAGGCAATAGCTGCCCACTGCCACCTGATATCCCCAATGCAAGCTACACGTATGGCGGTCTCAGTGTCGGTAGCTATGCCTATTACGCGTGTGATAGCGGTTTCGAGGTTGACGACAAGGAGGCAGTGATTTGCCTGAATGATGGGACATGGTCACCACCGCCAGTTTGTAGACCAGGTACGCTCGACACGCATTGTAGTTTCTAGTTAGCATTCTAAAATGTTGGTGTGTAGTCCTACAGAATCTGATACTCATGTACTCCTACACATGCAAAGAAAGGATCCATTAGAATTTGGTTAATTGCGTGTACACCGGGCCAATTGCTACCTACATGTATGTTTTGGCGTATAATTTTCCTCAGAGTCAGATTCCCAATGTCTTGTATAGGTATGTTGCAAACTGACCTGTCCGGTCATCCACTATATGGGTCATGGTACAAACACTATAGCCCCTGACCCATGGAAAAAGTGCATACGCTGCCTGTTTGCTTCCTGCGGTAGATATTGCACACACTTACTCTGCATAGGGCTGCATGAGTTACAGTACGTGTGATGTCATTGAGAAAAGGTTTGCTCTAGCTATTCAACCGAGCCTGAGTCTGGACTCAACCATCCAACAACGCGTAGAGTGGGAGTGACACTCTAAGTTCTAGCAAAGCTTTGTGTAGGCTACCGCATCACAGTGTGTTCAGTACCAGCAGATGCTTCCGTTGCCAATTCGTTTTGTTCATAGGCTACCTTTAATACAAATGGTAAAATTAGATATGGTGTGGCATCCTCGTTTCGTTCTCTCCAGTGGCTAGCTGCCCCCCGCCAGCTCGTATTGCCAATGGCAGAACAAGGTCATCCACCTATACTGTTGGTAGCAAGGTCTACTATACATGCCATCAAGGCTATTCACTGATTGGCTCGGCTGAAGCCACCTGCCAAGCCTTCGGACAATGGTCATCCAATGAGCCAGAATGCGTTGGTAAGGGGACTATACGATTGCAGTTGCCCTGAGCTTGATCTGTTTCGTTTCCTAGAGCTCTAGTGAGTTGGAACAAGTGAATGGAAGAAATGCACGCAATGAGCATTTCATGCAGTTGCTCAACAACCTGATGCACCCCTGCCGTATCCGGTACATCAACTTCCGGGAAGGCACCAAGTAGTAATATACGGTACATCTGGTATGCACTGCATGCTATCATTGTGAATATATACATAGCTGCTCGTTGGGGGATGCTTTAAGTCCTTGGGTGACGCTCCAGACATGTATGTTCTGTATTTTCATCTCTCCAGTTACTTTCAGTGCAGTCCGGGAGCCCGAGCCGACGCCTTCATGCACTTCCAATCCTTGTGTTCATGGTGCATGTGTTGACTTGATCGATGACTACATCTGTGTATGTCCGGTTGGTTACACAGGAAGGAATTGTGACAAATGTAAGTCACAATCACATAGATATGAAACTGCTTGTACACTGCCGCTGCCGTTACAGATGACAACAGTCATAATGACATTGAGTTCCTCTGGAGACAGAGACTTGGGGCATGTTCGTTTGGTAGGATCGGGATCCCGATCCACCGGATCCACTGGATTCGCACCCTTTCGATTGGTCGAATCTGGATCCGGATCCTTCGGATTTGGATCCGGTCAACCCACCTCGGGGAGCAGGGTTGACCGGATCCAACGGATCCAAATGTGACCTTTGTGCGTATATGGCGGGTAAAAATCATTTTTGTACACATTGTGATACGCACACGTGGATGGAGATAGAGCTTGTTGACTTTTTGTACGACGGAGGCGATGAGTACGACGTTCACCCTTTTGGGGTGATTCGTGAGCGCCATTGTCAACATGGCAACAGTCAAGGTCCAATATAAAGTGTTCAGTTGAATCTGAAGGATCCGATGGATCTGAGATCTGGATCCTGATCCCGATCCTTACCAATCGAACATGCCCTAAAATTTATTTTTTCGTTTCCTTATTTTTTAAATATGGTATTATCACATCAACCAGTACATCTGGCAGGGATCAGCAGACTGGAAACCGACACACTATTAGTATCTTGACCACCACCGGACTATAGAGTATGACATGCACATTGCTCATTCTTGACCCATGAGACAGAGATGAGAAGACCCTTCGTTGTTTGGATTTTTGATCATGTGTGTGTGTGTGTGTGTGTGTGTGTGTGTGTGTGTGTGTGTGTGTGTGTACCGTGTGTGTGTGTGTGTGTGTGTGTGTGTGTGTGTGTGTGTGTGTGTGTGTGTGTGTGTGTGTGTGTGTGTGTGTGTGTGTGTGTGTGTGTGTGTGTGTGTGTGTGTGTGTGTGTGTGTGTGTGTGTGTGTGTGTGTGTGTGGCCAGAAAAAGTCACTTCAAACAGCTGTGTGGTGGATACCAGGCTAAAAATAGTGGCGGTCAATTCATCAGCCTTGCAAGCTGTTGCATGGTGTAATCCCAGCACAAGTTGCTATGTCTAACATAGCTGTTCGCTATCATCGCTTCCGCGATGGGCATGTCTGAGGTCTGAGGTGTGTGTGTGTGTGTGTGTGTGTGTGTGTGTGTGTGTGTGTGTGTGTGTGTGTCAGCTAGTTCGGTTGGTAGGTACACGTATGCCTGATTGTGTTGGGTCTGTTGCCAACAGGCTCGGCTGCTTGAAGGTGTAATGTTGTACCTGCCACCTTTGTTGGTTCCAGGGTTCATATACTTTCTATTTGAAGTATACATACCTGTTAACCATGGACTGCTTCTGGCTAGATTAACTCTTGTGTAATCAATGGTGCTAGTGAAGCTTTTATCAGATCCACTCTGATTTAGCCACTCACACTAGTAGCAAATATTACCTTCACTGGGGGCCGGGGTAACTGCAGTTGGATCCCAGGACGGATACCCTGATGCCGTCAATCCTTTTTCTGCACCTTGTCCTCACCCACTTACTGAGGTGTGGTGAGCCCATAAGTGGGATCATTTTCAAGTCCACCCAGAGTTTTGGGGATTTCAGGGGGTGTCGGCCGTTGGGCGGTTCAATAACCAGTTGAGTCATCTTTCCAAGATTCCTTTTGAGTCTCTCTCCCCTCTCCCGGGGGGACTCACGTGACCAGTTTTGGCAGTGAGCAACAAGTACAAGTAAGTACAGTACAGTGTGTGTGTGTGTGTGTGTGTGTGTGTGTGTGTGTGTGTGTGTGTGTGTGTAGTGGCTACTAAGGGTAGCAACGTGTCGACTGAGAGTGTATGGAGGAGGGAGGAGAAATTGTTGCATAAAGTTATTGAATAGCCGAATGATACCGTTCACAATTTTATTGACCCTGCTACATGTAAAAGCATGTTTGCCAACACTTCTAGGGCTCACACATTATCGTCCTTCCCTCCTTTACTCCCTATCATTCTAACTTTCTTTCAATCTATCATGTGACTTATCCACCGCCATTGTCTACGTCCCTGTCTCTTCCCTTGCATGGCATGCACTGATGTTCTTACAGTGATTGCATGTGCCAGGCCAGCAATGGTGGAGAACTGTGCCATATCGTACAGGTCAACGGCAGTTGGCAGTAGAGCCGTTCACACCTGTGCTAGAGGCTACCAACTTGTTGGCAATGCCAGGACGATATGCCAGACAAATGGACAGTGGTCACAGCAGCCATCCTGCCGGGGTAAGATGATGTCAAAAGTACACAGGTTCATACTATTGAGCAGGGAGAAGTTCACTAGAATTTTACTACTCCCTGCTTCGGATGATACTTGTCAGCAATAACGTAGAGTAAGTATGTATCATCTTATGTGCAACATATCCCTCCCTTCATCACGATATGGATAGTACTACTATTAGGCGGTAGAATGACCTGGCTGTGCCACCCATCTTGTACAAGGCCTGGTTGTGGATATCAGTGGCTTGGTTCATACTGGTGTCAACATGCTTGCACCCCTCAGGCAATGATGATCATAATATGACGAACATAACCAGTGCCGACGCTCTATATTGAACTGCATTACTGTATGTTCTCTCTCTCTCTCTTTGTGTTTTCTGTACAGCCATGCATCTAGCTGAGCCTGCTGTACCTACACCTAGCTGTGCTACACCCAGTGGTATACGCTACGGACAGGTTTGGTACACAGGCACTGCAGTGGGAAGCAAGGTAATTAAATGGATGTGTGCAAGAGACTACCTATGCACAGCATAGCTAGTAGTATTAGCTACAGCATGACCGGCATGATGCGTCCACATGTTGGAATGGTTGGTTTACATGTACATACTTCTCTTCTCATAAATTGACAGGTTTTGAGGATGGGGCATGAGATAGTCTCATTTCAGTTCACAATCATATGGTTGGGGTAGGTGTGTGTGGGGGGGGGGGAGGAGGAGGAGGCAGCATCAAGGCCACCTGTTCTCACAGTAGCAGGTACTAGTATGTGAGTACAAGGAGTGTGATTCTGGCTCTGATTTACTTTATCTCTGGATTTGCCCTTGCAGGTAATGTACCGGTGTAATCACGGCTATGAGCGTGTGGGCAATGCAAGAGTAACCTGCTTATCAAACGGCCAGTGGTCGGCAGGCCCAGCAAGGTGTCAGCGACGCACACACTCAGGCAGTTCCAGTGATGACGGAGTTCAGCAAAGCAGAAGTCAAAACAGTGGTAGCAACCAAAGAAGTAACAGCAGACATGGCGGTGGAAGTAGTAGCGACAGCAGCAGCAGTAGCAGCAGCAGCAGTAGCAGCAGCAGCAGCAGCAGCAGCAGTGATTAATGAAGGGTGTCTCTCTCACCTCCAATCATAAAACATAATCATTATGAATCTCAGTCAAATGTGCTTTAAACATGTACATCAGCGAATGTGACGAGTACAGGCCTTATTTAGAAATCCAGTTCAGCATGGTACTGTTATCATCCTTAATTATTACCTATACATTGAATCTGTGCGATGTCCTACCATGCATGCAGCACTATCTAACCGTTAACCGAAACAATGCAAATGCAAACTAAGTACTTGTCAACTGCATACCCGCACTCAAAATACTGTTAGTGTTCACTGTTCACTGATTCCAGGGCTTAGCGGAGACTTGCAAGATCGGGAAAAGTAACCTGGCAATAAGCTTCCTAATCTGCTTATTTATGTATTTACTACATGTGTTTTGTGCTGCCATTATTCTAATACACATACATGTACATGTACAAGCCTAGCCATTCAGTGTTCTTACGGCCTTCACTGATGTATAGATCTCTGTACGATCGAAACAGCTGTAAGGAGGAACATTTTTTTGCCAGTATCTACAACATCTTGGTGGTATGTTGCTGGAGTGAATGAACTTGGTCAGAGAGCGCACGTGGTGGACTTTGAACTAAACCAATGGTGAACAGGCCAGATGCTGTTGCCGACCCTCCTATCACGGATTTCTTGTTTAGGAAAATACACCGAAAGCAAGTACATGCAGTTTGTGGAGGGTCAAGTATGAACATACATAGACTCCCCAGTGGAAACACTGCAGTGCAGTCCAACAGACATGCGCCCAAGAATGTACACCTTCAGAGTACTTCGAGGTATGTACATGCGCCAGTACAGTGCAGAATACATACTGTACGTGCACATGTTTGTGTTTAACGAAAAGTAGAATTCCAACACGAATACAGTACACACTACGCCACCCCAAATCAGGGTGAAATATCAAGAAGAATGAATGTGAGGCTGCAAGTTGGTTGAAAGCCATAGCAAGAAGGAGAATTCACACAGACATACAAAACCCCTAAGGTGCACTGGAACAACTACACTCGCGGCCGCTTCATAACAACATGGAAACCCTACACCATCACGAACGCAAGTGGCCTCTTTCCTGCACAATTCCCAATAATTTAAAAATACAAAAGGCCCCAGGGCTCAAGGTATCTACAGTCAACCTTGCGAATAACAACCCTCGAGTGGGCACGAGGGAGGTGTTGTTACTCGCAAGATTGAAAGCATGGAGCAGTAAACTATTCCCTGGTTGAAAGTACGCGTCCAAAGGATACTAGGTTTGAAGATAGTAACGGTTTTCGTGAGTTGTTGTGTTCCTGAGTTTGTTATTGCGAGGTTGACTATACGAGTACACAGCCTGAAGAAAATCTGAAATACAGTCAGACCTCGCTTATCCGGTCCTCTTTTATCCGGATCCCTCGCCATCCGGAAGAAAATATCTGGTTACACATTTACAGCATACGTGATGCATCCAACATAAACAGTGTTCGGTTATCCGGTTCCCTCGCCTATCCGGATATTTTTTGTGGAAAACGGATGTGTGCGGTTAAGCGAGGTCTGACTGTACTACTAGCAACCAGCAGATACGAAACCTAGACGTAACTTGTAACTATTGAAAAATTTCTAGAAAAATCAAAAAGCTACAAAACATATGACCAGCACATGCAGAATAGGTTAAAACGTTAAGAAGAATTCAAAACAAAAACCTAGGCACAAATTAAATATAAATTAAAAACTAGACTACAGCGTGATGTTGCACATGTGAAGCCGTGCTGAAAGCTACAGCAGAAACCCTAAACAGCCCACTAGGCTAGAGCCAACAAGAAGCGACAGACTTATCTTGCGGCCTGTTTCGCTGAACAGCAGCCCAACGCCGAGCAGACCCGGCAGTGCACCGAGGAGCGAGCGGCGCAGTGACAGCGGCCAGTGGTACGGATCGTCCACCAGCACCCCGCTGCGTTTCTCGTAGTATTCAGTTAGAATCCTGTGCAAGGAACAATGTTCATGGATATGGTCTTACGCAGTGATATACACACTGATAAATAACTCAAGTACATGTACAGGCAGGATTGTGCCAGAACCGAAAGAAAAGATTGGAAAGTAGATCTTTGCCATACCATCCCCCCCCCCCCCCCCCATCTTACCAAAATACAGGCAACTGCAGTGCACGGACACACCAAGCTCTCTTCCTCTTCAAGTTTGCTGGGACATCCAATTTCATTATAGCTGCTCGTGAACGCCTTTCCCATCTTTCCATAGCTACAGGTACAAGTATACATTTCTTCTATTGTACACAGAGCATTATAGAGTAATATAGATCATGTGCACCACTCACCTATCTTTGTCAATGAAGCGATCCAACAGCCACTTGCGGCACACTGCAGGGTTCTGAAACAGTAAATGCGAGGCAAGCGTCAGAACTAAGTCACTGACACAGCTCAGTTTAAAAAAAGGCATGCAAGCGCGTGTCGTGCTCTCGGTGAAAACACGTCTTACACTAGAGTACTGATATCATCGGAATCAGCAGTGAGCAACTCACAAAGGACCATTCTCCACGCCGGTACATATATGTGTTGGCTATCTGCTAGTGATGGCACTAATCGAAGTGCGCACAACCCATCACTGCTCCTACACAAGTGGGGAGCACGGAGCAATTATTTCGGTTACTTGACCCATGGACCTGTAGACTTGGGAGTACATGTACTACACTATTTACTGTCATAAGGGTTACTACTGGGTAGAGAAGAAGAAGTCTCGGGATGAACTGCAAAAGTACGACATCACCTTTCTCCAAGATACATTTTCGGAAAGTTACCTGCGGTATGTCAGCCATGGCGATGCGGGACAGATGAATATCAATACGTGAGCACCGGCCTGCAGCAAAGTCTAACATAGAAGGCAAGAGAACACGTGCCAGAGCAATGTCAAGCAAGAAACGCTCCATGAAACAGAGGCCAATAGCACATGATGAGCATAACCAATGACCATGCAGTATTTACTTCTGTCACCAAATGGATAGGGCATCCGCTAAGCCTTAGGAGAGGTATGCAGTCTGCAGAGCAACAGGAGGGCAGACCGCACCATCTCACACTCAATAATAATGTCAACCTACCTGTCATAGAGGGCGCGGGATCACGTTGGCTGCTTGTTTTCCGCCCATTTCTCGCCGTGTAGACAACCGTGATGTCATAGACGGCTTGGCAATGGCCACGCAGCGCTTCAACAGACACCTATAGATGGGACAAATCAGTACAAAATCATGGCAAGTGTTACATCAGGTACAAAGGACTTATAGTTTTATGGCACCTACTGTAGTCAAAATAATGTTTACATCTTTTTGGGGTTGCTTCTACACAGCTACTACTACAGCAACTTCAATAATCGCATGGAATTATAGTCCGACTCGTGCCCGTCACCAAGCAGAGGAAGACCCTGCCAAGCCAGGGTACTTCTCAAGGCATAAGAGTTCACGACTTGACCGACCAAAAGAAAACTATCTGGGAGCCGGCTACCCATGACCGTTTCTACTACTACTATTACTACCACATGTACCATCGGTTAGTGGTAGGAGCTAGGAAACCATACTGTGGGGCATACTGACCACTCAACTGAACAAAACAGAAGATTGTGAGATCGTGGATTTGATTTTAAAAGATTTTAGTGATTTTTCATAAGTTTTTTAACCAACGACAGGGGTTGTGTGGTGCGTTCCCTTCGACTGACTTTGCCCACTTGTTTTTCTCCTGAAAACCTTTTTTTAAACTCAATTTATAATAGAGCGTATACTGGAACACGATGGCCAAATACCCAGCCAGCACTCACTTCACATTTAGTACACACACTTCGCAGTACAGGAGAGTGGTAAAGGCAAGAAATGAACAATCTTCAGAGTAGTTAGCTACAATACCGGTGTATTTCAAAGTCAAGTATAATATGTCACACATTCACTTACCTCAAATCCTTTAGACTTTGGCACCAGTACATTCTGTAATAATGGCAAACCTAGGTCAAGTTTAGAGTAAGAACAAGACAAGCAGCACCACAAAGACAGCAATCATTTTAGAACACACAAACAAACTGAGCACCTTGCTTGATACATGTGCTCCTCCACCAAACTGTGCAACTTACAAGTGCTAGTTTTCATGCGAATATTGTACCAACCAAATAGAACTTGGCATACAATCATGGTCCCTGTGTAGAAGCCACAGCCACCTTGATCTACTTGATGCAGGCCGTTCCACTGCCGGCTCGCCATTCTATCCAAGGACACGGAGAGCATTTTCAAACACCGAGCGACCAAATCCCTGGAGTGCAACATTTGTTGTGCAAAGGGTCTCAAGTGCGGCTTTCCTTTATTTTCTTTCTCTCTCTTTCTCTCTTAAAATAAATAAATTGTAGGTGACATGATATTCAGCAACAACATGCTACCTGACAGTCAGTTTGGGTTCAGATGTGCGAACGGCACAGCCGACCTTCTATTAAACAGTACTCCGGAATGAATGGATTCAAACTGCGGCAGAGGGAGGTTGTGTCGCAGTTGTAGCAATCGATATTGTCAGGAAGATTGACTGTGTCTCTCATGTTGGCCTCCTGAACAAGGTTGAGCGAGTTGGCATCTGTGGGCATCTGCTTTAATGGCCATGTGACTACCTAAGAAACCGCTGTCGGAAAGGTTGCAACCGGGGCCCAACTTCCAAGGAGTACCTCGTCACTGCCGGAGCAAAACAAGGCAGTGCCCATGGACATGCTGTGCTTTCGCTGTTTACTGGAGACATCAGCCAATGTCTCTCGTCCGGCGTACAGCTCAGCTTTTCTTTTTCCGGTGACTCTACGGTAACCAGAACTGTCTATGGCGTGTTGAGATACGGAATCCCAAAGAGTGAGGTCTGCTTCTCTCATATATTATGACATACTGCTGTGAATACTTTCCTTACCCCTTTCACGAGAGAACTGGTGGCTTGCTTCTATCAGACGTGGCTTGGTATTATCATAGCGCGTGCCTTCTGGGTACACCACCCACCAGATCTGCGTGTGTCAGTATAGGTAACAACAGATGAAGAAACCACCAGGATTATGACTTCAGTAGTACAACTGCTCAAAACATACCCATGCCATGTGGATCTCAATTGTTTTCTTTCTTCGTGCCTCGGATGTGCCGGGTAAAGACACTGCACACCTCACAACGCAACTACTAGGCACAGTCGAGGCAAATAAAATCTGACCTCGGGTATATCACCGCAGGAGGAGGGGGCTGGGTGGCTCAAGCACTTCAAACAATAGGTTGTGTACTGAGTGCCGCACTGTCCTACTCACGAGGTGAAATTTCACTCACTGCAACTGCATGGGTCAAGTGGGAAGGATCACTGCTGGATCGAAATACTTGAAACAGCGCATGCACTCACCGGTTGTTGGTTTTCGACGACATACTGAAGTTGCCTGAGCACTCAAAACAAACAAAGACCAGAATCAGTCACAATTGTGACCTTGAGCCAGGCACATGCATAGCAGTGACCACAAAACATCTTGATCACACAGACTTGCCCCCCCCCCCCCAAAGTGCACAAAAATAGAACTTAAACTCATTCAAACTGTCATTGGCGGCGAGATGCCATGCCACCAGTCTTACCGTTGAATGCCACTGCTATCACCAGTACCACGTTTCACATACACACAGCCAATCTACAACAACGGACGAGAAGAAAATAAGAACAGCTCCAGTAAAGGTCAGATGCTATGCACATGTACTGTCAACCCCCCCCCCCCCCCGCGGCAACGCACATATTAACGTACAGAGAACCGAGCAATGGCCTCCACTGTCAGCATGCTCCCAGATTGACATCATGTACAGCGAGAGTTCAGTATAAAGTACCCCAAGGGCCATCAAAATTGGTATTGCATAGCCGAGGTACTGTACATCCAATGTCAAAAGACTGATATAGTTACTATAATGCACGGTGCTCAAGAATAGTACTTCATAGGTCATACCCGGGTAAATATGTCCAGGGTACTTTGTAGTGAAGTCTCACCGTATTTCAAATTTGTAAAGAGCAAGAAGAAATCACCTTGAGAAAGTAAGATGAAGATCAATTGACCATATACACATCTCTTTTTTAAATTATTTCGACAGCAGGCAAACAAGGGGAACTTTACTCACATAGTGTTCTTTATAAGACAAGTACAGGTAATCAATACTGCGCCACCATTTCATGCCAAGGTCACTCATAGCTGGTCAGGTGGGATCATGATACAGCCAGTCTCCCCGGCCATCGCACTGTGACTCACAAGCTTGAGGTAGTAGCCGACAATAGGAATATACTTGAGGCTATCCTTCAGCATGAAACGCACAGCTTGTGCGCATCCCTGACGACTTGCCAGCATTCCCACAAGCATCCAGTCAACTGTAAGCACAGAAAGGGAAGATAAGTTTTTTTTTAAAGAAACACTTCTGAATCCATACCAACGGCAATTTAGTTGATGCCTATCGTCGTTTGCTAGACAAGTATTCACAATTCACACTCGCTTCAGGCAGATTCTGCAAATTCTCGCCAAGCAGCATAATCTCCACGCTCATTACTTTCTTCCTGGCAGTCATCTCTTGTCAGCAACTGCGCTGTGCACATGGCAATCTAATCCTGTCACAATCACTCATCGTTAACCATAGCCAAACTAACCTGTACATTGATGGTTGCACACGACAATAGCATTTTCCTGCTCTGCCGGAAGCCTCTCGCCATGCCATACGATCTATAACAAAAGTAAACCGGAGAGCTGAAATGATCAAGACTCGGGGGATATGAAATAAAAAAGGCAAAATATTCATAGTACATTTGCAGCGACTTGCTTCACTGAAAGGAGCGCACATGAAGGAATGGATGCACACAGTTACATCTTGTGGCATGCCAGCAACGCACCAAAGCTGAAGCTAGCATTAGGGAGTTCACTCGAAAAATCAAATTCACGAGTTTTGAATGAAATGCTACTTTTGTAAACCGGGAAGATGTCAGAAACAACCTTTGAAAGTTTGAAACAGAAATTCCAAGGCAATCCAGAGTTATGAACAATTGAAGTTTGGAAAATGATCGCCTGAGCACTGTGAGCAGTCACACAAAGCAATGCAAGTATGTATGGAGATTGGAGACGGTGTGGTTTCCGTCCAGCACTGCACTATCTGGTGCGTACATGCAGGTGCGAACTGAAGTGCATGGCGATACAGGATGTGAGCATGCATGCCGTGCACATGCATGCCGTGCACATGCATGCCGTGCGCGCCTACATGCACCACTCACACGTTTTCACCGTCACCGCTTTTACAGTGTGCGCGTAGTTCACTCGATTTTTCGTCCACCACCGGGAAATTGCCGTGGGTTGGTCTCTGTGATCATGCTCCTTCTACCGCGATAAAGTGCGAGCCCAAATGCTCTAGAATCCTCTTGTTTTAGACTAGTCCAAGGCCGCTAAACACGAAAATCGGGTGTTCCTCCCGGGGCCGAGTATGCATCTGGTCGAGACCAGTACCTCGCTATGCCTCTGCGCAAACCGCGGCAGTCTTTTTTGTTCAAGCAAGGCATGTGTGGCATCAAAGGAAAGGTAATGGCCTCGGCTACCTAAAAATAGCATCGACAAGGGAGTACTGGGCCTACTGGCCACGGGATCAGATAGAAGCGGGCTCGAAGTCAGGCCAAAGAGCTGTCATGCGGGCCCCATTGCAAAAGTACACGCGAGTTGTGACTGCAGTTTTCGCCTGACCCAGGCCGGAACTGAAGCTCCCTACTACTAGCATACCTAGAGTAGAGGTAGGTACCCACCCCGCCTCCTGGTTTTTAGAATTCGGAACAGGACATACCATAGAACCAGGACTATTCAGAAAGAGCTACTATAAGACATGTTATATAACTACAGTCAACTTTGCGAATAACGACATTCGGCGGGGCATCCGAAAAGTGTCCTTATTCGCGAAGTGTCCTTATATCCGAAGTCCCATTTGAATGTATGTGAACCCATATTTTGTATGGTATGACATGCATATCGAAATGAAGCTCTTTTCATGCTCTATGTCAATTTGTACTTTATTTCGTATTGCAATTGAAGGAAACTATAAAGTCAATATCCGGGGGGAAATACATGAAAAATTAGCCTTTTGGAGCCATCTACAGGGACATGTTCATGTACATGTATGAAGATTAATGTGCAATCATGTACAACTACATGTACAATAGGTGTGCTGATCATTCCAACTATTTTGAAGCAAAAGAAAAAAGAAAAAGCCCCCCCTGGCTGTATCTTCTTGTATGTGTGCCTTATCCATCGTCATGGGTTCTGGTACTTCTGCATGACAGGTACTTGAAATACAATGTAGCTGTCAAAAACCCAGAAAGTCGTTATTCAAGCAGTGAATATGACCTCGGGGCACTAAAATCATGTCGCTATTCGCGAATTGTCGTTATTCAGATAGTCGTTATATCCGAAGTTAAATGTATACAGTTAGATGGGACTTTGCTCTGGGCATGGAAATTCTGTCGTTATTCGCGAATTGTCGTTATATCCGAAGTCGTTATTAGCGAAGTTGACTGTAGTCGCAAATTTAACGATTGTCCAAAATTCAAAGGCTAGCGTGAAGATGTTAACGATCTTGCAGTCTTCAGGCCTATCCGCACATAACACATACGAGGCATTACAACCCCAACAGAACTTATCATAACGAAGAAATATAACTCGTTAAAACGTTAGATTTACTTCCACGTTTACATGTCTTACAGTAATAGCTCTGAAGAGCGTGCCAGTTACAACTAGAAACGCTTGTCGTGTCCTGCCACAGAAATTAACAAAAATTCAACTTTTTCACGATACTGGCATGCTGTGTGAAAATGAACGCCGCACGTCAATGAAGCCCAGCTTCCGAGGAGACTCGCGCTGTCGGAAACTTTGCTACCATGCACCTATCGTCGTTGCAGAACTCTTTTAAAGTATTTACGGATTGTGTGTCACAGTCGTAGTTCATCGCATGTGTCACATGGGAGAAAGTGATACATGTCATGCGGATCATGCTTAAAACCAAATTTTCACATACTTATTATTATTACTGCCATGCAATTTTCAACTGGACTAAAAATCACGACTCGGAAACTGTATACTATGTGTTAAATTATAGTATAAAAAAACCTCCAGTCATTTGCGTGTTCTAAAAAGCAGGTAATATTCCTGGCAATCACTCATATAAAAAACCTGGTGCTATAAAAAACCCGGTGCTGTAAAAAAACCTGTACCGTCGTCCCTCTCTAATCCGGCACTTTATAAACCAGCACCCTCTATAAACCAGCACAATTTTCATTAGCCAAAATGTCCTCTTCATGCACATTGCAACACTAGATCAGATTTGTTAATCCAGCACCTTCCCTAATCCAGCAGAATTTCTTTAGCATACAGTCAACTTCGCTAATAACGACTGCGGATATAACGACAATTCGCGAATAACGACCGAATTTCCATGCCCGGAGCAAAGTCCCATCTAACTGTATACATTTAACTTCGGATATAACGACTATCTGAATAACGACAATTCGCGTATAGCGACATGCTTTTAGTGCCCCGTGGTCATATTCACTGCTTGAATAACGACTTTCTGGGCTTTTGACAATTATTTCAAGTACCTGTCAGTCAAGTACATGTACCTGTCATGCAGAAGTACCAGAACCTATGGTGCACCAGTACCGGTGATGGATATTATTGCACACATGCAAGAAAATGCAGCCAAGGGGGGGGGGGCTTTTTCTTCCTTTTTAATGTTGGCTTCAAAATTGTTGGATTTACCAGCACACCTATATGTATACAATGTACATGTAGTTGTACATGATTGTACAGTAATCATCATACATGTACATGTCTCTGGCCCTGTAGATTGCTCAAAAAGGCATATTTTTCAATTGATTTCCCTTGCATATTGAATTTTTAGTTCCTTTCAACTGCAATATGAAAATAAAGTACACATTGACATAGAGCAAGAAAAGAGCTTGATTTTGATATGCATATCATACTATACAAAATATGGGTTCACATACATTCAAATGGGACTTCGGTTATAAGGACACTTCGCGAATAAGGACACTTTTCTGATGCCCCGCCGAATGTCGTTATTGGCGAAGTTGACTGTAAATGGTGCCGGATTATGAAGGGACCACTGTATAAAAAACCTGGTGCTATAAAAAACCACTTTTTAGGAAAATGACTGGAGGTTTTTTATGTTATAATTTAAATAGAATATAAGCTTTGCCCTCGTGTTTACGGGAAAAAAACCATCGGCGAATTTGCCTCGGGTTTATTTCCCGTAAACACTCGGGACTCGGCTTATAATTCTATACATACATTATCAGCGTGGTAGTGCGATACACCGTTTCAAAACAGACAAGGGATAATAAAATTCCTGCTGTGATTTACCTCGACATTGTTGAAGTGCCCCAGTGCAAGGTTGACTACTTGCTGGAAGATATTCAAGCCAGATTCACAAAAAGCATCCCTCAATCTTCTCGACACAGAATCGGATACATACATGGCAGGCGTACAAACGACACCACCGGCCACTGCCACGGTGAAGCTGAGAGGCAAACTGGCACATATAGCACCAGCAGTTGGCACCCAGCTGAATTTGGCCAAGATATGTGTGGCAGTGAATGCCATAACTATCTGCAGTGTGTTTTGGTGGTCCACAGTGAGAACTTCCCCATCCGTCACCACCTGGCGAATGAGAAATCTTCCTTAGTGTCCTGCATGGGTGAACAGAACCGGTTCAACTCTCTATCAGTCAGGAAAGCACAGCGCCTTCACCAGTAAACACAGGGCTTGCAAGCTTGGCCTTCCTTTCCTGTTTTCATGTAAACATTCCTTCAAGTTCAACTTTTCAAGAGAAAATAATTGGTTGGGTCTGATCTGATCTGACCATGACCACGTGGTGGGGAACTCCCGGTATTAGGGACGTTTAGCAATGCGAAAATTCGAACTTTTTGTGGTGGCGATATTTCGCGAAAATCTATTTCGAAAAAGAAAACTTGTGAGGTTTAGCAATGCGAAACGACTTTTTCTCGAAGCTATTTGAATCTTATAGTACCGTACCGTTTATGCAGCTCAGTCTCAAGCAGGGGGCTGTAAAATTACCACTCCCTGTAGTGAAATGCGTACCGAGAAAAGAGAAAGTTACTTTCGCAAATCACTGCAACTTCGCGTCCAAGTTTTCGAAGTTTCGACCTTTGTTTCTGTACTCATTCCCAGACTCGAACTTTCTTTCGAACTTTCGCGTTGCTAAACGTCCTTATTAGAGAGGTTCCGCATAACGTAATTACGTTAGTAAAAACCGTAGTCGATCTACGGAAAGTCTTACGTAAACTGCATGCCGATCTGGGTTCCGCCATACGGAGTTTTCAAATCACGTAGCTGCCCTTGGCAACTCCGAACATGGCAGTGTACGACCAGATCGACCTGGGGAGAGAGTCATAAATTTGTACCCCAATCCACTTACGGACCAGCTACGTTATCAGAGCACTATCTACGTACTCTACGTAGACAACTTTCCGTAAGTGGAGTGCAAACTCGCGAATTCACGGGTTTTTCCCGCCCACTAACGTAAAGTTGCTCAACTTTACGTGGTGCGGAACCTCTCTATTACCGAGACTACAGTCCATTCATAAAAAGATGGGTCCTGGCTCTAGCTCTGGCGAGCTCCCGTATTTGGCGATTTTTCGTGATTTCATCGTACACAGTGCAGTGCTGCGAACTTTGAAATTTGAAAAAGGGTCCAAAAAGGGTGCCTGAACTGGGGTTCGAACCGCAGAATGCACTGTTGCAGGCGGGGTCGAACGGCCTGGATTTTGATGGTTTTTCCCAATTCAGTGCTTTTGGGGCAAAACCTGGCCGAAATCCTATTCTTGCTATGGCTTGCTTTTTGGACAAAAAAAACTTCAGAAACAAAGAGGATTCCATATGCATGGGATTGCAGAAAAAAATTCTAAAAAAACTCAACGTTTGACCCATTTATGGCCAAAAGCTAGAAGTTCATTTTTTTCTGAATGGACTGTATAGAGTCCATAATTTTGCATAAACATGTATATGGACTCTTGGTATTACATCACGCTTGACATGCTTCGGCCGGCCGGCCGTGTCGAGTTTGCATTTGAAAATTCATTCTTGTTTTCATCAATACAATTAATTTTTAAAATAATAATTTTTGGACTTTGGACTTGGGCAAGGTCAGATCAGATGCCTTGGCCGAAGGTTCGGGTTGCTTTACGCTCCGGGCTTCAATCAATGAAGCCTTCATTCCTATGGGAAGGACAGTGCCGGTCTTTTACTGCCTTCTTTGGATGGATAGCGGCAGGCTGAACAATGACGTGGGTTGGCTACATATGTATCAAGGTGGGAGAGGCCAATGACCGATGTGCTGTCATTGACGCCGTCGTGGGCCGCACACTGACAGGAGAGGAGACCACCTTTGAGACCGAACTACAATGCTAGCTGATAGTGGTGCAGTGCGTGCTAGATAAGACACAATGACAAGCCATCACCTGGGCGAACCAAAGAAACAGCGACTGCCAAATGAAACAGGAGAATGGTGAACGGCCAGTGCCACAGGTCTGTTTCATAGCAGCTGTGGTGCCGGGTAGTAGTAGAACTACAATTGAGAAACTAGTTACTTGTAGAACATACTACTACATGTTATGAAGAGTAGGGCTCTGTGGAGCTCCAGTTGTTTACAGAATATCTGGGTAGCTCGACTGTAATGTCGGAAGGAGGCACAGTAAAGCATGCTTGGCAAGAGACGGAGGAGAGAGCCATGCACCTTTCGCAGATTTGCATTGATAGTCACTGTCACGGCAGTGGCGAGCAGCCTGGCGTTGGTGGCATGGATAGCTCTGCACCCATTACCGACTTCCTCAAACGATGCAGATGTCAACGGAGCACCAGGCAAACAAGCCCTAGACTCTCAGCAGGCAAGCAAGATCTTGCATTCTGCTTTTGAACATTTCCCCAACGGAGATGAAATCAACATAGCATGCCCATCCGAGCAGAGCCTCATGAAGGGGTCCTCCGAGATGGCTCATTTGGCTGTTGGCCTGTGCAAGCTGGAGTGGCATGCTGAGAAAAAGCGCAAACCGCCACCAGATCCCGTTGTACTCGTGAAGGACACATCACGAGAGAGATACTTTGCCAAGCGAGACATGCAAGCATGGCAAGTGGCATACGAGAAGCTGGACATGCAGGTAGTCGAGCCGGCCTTGACGCAACAAACAAAGCTATCCGACTTCACTGTTCTCATCTGCCTTGGCCTTGCATTCACTGACACTACGTGCATTCGTGCCGAGGACCAGGTGTTGCTTAAGTCATGGCAGCGTGTCAACCAGTTGTACGGCATGCGCTGGCTACTGTGGAGGAAAGATGGCTTCTGTAGGACACTAACGGGCGCATTGGCGGACAGCACCGTCAAGCCAGATTTCTTCTTCCGTTGCTGGACATTGCCGCAGGAGCTGAGCAAGTTCCGGCAAGCGGCCGCTGGCGGTGAGTATGCTAGTGATCAAGCCTGGATTGTCAAGCCAATGGGCCGTGGAGAGGGTAACGGGATCTTCATCACAGCGTCCGTCAACGATATCGTGTCGCGTCAGCTGGACGGCTACATTGTGCAGCCGTTCCTGGAAAATCCTCTCCTCATTGAGAATAAGAAATGGGACCTTAGAACGTATGTACTGGTGTCGTCAATCAGTCCTCTACGAGCATATTTCTATAGTGAGGGTCTGGTTCGCTTTGCTGCAAAACCTTACAACGCCACTGCCTGTAGGCAAGGACCAGGCAATGAACACCGCTGCCTGACCAACACGTCGATCAACAAGAAATTCGCGCACATCAGCAAGCTGACTTGGACGTACCGGAAGCTCCGGCGTCATCTTGACGAGCTAGGCATCGGCAGCCAGAACATCTTCCGTGCCGTACGCCGGGCCATCACCAAGACGCTTCTGTCCTCTGAGTATGAGTTTCGAATGCTCTATGACGAAGTGGCGCCGGACTACCAGTGCAAGAGCTGCTTTCAGCTGCTCGGCGTGGATGTCATCTTGGACAGCAACTACAATCCCTATGTTATAGAGGTGAGCGTACTCTCTGTGTGTGCGTGTGTTTTGTTTGCACCTTGTCATCACCTACCTGTTATGGTATACCGTATTTTCCGGGGTATAAGCCACACTTTAGACACCAGTAATTCACCCAAACAAAAAAAGTCGGTGCTGCTTATACTGCGATGGTCAAATTAATATGAACTTAGCCTCGTTGGAGCAAACAACTTGGTCAAATTAATGGTGATAAATAGGGTAGATGTCTGTATTTCGTGCCAAAAAATCTGGGTACGGCTTATACTCCGGAAAATACAGTAGTCAGTTCAGCGAAGGATTCCTTCTGGAACGTGCGTGCATATGTAATGGTACCCGGCTAAATAGCACTGCACATGCTCGCGCTAAGCACTATGTTTTCCTGTTTTCTGTGCGGTGCTTTACTGGTGTTGTAGGTGAATGGTTTGCCCAGCATGCAGCTGTCCCACGAGTTTGGTGTGCCGATCGACTCCTCGGCTGACTACACCTCTACCAAGCTGGGCTTGACACACGATATGCTCCAGATCTTGTATAGGCCACCCAGCATTGGCGCCGGTGTAGCCAGTTCTCTGCTAGCGCTTGGCATGCAGCAGTCAGGTCCCCAGTGGTGTCACACAGCTGCTGCTCTGAAAGAGGGCGCCTCCGCACTGCATAACCGATGCCTCGGAGAGCGTGAATTCATCGAGCTAGTCCAGGTCCAACAGGAGAAAGCAGCGCGTGGTCGCTTTGTGCGTCTTTATCCGTCATCGGACGGTGACGAATTTAACCAGTTAGTGTTGCACTCCCACAAGCGCATTGCATCAGCACTGCAGCGTGATGTCCTAACCAACTGGAAACTGCACTGGACTACCACACAGCTTGCCAAGATGGCCGCGGTCAACTCACCACCAGAATAGTGAACTAAGACTGTAAGATGATGCTTGCAGTGGGAGAAGTGTTCGTTCTTGAACCGGCCTATTCTGGATGTATTACAGTAGCCTTGCACCGCGTTGAGTGCTCAGTAACTGTGAGAATACAGGTATTCTCCTTGAGCCGGGCTTGAGTGTTGAACCTCACTTTCATCAACTATTACATGGCATTGTATACAGAATATGATAATTGTTATAAATGGTCAATTTCCCCTCCCCTTCTACCTGCACTTGTGCTTCGATTGTATGGGAAATTCTCCTTGGCGTGAACAAGCAGTGAGCAAACACAACACCGTTCAGTTGGCCGTGTACATGCCGGTGGGAACTGGGAAGACAAAAGACAAACTGCTCCAGACAGTTTTGTCCCTCGCGACTACAGTATAGAGACAGTTCATAGTCTCTTGAAAATTATTATGGTCTGCTCGGCTGTGCGCTACACAGATATCAAGAGTCTTGCAGCCTCATACCCGGACTCTTGCTGACATGGAACAAGGGACTTGTATGCTCCCAATTGGGCCAAACCGCTGTCTGCTTTGAACAGTCAGAGCTACAGTACACCACATGAGCAATGTTCAGTCAGTACGGAAAGCCATCACGGACTCTTGCCTTTTCCTGGCATCACCACCATAGTATAAAATGGTTTGTAACTCTTATCAGCAGGAGTTCATGTGGACTTGTGTTACAAGTACTGTTATACAATGTAGGTGGTGTGAAATACCGACATGGCAAAAACATGGTATGACTGTAGTCTGTAGAGTAAGAACCTCCCTTATCCGAGGCTGCGCTGCAGCTACCCGTACTTGGATCTATCATGAACACAATGTCTGTTGCCTGAACTGAATCAGTGCCATGCTGTGTAGTGGTCCTGGCACATAGCTATCATCTGCATGGGAGTCACAGTGGAGGGTGTTATTACCGGGGAGTAGTAAGTACTCCCTGGTTATTCCTAGTACTAGTAGTAGGCTACCCTTGCTCCCTGCTGTAGTATTATTCTCAATAGGGACAAGGAGACATGGACGAGTAAACTAATGAGGAGCAAGAAATGCACAACCAGTAGGTAAGTCAAAAACAAGAGAAGTCCCGAGCCAGTGAAGCACATCAAAGTTCTGGCCTACGGGAAACGGCCTGTGTGACGTACATACAGCATGCAACGCATACAGTCATAAGTGTACAGTAGTGTACGCATAATAGAGTCCAGATATTACGACATCTCCCCTTTCAGGGCGCGCAGCAAGAGAGCGATAAGTTAGCAAAACAGGAATAATGCTGAAGACGAAAGAGTAACGCTAAATGATTAACGGAATCTGATAGGAGTATGAACGGCACGTCCAGAACGGGTAACTCTACCGGAACGCTCAGGGACGGGAGTACCTGGAGATGGACGTTGGGCAGGTGACGCTGGCTCACCATTGTCCACAGCGTCGTTAGCAGAACCTGCAGGCGGATCGACGATGAGGTCACTGCGGTTGCGGCGGAGAACCGAACCGGATGGCGTCTCCACGATAAGCGACCTGGTGGAATGCTCGGCAGTGACAATACCAGGCTCTTTCCTATCCGGAACAAAGACAGCGGTACCCGGGACCAGTGGCGTAGCATCGAGAGCGCGATGGCGGGAGTTGAAATCCGACGCTTGCCGGGACTTCAGAGAGGCGTCTTTAGCGGCAAACGCTGTGCGATCTACGAGGTATGGCCGTCGAACGTCTGCCGACATGGGTAAACGCGTCTGGATGCGGCGGCCCATGAGGAGCTCCGCAGGACTGAAGCCATGTGCTAGTGGACTGGCACGATAGCTCTGCAGAGCAACATACGGATCACCTCCCCTCACCAGCAAATGCTTTAGGGTCTGCACTGCGCGTTCCACTAAGCCGTTGCCTTGCGGATGAAGAGGGCTGCTCGTGCGCTGGGTGGTTCCTTGCTCTTGAAGCCATGCTGAAACCTCTGCACTTGTGAATGGGGGACCATTGTCCGAAACAAACACATCTGGATTGCCGTGACGCGCAAACATGGACTTCAGTTGCGTGATGAGAGAAGCTGCAGAAGTACGGGACATCTGAGCAAGCTCGATCCATCGGGAGTAGTAGTCGACGACAACTAGGTACTGAGAGCCTTGGAACTGCATGAAATCGGCAGCGACTTCCTGCCACGGGAACTCGGGAAGACGTGAGGACAGCAGGGGCTCCATTGGCGTTGGCTTGTCACGAGCGCAGGCTTGGCAATTGGACACGATATCAGCCAACTGGGCGCTTAGACCTGGCCACCAAACTGACTGGCGAGCCCTTTCGCGGGTCTTCGTGATGCCGAGGTGACCAGCATGGAGCTGCTGGAGGACTTCTGGACGGAGCTGGTCCGGGATGACGATTCTGGAACCGTACAGGAGCAGGCCATCTGTGATACAGAATGACTGCCGGGATGCGTAGTAGGGCTTAACGGACACTGGAGCAGACTGTAAACTTGGCCAACCGGACAGAGTGTACTGCACAAGATGTTGACACACTGGGTCTTGAGCCTGCTGGTGTTGAATCTCACTCAGTCTTGCATCGGACGCAGGGAGATGAGAAACCACACTGTCGAGAAAAGCTTCTGCGTCGTCGAGGAGGCGGACGTCATCAGCGGACAGAGGACGCGACGCAGGTGACCTAGATAAGGCATCAGCAACGATTAGATCTTTGCCAGGGATGTGTACGATGTCGAAATCAAATCGCATCAGGTTGAGCCGGAACCGGAGTACACGTGGAGGGATAGAGTCGAGAGCACTGGTGCTGAACAGGGGCACCAGAGGCTTGTGATCTGTTTCCAGCGTGAATCTCTTACCGATGAGGTAATCAGAGAATCGGTTGCAAGCCCAGGTGAGGCCAAGAGCTTCCTTTTCTATTTGAGCATAGCGACGCTCTGCCGGCAGTAGTGCACGAGACTGGAACGATACGGGTTTCCAATCGCCGGACGGCTGTTGCTGCTTGATAACGGCACCGAGACCATAGCTCGAGGCGTCTGCAGAGACAATAGTTGGGTACTCGGGAGAGTACAGAGCAAGAACAGGCGTACACGACAGAAGAGCCTTAATCTCTTCAAATGCCGATTGCTGAGGGGGTCCCCAGGACCAGGCATTGCCTTTCTTGAGAAGGTCGCGGATCGGCTGTGAGACGGAAGCAAGTGAGGGAGAGAACTTGCCAAGCTGGTTGACGAGGCCGAGAAAGCTTCTCACATCCGCGACATCCTGGCATGGCGTGAAGTCTTGAATGCCCTGCACCTTCTGGGGATCAGAGTGGATGCCGTCTTGGTCGATGATATGACCCAAGAACTTGGCAGAAGTGACTTTGAAGAGACACTTGTCAGGGTTGAGTGTGACGCCGTTGTCGCTGAGCCGTTGTAGCACCTGGTGCAGCCGGTTATCATGTTCCTCTTCAGTGCTACCGAACACTAGAGCGTCGTCCATCTGACATGCGGTACCAACCACACCGTTCAAGATCCGAGCCATTCGTTTCTGAAAATGTTCGGGAGCCGAACAAATACCGAATGGTAGACGCGTGAACATGAAACGCCCAAACGGGGTGATAAATGTGGTCAACTTCTGGGATTCCTTGGCCAAGGGCACTTGGTAAAACCCAGAGTTGGCGTCAAGCTTTGTGAAATACTTGGCACCGCCCAACTGACCCAGCGTGTGGTCTACCGCCGGCAAGACGAACTGCTCACGACGAACGTGTTGGTTGAGACGTGTGTAGTCAACGCACAGACGGACTGCCTCCCCTCCAGGTTTGGCGACAACAACAAGGCCAGCACACCAATCAGTTGGTTCGTCGACAGGGACGATGACGCCTTGCTTTTCCATCTTCTCAAGCTCCGCTTTAACAATCGGCATTAGCGGTATTGCCACATTGTCGCGCGGGCAGGACAGAGCAAATGGTTTGGCGCCTTCTTCGAGGCGAATGCAGTGAGGCTCTCCAGTGAACCTGCCGAGAGGTTTGAACAAATCGGGGTATGCAGCTCGTGCTGTCGCGGTGTCGCGAATACCGCTCGATACTTCAGAGATGTCAGCCTTGACGTCCAGGAGGTCCAAGGCGACTATTGCAGGGCGTCCTAGGAGGGCCTGCTTGAGGTTGTTGGCAACGAAAATCTCTTGGCGAGACGACTTGCCCGCATGTGTTACCACTGCGTCGAACACGCCAGCTACGTCGAGGACGCTTGAGTTAGCAGACATCAGGGTACGACGACTGGGTCGCAGGGCCTGCGCATCTAACAGGCGGAATACACTTGCTGGAATTACAGAGACATCGGCTCCGGTGTCGATCTTCATCATGACTGGGGAATTGTTGACTTCCACCGACACAGACCAAGGGTCACGTCCGGCATCGACGCTGCCGAGAAACATGCCAGGGGCATGCGCATCTGGCGGTACAGTATGTACAGCGTCACAGGATCGTTGCTTCTTCTGGCACACAGTAGCAAAGTGCCCTTGTTTCTTACAGAAATTACACTCAGCTGATCGAGCTGGGCATACTGCACGATCATGGTCTTCCTTCCCACAGAATTGACAACTCTTTTTTTGTTGTTTTTTCTTGAAATCTTTGGATCTCTTCGGAGCAGACTTTTTAACAAAGGATACGTCAGCAGGGCTAACACTGGCGGAGCGAGACCCGGTTAGCTGAGCCATCTGGGTAGCTGTAGCTTCATGTGTCCTCGCAACTTCCAGCCCTTCGTCAAGAGACGACAACTGGTCGCCCTTCTCCAACAGCTTCTCCTGTACCGTTTTATGTCGGGTGCCGACAATCAGCTGCTCTAGCAAACGGGTGTTGACTTCACCGGCATCGGCAAATTTGCACTTCACTGCCAAGTTCCGACAGCGACAGAGAAAATCGTCAGTGGTTTCCCCCACATTTTGCCGTTGCTGTTGAAGCTGGAAACGGGCCAGCCACGCGTTTACTTTCGGCTGCAGGTGGGCCTGAAAACGGGAAAGTAATTCGTCCACTTTGAAGCGGTCAGCTTCGTCTGCAAATGTCCAGGAATTGTAGATGTCCACACCAGGTCGGCCTATCCAAAGGAGGATATATGAGCATTGCTCTTTCGCTGACTTCGCTGAGTACGGACCTCCGAAAATCAATTCACAATACTGCCTAAACGAGGCGAATTCCTCCGGGAGGTTGTCTGACTGCCATCTCATGGATGGAATAGAAAATCCAGCCATCGTTATCAGCAGCCCAATTCTGACACCATGTAGTATTATTCTCAATAGGGACAAGGAGACATGGACGAGTAAACTAATGAGGAGCAAGAAATGCACAACCAGTAGGTAAGTCAAAAACAAGAGAAGTCCCGAGCCAGTGAAGCACATCAAAGTTCTGGCCTACGGGAAACGGCCTGTGTGACGTACATACAGCATGCAACGCATACAGTCATAAGTGTACAGTAGTGTACGCATAATAGAGTCCAGATATTACGACACCTGCTAGTGAGTAGTGTACATGAATGCAGCATTCACACTTGCCACGTGATCGTTGCCACGGTTTGAGCCAATCAGAGCGCTCACAGGCAGGGCATGAACCTCTGATCATGCCCTGCCATTCAGGCCCTTGGGCTTGAAAAGTTGAATGGCACCGTAGGAGAACATGAATGATCACGTGATGAGTATACAGTCAGTATCGCCTATAGCGTTGGTGTTTGATTTTGAGCATTTTATCACTATAAGCGATATATTACTATGACCGATACTGCATGCAATGTATGCGAGTGGGGTGTCAAACGACTCAGCGCGCCGTGCACATACGCACTACATACATGTACAATGTCATGTAGCTGGCTGTAGCTCCGGACACACAAAATCAGGATTTCCTCATGATGGAGGCATATTTTAGCAACTTGTACAAGCAAAACTCACCACACAACACTCACTGGACAAGTTCTTCACGAAGAAGTAATACCCTGTTCTCCTCTGACATCGCTTGATTTCACATCAATCACTATAACCGATGCAAAAATAGTGTAATAAACATCTTTTGAAATATGAATTTGATCACTATAGGCGATATATTACTATAGACGATTATTACTATACGCGATAACTGTGTATACTTAGTTATGACAAATGAAAATGAATTTGAGAAATTGATCACTATATCCGGTATATTACTATAGCCGCCAACCTTATAGGCGATACGGACTGTACTCGCATGTGGAGAGACTTACCTGATCGAGGTGGAACAACTCAAGAGAGAAAGAAAAAGCCTGATATCCGGTCCATGTATCCATGCGGTGGCCCTTGACCAATCAGCACGTCCCGAGAGCGTGTGGAGGTGAAACTGAACACGCCGCCATGAAGGTATAAAAGGAAGAAACCTATAGGGGCGGTGGTCGGGGACGTGGAGGATTCAGCTTCTGAGTTTCAGGTTGGTACGCTCGAGGGCTTTGTTGATTCAGGCCCGAGAGCGGCCCAAGGCCGAAGGCCGCGGGCCGCTCGAGGGCCTGAATCAACAAAGCCCGAGAGCGTACCAACCTGAAACTTCACCTTGCTTGAGATGAAACTTTACCTTGCTTGAGTTGAAACTTCACCTTGCTTGACATGAAACTTCAGAACGAAACTTCAGAACGAAACTTCACCTTGCTTGACATGAAACTTCAGAACGAAACTTCACAACGAAACTTCAGCCGGAGCGCACGGAGGTGGAACTTCAGCTTGTGAGTTTCTGCCATTGTTGTGCAACGAGTGCCATAAAGGACTTGAGAACTTGGGCAGGCAGGCACTCGGTGTTTCTAGTTGATGTATTTCAAGTAGTTCGATTTATGCAGATTAGTGCAGTACAGTGGCTTTGTTTGCGCTGCTAGGTGCGTTGTAGGTGCACTTGCACGTGCACGTTCTGCTGAGGAGAGCGTTCTGGCTTTCACTTGTGCTGTCGTGCGTGGGTGGCAGTGTGAAACACAATCAGACATGGATGTCAGGGCGCGGGCAGGTATCGTTGATTCCGGCCCTCGAGCGGCCCGCGGCCTTCGGCCTTGGGCCGCTCTCGGGCCTGAATCAACGATACTGCCCTGACATCCATGTCTGATTCTATACTTCAAGTCCAGTGCATTACTACCATTAGCCTATTCCACTTGTTCCGGTAGACATCAGGAGACCGCGGTGTCCACCACGGCATGCACCTAGGAGTACGAGCACAATGTAGTAAAATACCGTGGTTATAAAAAGTCCAGTTCAGGGAGTAAAATGCATCATTCTTCTCCTCACTGGTTATCAAGTTATCATGGTTATGGATCCTGTCTCGACTCTATTTTTCAGGGAGTGATAACCATGATAACCACTCCTGGCACTGAGTCCTGGCTTGGTTACTGCCAGCAAGACTACAAGTTCAAGTTCAACAGAGACTGCATGTGCCCTCTTGCTACCAGCAAGAGTACGATCATTATACAGTACACTGTAATTATTTTTATTGACTCTTGCAGTCTTGGCCTTGCTTGGCGGGTCTTGCTGCTTGCTACCACTACTAGCACTAGCAGTAGCACTACCAGGGAGTCTGAGCATTTCGTATTTTCGTACATCTCCACGCGTTTGAGTTGATCCAATTACGGTAATAGCACAGTGCAGTGACATCATGTCATCGACAGTCACTGATGATCACAGTGATCAGTGACACTGCACAGACTGACAGACTCAGTACACCGCGGTACCGGTACAACTGCAACACTGATTTTGATTTTTGAATATTCTATTCAGATCACTGCAAAGTGTAAATCACTGCAATATCATACAGGTCGAAATGTAGAGAGACCACAAGTAGATCTACCTGTTTCAGAGATTGAGCAGATCCTCCTGTATGTCTTCCTGTAACCCAGCCCGTTCATCGATAGCTATTTTGGAGCACCTCGTCTGCATTCTCACAGCGCTGAGTAGAAAGGAAACTGAAAATGACATCTGATTCTCCCGACGACTCTGCCAGCATTGCTTCAGCTCGCTGCAGTTCACCCCCATTGCCTGTTTCCTTTCATTCTGTGTCTATTACGGACAGTGAAACTGTACCGGAGAAGGGCTTGTTCGCGAGGCCATACGTCCGCTACCTTATCACAACAAGGTAGGTGGGTGAGATAACAAAAGGTGAAATTTTGGGGAGATTTGAAAGACAACGTGCATCTCTCAGTGGTACAAGTACTAGTAAATCCTAAACACAACTTGTAGTCAGCATGCAGCACTGACAATCCCACTTCATCGACACTACACACACACACACACAGCTACATCGTAGTGAAAAATGGATTGAGTGCATCTCACCCCGCTATCACTCACTGACACTGTGATCATACGTCAATGAGAAATACATAGCAGCAGGGTTCGGGCTAGGAATTAAGGGGGAGGGAGGCAGGGAGAAAAACAGTTTGCCCGTTTTTTTTCTTCATTTTCCAATATTGCCGTGTCACACAAAAATGCAACATATGCGCGTATGGCAGCGCGCACCCGGAACGATTTCGTGGCGTGGACGGAAAACACAAAAATCGAAAGCAAGAAAAACTGAGTAGGGGGTGCACTATCAGAGTGGAGTGCCAGTGTTGACGTCGGGTGGGACGGGAGGTGGTGCGGTGGCAGTAGTTTCGGCTGGTGGTGTGTGATTTGCTGGCGGAGTGACGACAATCGTGGGCTTCACGAATGACATGTGACGAGTTGATATTTGGCCAGTTGCTGGGTTGGAGATCGTCGCAGTAGAACCATTAGTCTGGTCGCCGGTCCAGGGGTTAGGATCCCACTGTGGTACGAGCTTGTCGTGCACCTGCTCATTGCGGCGTAAAACGTGCTGGCCAGTGGCGAGGCTGGGGGCGTTTGGCCGGCGGCTCGCGTTGGCAGCGTCACACTGTGATTGGCAGAATTACTGGTCACGGCTGGCAGCTGTAGGAAGATCTGGCACCGATGGCGTTTTTTTTACGAGAAACCACGAACCTCGAGAACAGAATACTACATGATAGAGGTGGTTGCAGACGCAACTGTGGTGGTGAAACTGGAGCATCTCCGCCGACCTGAGGTCTCGGCTTTAGCGACACTTCAGTGCACCAAAAACTGGGGAGGAGTAGGCACAGGGGATGTGCATAGACACCAGCTACACCCCAGCTGATGTCACATACACCATGTACACTGCACCTACGACTAGTAGTACAGCAGCTAATCCACATGATCCAGTTTACCTCTCAGATGCACCTTATTTCCTACCCGACTATGAGGCCTTCATGGACTACTGCGATGATACTGCCGCCACCAGTGCCCACGTAACAGCCACGGTCCATGGCACAGCGTTGCCCATCCTCATTGACTCTGCTGCATCCACCAATGACGCGCACTGATCTCAGCCGAATTGGTGTCCATGCTGTGAGAGCTAGAGTACAGTGGGTCTTGCTCAGCTATGTTTGGCTGCGACATCATGGTTGTGTACAGAAGCTGGATTACTCTGCATGGACAAGCAAGCTTTGGCCAAGTGGCCCCACTTACCACACTTGGGGCAGTGCCCTGCCACTTGCCACGGGCAGCACCCACAGGAGCGGTGGAGAAAAAGTCACAAGCTGCGCACTCTGGGTTTCATGTACTCTTGCTAGAACCCTGCAGTAGGGAACTCACACACACAGTACATGTACATCAAAACATGGTTTACCGGACTCTGGATCAAACGGAATCCTGTCCGGACTGGACAAATTTTCATGCACGGATGTGCTGCCGTAGAAGACTCACCGCAACAAGCGGTGTCGAACGCGGAAAGCGGAACGGATTTCATGCACAATTCTTTTTATCCAACAAGTGATGATTTGTCACCCACAATCTCTCGAAACTTCACACGGACGTTTATATCGCATTTCATGCTAGTAAGTTTCGTGTCCGAAGTTGCGAAAGTTCTTGTGAAGTTTCTCACTCCATTGCGTAGAGGGAAAGTGACTACAGTAAAACCTGTAACTAAAGACCACTGTGACTGGCGACCAGCCTGCTACTGCAGACCACCGTGACTGGCGACCAGCCTGCTACTGCAGACCACCGTGACTGGCGACCAGCCTGCTACTGCAGACCACCGTGACTGGCGACCAGCCTGCTACTGCAGACCACTTCGCCAGGCACGGACGGTCTCACATTCATATATTATGGTTGTGCAGTGCAAACCTCTAACTAAGGACCACCTGCCACTAAAGACCGCTTTCTCTGGCCCCAAGGGTTGGTCGTTAGTCACAGGTTTTACTGTAGTTTGTACATTTTCGTTTCGCAGAACCAAATATGACGCCATGCTGATCAATTTACATGCATATATTCATTATATTAGTAATCAATGTATGTTCTAACTTCTTGTGTCTCTGTGCGGGTGAGCAGGTTCAAGAGATTGTCCGAAACTGACGCTGGACAGGAAGTCCTATGGCGGCGATATCGTGAATTTGACGCACTCCGACAGAGTTTAATTGCTGCCTATCCATATGTAAGTTGTATCTTCACGTTGTGATGGGCATGGACTTCCTCACCGCAGGCCAGATCAATAACATTCACAAAGGAAAATTGGCCCAGATACCTACTTAATAAGAGTTTTTTTCGTCTGTTACGATAGGAAGGATAGTGTGAGTCGTATCTCCTGTTCACGGTTTACTGTTAATCACTAGTGCTGTGCTGTTCTGTTTGTTTGTTGATGTACTTGCAGGTTATAGTACCACCATTGCCGGAGAAAAAGGTACTGTCCCGCTGTTATAATAAGTGCCAGAATGGGCGCCTAATTTCCAAGACTTTGCAGCTTCACATATCCCTCTGCCACAACTCGTTGCACTTTCTGTTGTTTTATTATTAGTTGCATGGTACAATTTGTGGCGTGTTTCCAATCACGCTAGTCATTCACTAGCAGTCCACTTGCATTGCACTTCAGACATTGTCCTACAACGCTCTTTGTGGGTTTCTTTGCTGTCCAGGTGCTAGTTGATGTTGGGGATGCAGCAACAGTGCGTGAGAGGTCTATCTCTTTAGAGGTACGATTTGGCTAAGCCTTGCTAGTGTTGTGTCTATGACAATGCACGTACACATGTATGTGGAAGCTGCTATAGCTAAAACGAACTTTGCTCGGGCTTATATAATTCCACTGTAAAGAAAGAAAAAAGTGTGCTAATTGTTTGCTTCGTCTGAGCAGATCCTTTCTGAAATCGGCTTTTTCTTCGCTGTTCTCTGCCTATGATGTCTGCATGTGTGCGACATTAGTCACAGCGACTTCAGTGTGAACCCATGTACCGCAGTAGCGACTGCTAATGCTCTCATCACGCGTACTGTAATTGCAATGTTGCTACCCTGCGAAAGGTGCCCTTTTAGACGTAGCAATGCCAGGTCCAGTGCTTTGCTCTAGCTGTACCAACACTGGCCTGTGAGCCTGAATGCAGCACTGCAGCTATGTTCATGAGGGTGGCCTTCTCTCCATGTAATGATGTTATACGACTAGCCACCACTGTGCACTGCACATGTAGTGTACTGTACACTGTCCACTGTGCACAATGTACAGTAGTGCATTGGTGAATCACTGTGCACTGCACATGTAGTGGGCTGCTGGTTATAGAACACAGTTTGTTCTGTTCTATTTCCGTTTTCTTCATGTGCAGGCATTTTTGGAACGCTGTACATCTCATCCTATCCTGTGTAGAGACTCTTCCTTGTGTACATTTCTCCTGGAGGTGAGCCGTGACCTCGCTGGGCTTTCTCCCTTGCATGCATTTGTGTTTGATAAAATGAATGTGTCTAAAGGATCCATACATTTCTCTTGGAGGTGAGCACCTCGCTGGGCTTTGTCCCTTGCATGCATTTGCATGAATTTGTCTAAAGGATCCATTCATTCCTCGTGGAGGTTAGTGCCTTGCTGGGCTTTGTCCCTTGCGTGCGATTGTGTTGGATGAAACGAATGTGTCTAAACCAAATGCTCCAGGCATTTTTCCTGGGAGTGAGTGCCCCACTGGGCTTTTTCCCTTGCATGCATTTGTGCTTGGTGAAATCGATGTGTCTCAAGGATCCAGGCGTTGAAGCCTGCCTGATTGTTAGACCATTCATGTAGATTGCATGGTGCACTTTTGTTCTGGACAGTTGTACCAATGTTTTACCTGCCGTGTGAAATCTTGCAATGTATAATAATGCTTGTGTTAGTAAGAAAAAGGGGCTGTGTATTTATCTATAATATTCAGCTCAATCTCGTAGAATATGCAAGCACTGCAAATATGGGTAGCAACCCCCGAGATGAGGGTGATACCCAGCCATGGCGAAAGTAGGAAGAAGACACATGAAAGCAAACCTTAGCCACTAAGTGAGATAATAGGTACAGTTGCGCTCACTGAAATCCGACTCAAAGTGCAAAGCTGACGCCCTGGACCAGTTCCAATTCCATCACTGCATTTGTACATGTGTACGTCCAGCCGCATTCGTGCCACTTCCGGGGCGTCAAGGGCCGTGCAAATTGAGGGCGCCATATATGCACTTTGGGTCGGATTTGATCGAGCGCAACTGTAGTTACAGCTAGGAAAGTGTGGATACAGTGGGAGAACGCAACCTACTCCTAATAACTTGACGAAACGTAGACGTACGTATATACATGTACTTTCACATTGATGGGTTGAGCTTGACAACTTGACCCCGCCAGAATACAACCGAAATGGGGATTTTGTGAATTGGACTGCACGAGCCGCATGTAGCGAGACTCCGTTACTGGTATGCCCTTGTTGGTCGATCTCGCATAGTTGCAGGGCACCAGATGCCTGGGTAAGTTTAATTTTGTGGATACATATGCTGCTGTGGAGATAAAGTTGAATAGGGCTTGAAAGTGATGACGTCAAAAACGGCCAGGGAGTAGTAAGTTGACATCAGATTTCTATTTTGGATCCACTAAGGTGTGACTTTGCTATTGCCTCAGTATGTGGGTGCATAGCAACCCACTCATGTCGTATGCAGGGGTGACTTTTACTTCGACACCAGTTGTAACCCCGCCCCCAGTAGCCAAATCAGTCAGTTTCACTGGCCACATCACCTTGCGGTGAGTAAGACGGCTTGAAATGTGCTTGGATCCATACAAAAACTGGATCCAAGTGGATCCAGTTTTTGCATTTTTCAAATTGTTGCTATGCTGTGACGTAGCACTTTCAAGCCCTATAGAAAGCAGGCAGGCATGAGCTAGTTAGGTTGGGTGAGCTGGGGAGGTTGGAGGTTGAGCTAGGTTATAAAGTGCTGCTGAGGGGAAGCCACGAGTCAAGTAAAATAGAATTTTGAACTACTTTCGTTGGCAGACCCGAGCTTGTCTGAAGTCATGGCTGACAAATTGTGACAACCATACCAGTCTGTGTCACAGTAATCAAAGATCGGACAAATGTACACAGAGAAAACAGAGATCTACTAATTCAAAGCAGGTTGCGACAGTGACAGATGAAGACACAGCGACATGTTCATTGTATCAACAAGCTTCCATCCTCTGAAAGCAGGCCATCTATTTCACAGCTTGGATTCGCATGCTGAGGTACAACGACGGTCAGTTGCAGGTGCGATGGGAGACACAGTAGCACGATGACTGTCGATCAGAGTTTTGGCGAGCAACACTTAATGCCATACTGAGCCGAATGCCTTGGTCAGGTCAAAGAAGCATAGACCTTTGTGGCGCTGAGTTCCAATTCCTGAGTTCCTGGGGAAGGCAACAAGGTGTGGATGGGGCAGTGAGTTCCACTTCCCGATTGACAGCTTCTGCGCCAGCCTGTGGAATGCTGACAGCTTGGGCAGTGCTAGGTCCATGTTCTGATCTAGGGCCATCTACAAACTGTCGTTTTGGGTCTAAGAGGCAGAGCTCTAAAAGTTGCATCTGCACCCTACACAAAACATTATTTAAACATTGTTTGGAAAAGCACCTTGTCTTCTTTTCCTACTGCAACACAGTAGTCATTTGATGTTCTCTCCACTTCTTCTTCTCTTGAATGCAGTCAGTCTCGTTCGACAAGGTTGAACAGCCAGCTGCTAAATCAGTAAGTAGTAATCATGTCTTCTAGTGATATAATATCTCGATTCTTTTTTTCTTTCAGGCCTACAGTCCAGTTTAGTAAGTTACCAATGTCTATTCTGGGTTTGTCCTCTCTTCTTCTGGAGTCTCTTAGTCCTAAGTTGTACTCGCAAGGGGTGGATTCGTTTCCTTGTTTATGAGTTCCCTCGACTTCTCTGTATGCGTTGTGCGTGCGTGTCTGTGTGTGTGTGTGTGTGTGTGTGTGTGTGTGTGTGTGTGTGTGTGTGCTATGCGGGTGTGTAGAGTGTGGAGACGTCAATGCTGCTACAGCAAGTAACAAGCACATTAGTCCCACCTGATCAGTAAGTTCTGAATGAAAATTGCATGAAAATTGCAGCAGTGACAACATATTTCCAGAATACGTTGGGAACCTGGAAGCCTTTGCACGTGGCATATTTCCAGCTATTTCCGCGGTGTGTGTTATTTCGTGGGTAGTAAAGTGCTACGAACCTGAAATTCTATGTCGACCTGTTCTATAATATATTATGTACATGTACTGTTGCGCTTGAGTTAGTTTGAAAACATCCTTAGGTGCCACTCTGACACTGCTGGCAAATGGTGAACTAAAGTTTGTGCCGAGGTTTACAGTAGTACCAAGAGTACTTTAGCTCCTAAGAGTGTGCAACTCTGCATATGGGATCTCTGATGGCCAGAACTCACATCACGTGTTCCAAGTACATGTACATCTCTGCGTTCAACGAAGGCCAGCGTGCGCGCAGTCCGGATGGCTGCCGTGGTCAAGCTGATGACTCGCATAAGCTGACTGGGATTCTGTCAGGGAATGCTCTTTTTGCTGCTTCAGTGCACACTAAAAGCGGGCTGCTGGGAACGTACAACGTGAATACTGTACCACCTGATGTGAATTTTCGCCGTCGGCAGACCTCACAGAAAAGGTTTGCATACTCTTGGGAGCTTCTTAACTCTTGGTAGTACATGGACAAATAGCTGTGCGTGCAGTGTATAGGAGTAGTCGCTACATGTGAGTGGCTCCCTTCTGTGTCATTTATCTCTGCAGACAGTTGCAAGGCATTGACCATGTGGCAACCGAGACTTGCAGGTACACAAGGCGGGCTTTGCAACGCATGCAGGTAAGTTTCATAATAGTCCACACCGTTGTAGTGGTAAAGAAGCAGCAATGCTTGAATGGACTTCTCGCTCAGTGACTTCCTCCTTTCAGTGAACACCAGATTGTAGGGAGAAAAGGACCTCTGAGTTTGAGACTGCGTTCACAAATCGCAGTGCAATGCGGCTGAGGCTTAGCAAATTTTCAGCCACTGCGAACACTGCTGCAGGTGTGAGATGTCGGACGTATTCATCCATCTCCTTAACTGGGGAGGTACATGTGCCAGCAAATTGCGCCTCAACGCTTCAAGCGTTGATATCACAGTGTATTGCCTCTGACGTCATAAATATTTCCACTCAAATCCAACCGGCAATACACTAACAAAGACAGTTAGTGTTATATCTCGCTCTCAGCTCCTCGCACAACTCACATTTCCCGTCACGACGTACCCTTGCTAGCGAAATGGCAAAGTATGCTATGCAGGCTGCCGCCAGCACTTTCTGTTGAATTCTGTCCGAAACGCAAGCGGAGAGCGTTCTCAAACACTTTGTCTAAAAGTAAAATGCAGGGAAGTTGCCTTATGCAAGAGCCAGTGCCCTACCTGAAAGGCTGGAGAAATGGTTGAGAATCTCTGCAAAGTCTTTACTCATTCTACGTTTTAAGAGTAGAACGAGGAGAATGTTGCTGGATCAATTCCAAACCATTCTGCAACAATATTACCAAACGAAAAGCTTCTTTGGTCGAAGCGAATGTCCAAGAGACTCTTTCATGCGGAAATGGAGCAATTGAATGCAGCAACATCATTGGCATTGTACAGTGTACTTGGGTGATGTTGCAGTCTACGCCGGGCTGTCGGTGCATTTGTGTGCCGGATTTCTATTGGCACTCGTTTGCATGTGTTCTAGTACTGGCTTGTTGCTTTCACTGTATATATGTCTGACATGGATATGTAACATGTGTGACTGGCCGCGTGGCCCAACGGATAAGGCGCCTGACTACGAATCAGGAGATTCCAGGTTCGAATCCTGGCGTGGTCGAATTTTTTTCTTGCAATTTCACTTGACTGCAAATGCACAATCATGACCGTTATGGAAAGGGTCTATTGCAGGCATGCCTTTTATTCTGACGTAAGCGAATTTTATTTTTGCGTGCGTGTGTCCTTTTACATGCCATAGAGAATATCAGTGCTCCACCAGAGACAAGCTCACTGTAGCTCTGATACATCGGAGTGTCTACGGTAAGGTCATGACTGTGTGCTGTTCAGTGCGCAGCCGTATTCTCTTGCCCCAACTGCTAACCTCTACGAGGTGGTTTGGCTTTTTTTTTTAAACATGGTTTTAAAATGTCACTTTTTCGTCAACTTCTAGCAAAGCAATGTCAAATTTTTTTATGGCAAGTGGAAGTAGCATCCTTCTTGCCAATTGTGTCCAAAAATGGGGACGATCCATTGAAGGAAAGTTCCTGAGATCACGCCCTGCTTTCATGGTGTTCTCACCCTTGAAAAAGTAGGTGTGTCGTTATTTAACATAGTGTAAAATATCATCACAAACCACGATAACCATGCATAAATGTATTGAAGTTGATAAATATTACTTCAATAGCTGGTACTACACCGATCTACAGTGCTGGCAACTGAAATCCGACCCCCCCTAGCGGTGCGCTAGCCGCATTAGCGATTCGTACGAGACGCTAGGGGGGGGGGGGGTCGGATTTCAGTTGCCAGCACTGTAGCTTCAAATAACCAATACAACCAGAAGCAGGGCAGCACGAGAGCTCATTCCGCACGCCCCCATATGCTATTACAAGGGAGTAGTAAAATGCCGGTATTTTACTACTCCCTGCTACTATGCAACAGAAATCAAGTCATTCGTGCAGATCCCAGCACTCATTAGAGGACCACCAGAAAGATACACATCAATAAGGTCTTCATCAAAAGCAGACACCCATAACTGTTAGTCTGCAGTAACAAAAACTCAACCAGCTCAAGCGGCAAAGAAGAATCACCGTGACAGTTAATTCCGAAGAACGCACATGACTCAAAACACACACTTTCAGCAATCAAAGCAGAGAGTGCATAATAAAAGATAAAATAAAATCGTACGTCAAAGCAATTCCTGCTCATATATGTGCCAATGGGGAGCAGGGCATGCAGAAAAAGAAGGGATCCGATTCCGATCGGACCATGGAAAAGATATAATGTAACACGACCAATACAAGCATGAAACAAAAAGAGCAAGAAGGATATAGACTGATTTACGCAGTGATGCATATGGAGGGAATCCTCACAAACTTCTAAGTGGTTGTCTTGGTAATGTCGGCTGTTATGAAAACTGCAAACACACAGCACATGGACATGCACCGGTAAGTAAATAAAAACTATCGCGTCCGTTCCCGAAAAACTCACGGCGGCCGCTAACACCCGGTAAACCCTGCACAGGTAGATACGGGGTTATCAACTAAACATGTAGTTATAGTCAGCCGCGCACTGAGTAGAAATGCACCTACTCTTATACAACGACTTTTGAAACCAGTGGAGGTCCGCCTAAAAAACCCCAAAGGAAAGTCTGTTTTCGTTCTGTTCCACACTTTAAAAATAATTCACAAAGGAAGATAGGAAGTTCTGCAACATACCCGATGAGGCACACTATCACCACTGCGTGCTATTACTGCCGCGGTGCTAGCGGCGGTCTATGACCTATGGCACTTGTTGCATGCTGCACTCTGAGCAAAGCCGAATACAAACAAAACAAACACAATCGTTCAAATAGGGTGTTCATACTAACAACTGAGCAGAACGAATTGCTTCATGTGTTGTGCAAACTTGAACCCTAATTTAGAAACCATCCTGTCCCCTCCCCCCCCCCCCCCCCCCCAACACACACCCACCCACCAAACAAGATGTTACAACGTAAATCAAGTCATTCAACTAACAAAACGCATACCTCGATGCCAGTCCATGCGAAGTCTGTGGCGATGCTAGCGGCGGTCTAGGAGATGCTGTTGACATCCGTGATGTGCCAAGGTACATACTAGTACGTGGAGGTGCTGAATTGGCTGACAACACAGGGCTGCTACTTGCATTTATTACCAAGCCACTTACAGTGGCTGAAGCATCGGCTGCAGATGCTGAAGTCGGAGCAGTATGTAAGTTGCCGGTGTCCACGGGCCGAGATGACAGAGGACTGGATGTTGCTAGAGGAGAACTGCATGACAAGTCCACTTGAAGTGATGCTCCAGGGCTACATGTTGCTGTAGAAGACAAAGAGCTCAGGTACGTTGCAGGGGGCTCAGAGCACGGGGATACAGAAACATCGGAAGAGAGAGTCGGTGCTGAAGGAATGTCATGGAACAATGACACCAGAGAACGCATATTGTTAACCTCTTCCACAGGATCCTCATCTGACAACTTCTTTTCCAATGCGGATAGAAGCACTGCTTTGGACTCAGACCCCTTTACAGATTCATTGGTCAAAAGAAGAAGTGCTGCAAGATGCTTCTTCTGGAGTTTGGTAATGGCCACTTTCATACCCTGGTCGTGATGTTGCCATAAGAGCTTCGCAGCTTCCCTAGCAGCGTGCTGACGATCCTGAGATTTCTGATTGTCCTTGGCTAGTTTCTTAGCAGCTCGCTCATTCTTGAGGTTTTCCTGCACCTCTTTCCGTTTCTGCCGCTCTTCAAGCTTAGCTCGACCTGCCCCGTATGTCAACGGGCCCAAACTGTGGACAGAGGAATAACATATACAGTAATGCAAAGGTATTGTTCAGCCTGCTTAAAACATGTCATTGTGAACCAATGAATGCTGTAAAATGCAAGCCACAAAAATACCAGTAAATGAACAGTACTCACAGTGCACACATCAACTGTATGTCTTTTGTGTTGCAAAATTGAAGGACTTCGTGCGGCTGTGTGCGATGGAAGTTAGTAGTACTAAAATTGAAGATGTTGAATGTAAGAAAATAACTCACCTGAAATCTTCGCCGCCCAACCGAAGATTGTCAACATTGGCACCAGAATCGCCTGAGTCTGATGAATCGGAGGTGCAGTCGTTGTCATCTGCAGTTACAGCATGTTGTTGAAACTGCATGCAGCTGGTGTCGAGGACAAGACCACTGGCATTTGACTGGTTGAGCTTCTCCTTGGTGGCTTCCTCTTTCAACTTGAGGTCCCAGAAGAGCTTTCTGTTGCAGCACTTGGTCGCTGGATCAAATCCGATCTCTGCCCATCCCTTGCGGCTGATACTAGCATGGAAAGCGTCCTCCCACGTTTGTTTGACAATGGCTGGCATATCGGCAACACCAGGGCGAGGTGGCTGACCACCAAGGACCTTCTTCACAAGCAGATCAGACTTTGCTTGCCTAGCCTTCCTCTTGAAGGCTGGGAAGTTGGCCACATCAGCAACTTGCGACACGTGACTTGTGTGTGTGTGACGCGGAGTTGGATGTCCACACCGATTTCCTCAGCTGCTTTCACCATGGGCAGCGTTGTGTGGGCACCATAGCCATCGCACAAGGCGTACGCCTTCTTCCCGTCCTTCTTGGGAATGCACGGCCCAACAACTTGCTTGAGCCACAATGGTGCTAGCTCATACGAAAACCCACCACTCGGATGCGGGTAAAACTGGCAAGGCCTTCCTTTACCAGAATCTGGGTCGATGATGGTAGATCTGGGAGGGTCTTTCATTAGGGATAGCACCATGCTCTTCGAAGGTGGCGTGGCACAACCTGGCAATGAGTCCCCGGACATAAACGATCCTCCGGTTAAAGTCCAGCGGACGCTAGACTTATTGGCGATGCAGGTGCCATCATCATCACTGTCGATGGTCATTGTCTTCTCCGTTGGTGCTTTCCCGTCTGAAACCAGTCTGGTCCCACTCAAAGACCATGTCGGGATCAGTGATGAAAACATGACGCCATATGGCTCGTCGGGTTAGAAATTGGGATTCACTACTGCAATGCCGCACCGAACCATGCCCTCCATCACGATTTGGTACCATGTCTCAAAATGAGCACTTGTTGTCCAGCGCTGTCTGTCCGTCTCCAAACGATTTTGATTCTTCATCTTTATGCCGTACCGCTGCCGAAAGCCATAGTACCAGGTGTATGACACATTCTTGTCCTTAAATTCATCGGCCAGCTCGGTACCTTTGATCAGGTGATCAGCTGCACTGACAACCAGGGACTTGCCAGCCTTGAGATTCAATGCCCGGAGCGTTTTTTATGAAGTTGACGAGCTCGACTTCATAACGAAGGGGCAGACGGTTTTCTGGCCACATCGCACTGGCGTTAATATCTGTGGTTCGGCATCGGCTTCGTACTGGCGAAGCTTATTGTACAAAGTAACATGAGTCACTTGAATGCCGATACTGGAGAGCAACCTCGATGCTTGCCGACCGTCACGAGGAAGTGAACCGTGATGCATGGCATCAATGGCCCACTTGCTGCCTTCGCGGTACAACCCAACTGGTCCACGACGACCATGCTCAGCCTTATCACCAACTCGGCTGCATTTACTTTGCAGACTCTCCAGCACTAGCGCCATGTTTATATCCGCTGCCGGCTCGGCCGCCAATGGGCTCGCGGATTCTGCTGCACACTCAGGAGCAGGAGGAGGAGGCAATTCACCATTTTTGACAGACTCCAGCACACCAGTAGCACTGAACTCACGCTCCATGTGTCGGAAAAGCTGTCTGCTGACATTGAATGCGGTGGCAGCCTTGGACTTCGAGGCGTACGTAGTGGCTGTGTTAGGAGGGGGAGTAAAATGCACGGACGGCTAGCATCGCACGCTGCACAGGCTTTTCTTTCTCCTGGGGCTTGTTCAGGGAATCACTGGTCCCAGAAACTGCTTCTGTGGCAGCAGGACGTGGTGCCCTCGTTCTGAGGCCATATCGAGTTGGTTCTACGTCTGGTTCGTCCATCTAGCACCTTATTTTGCACTTTTTAACAAACTCTCACTCGATCACGAAACCTCACGCCGACATGACGGACACAACGAAATTTCGAGGACCGCGGTCACTGGCCAATGTTGATCTATGACAAGTTGGCTTTCTCTTGCCCCAGACGACGGTTCGATATCGCCACTCAGAACAGTTTTACAGGCGCTGAGAAAAATATTTTACACGATTTGTTAAAAAATGACGAATGTTAAAAAAAGCCAAACCACCTCGTACTGCTAGCTCCTACTGCTAGCCCCTACTGCTAGCCCCTACTGCTAGCCCCTACTGCTAGCCCCTTCTGCTAGCCCCTGCTGCTAACCCCTGCTGCTAGCTCCTACTGCTAGCCCCTACTGCTGGCCCCTACTGCTAGCCCGTACTGCTGGCCCCTACTGCTAGCCCCTACTGCTAGCCCCTACTGCTGGCCCCTACTGCTAGCTCCTACTGCTAGCTCCTACTGCTAGCCTACCCATTAGATACCTTATTTCAAGCCATGTTTTCGTACACTTTACTTGATGAGGTTGCCTTGCCTAATGTTAATACTGTTGTTTTCTGTCTTTGTTACACTTGCCCAGGAACTGGAGCATAATCGACAAGGACTTAGCAGACCCTCTTGCCATTGCCAGCGGGAAGTATGAAAGGTAGGACTGGTTTGAGCCCTAAAGTGATCGTTAGTATTTGGTTGGTGTGAGCTACCATTTTTCAGTAATGTAAACCGGGAAACCTTTGCAGTCTGAAAAGTGAAAACTTTCACGATTTTGCAATGGGTGTGAAATCGCGAAAGCAAGCCTGCGCATAGCATACTTCAAAGTAGAACTGTAGTAAAAAAATAAACAAACTACTGAAATTGACTCCAATCACAACTGCATTTCCAGGTGCAAATTGGCCTGTGCTGGAAAATCGCAAGTCAAAGCCGGTGCAAAAATTTCCCGGTTTACAGTACACCCAACTACGTCAGTTGCAGTACAGTCTGTATCACACTTAGAGAGCAAACGTCAGGCTATTTACGAGCAACATTTTCGAAAGTTTTCCATGCGTACATGTATACTTTCATGATGAGTTTCATCCCTTCTCGTCACGTGGAATACAGGCAAAACCCAAAGGAAGAACAAGTAAGTACAGCAGAGAGATGGTAGAGCAGCGCAAAGAAGAATATCCAGAAACAACATAATAAAATGCGTGGCCCCATTCACATAAAGGAAATGACAAAAAGGTGCAAGTGTGAAGAAACCTATTTTTAAAAGAGTGTGAAACGTAGTGCGACAACAATAGACAACCAATGGACGTAACTAACGAGGGAACCTTTCAGTTTTACATACTTCAGTATCACACATACTTTGAGCATTACTGACTGGCAGTGTCTCACCGCAAGATCACATAATTATTATGTGTTCATAATTTTGTATCTGCATTTTCCCTGTCCTTGTGTTCAGTTTTGGTGATAACACGGCAGCTCACTGGAAATCACAGCTGGAGCTCGTAAGCAGAGTGTTCCATGACTACATACAGTACAGCGAGGCACTCAGGTTGGTGATGACATTTGAATTGCGTTTTTATTCGAATGAACTCGGAATTCTCATGTTATGAATCTTCTTTATTATTTCTTACTCTCTTGTGTTCGTTCTTAGCAGGAACCGGAGGTTTTCCTCTGGTGAGAAGGTAGAATTGCCTGTGCTTTATACGAATTCAAATAAGAGAAAGAAACAAACAAATGTCTGCATACAGTGTATGCTAGTAATGCTAGTGCGGTGTTGATTTTCCAGAACTATACAGCAGCAGGGGCTGTCCGTAAATACCCTCTTCTTTTTGTAGGGTGTGTGGGGGGGGGGGGGTCGGTAGAGGGAAAGTGGGAAACTGACCATTTTTTTGTTTGTTAGTATCGGTATTTAGTACTATGTACAGATGGCCCCTTACTTGTTGTTTATTGCAATATTCTCTGGAGGATACAATCAGGATGTATCTCCCTCCTCCCCCCCCCCTTTTTTCTTAGAGCGGGAAAAGTCACTTTCAAGCTCTTTCCTCATTGTAATTTTGTGACAGCTCACACTTCCCTGGTATCGACAAGGAACAAGTCTGCAAAATGACTTACATGCAAGCATGCAATCAACAGCCGTCTGTACCCTCCGAGCAAGAAATGAACGTCGCTTTCTCATTGTCTCTCCATTTAGCTACTTCGAAGTATTTACCTCTGTCTCTGCATGTGCGTGATTTTTTTAGTTTAAAGATATACTCAATCTGCGCACGGAGAAAATGAGGCCGAACCTGGTAGCAATGAAAAATAAAATTTCCAAAGCCAGATTTAAGCCAGATTTAGTTGAAAGATATAAATAGTACACAACGAGTTAACGAAGATACTATCACGAATAGTATGTACTACGCAGTGGTGGGGCTGCCTGGCTTCCTTTGTGACCTGACCGATATCATGTTGACTAGCTTTTTAGTGTATAAAGTTATAAACACATTTAGTTTTTCATCGTATGCAATAGCCTAGTACACTCCGTGCATAGGTTTCTACTCAGAACAAAGTCACACAAAGTCACCGTCTTGAGTGTAGTTGCAGTTCATGTTGTAGTACACTTGTGGCTGTATTTGGATGAATAATGATGCTGATCTTCTGCCGTTCTGCCGTTCTGCTTTCCACGCTGTTCCTGCAGACACGTTCTTCAGCGTGGTCTCCACGTAACTGCGCTGATCAGTGGCACTGAGGTGAGGGGAGAGGGGGCATATGCGTTCTGACCATAATATGAGGGGGGTGGGGGGGGGGGGGCTGCTGCTGCCGCTGTACAGCTCTGTACACCGATTAATGATGTGCTGCAGCCACTAAGAGTAATTGGCTCAACAGGAAAGGCAATTCAACCGTTTGATAAATTCTGGTTGAGCGTTGTGTAGCCACCAAGGTGGCCAAACACATACTTCTTACGTTGGTTTTGCGCTTGAACTTTTCTTCTGCTGTTTTGCACTCTCTTTTTTTCAATACTATTCTTTATGTATGTGCTGGAGCGCAGGCAAATAGTACCAACTACTCCCTTGCCACATATTTACTGTCTGGTGGAGCGGAGGCCAATCGTAGCCCCTCTATGAAAAAGCACCGCGAGGAAGAGGCTGACGCTGCAAGGTAGGCGGTGTGCATCATGGTGTGCAGACTTCCTATCATCAAACAAAGTGTATGTGTGCTTGTGTGTGTGTGTGGGGGGGGGGGGGGGGGCTGGGGGAGTATGTATCTGGTTGTGTGCATGCGGTGTGTGGGTGTGCATGCCTACGTATAATGTGCATGAATAAACTGTTCATGATAAGACCCGACAATTGCCGGAGACCGCAGAACTTTACGTGTCCTGCATGTCGTATGCTGGGTCACCCTGCCGTTGTTTTGGCCGTAGTGTGTGCATAGCTGGATTGGATCGTTTTGGTCTCAGTCAGGGCTAAGAGTATACTTCACTTTCAGTAGCTGTGGGATTTTAGCTGCATGGATTATTTGTAACGTTCACTTTTCTTGTTATGTGTGCAGGAGAACGATCCTCATGGAAGTGAATCGCCTTGATGACCAGCGGATTACTGCACAAAGACAGATGTGGTTGGAATTTGCTCGTAAAAATGTACAACATATTCGCCAGGTACGTATCCTCTTCCCTGCTGTGTCTGTAGACTCTGCTGCAAGTTCCTTTATACTGCTAGAGCCAGACAGCGATGCTGCTCGTGGATGCTCTTCTAAAGGATTTTGTGCTGTGGGGTTTTCATGAAACAAACAAGGGTATACATGTATGTGTGTGGGGGGGGGGAGAGAGTACAAGTCGTGGCTGCTCGCTGACACACGACACAACGTTGCTGTAGCCTTATCTTTACTTTTATGACCTGGTGGTTCAAGTGAAAGGAATATGAAATTTTCTGCACCAATGTACATGCATGCGTGAGACTGAGAACAGGCCAGCATAAGTTACAGCTATGGTCAACTTCTGTTTACAAGTAGATTTGATGATTGTGAACGTGTTCTTTGTTCAGATGCTGAACGGCTGGGTGAAAGTCAAGGAAGCATTTCTACCTATTGCTCAAGAGCCTATTGACTAGCGTATCGCTACTGTAAGCAGTATGAGCCTCGTCTGTTCCTAACCGAAGTTCTGTGTCTACATTGATCTAATTTATATTTCCAAATATTCCAAATTTGCAGTTTTTCCATACCCAGCATCTTTTTAGGCAGCACCTCTCGCTCCTCATCGTCTTGATTTCCATAGACGTTTCCCTATCTTGCTATGTGTGTGTGTGTTGTGTGTGCGTGCGTGCATGCGTGTGTGCGTGTGTCCCCTCCCTCCCTCTTTTTCCGATTGTTTCTTGGTTGAGGCTCCTACCTCTAGCTGTCTTGTACGCATTCGTGTTTCTGCTACTCTTGAAAATTCTGCCGTCATGAAATTCATACTAGACATTTGGGCCAGGCCTTATTTCTGTCCCATTTTAGTCATTGTGGACAAACTACCATAATTATCTGATTTTTACTCGGTTCCCTTTTGTCACTGGACATGCCTTTTATCGCCTTTCTTTTTGTTTTGTTTCGCTGGTACATATCCGCTAACCTGTGCTCGCCTCCTACTCTTGCGAGCGTGCGAAAGGTCTCTTTCGAATGCTTTGCGTATGTTTACATGTAGCCATGCTTCCGTTGCCACAGTAGCTACTTAGTGCACCTGTTGCTTTCATCTTGGTGTGACTACATGCGGTTTGTGGCTACTACAATAATAATTCAAGTATTATAATAATATCTTTATTAGGATGACCCAGGGGCTTGTCGCCTATCAAGGGGTTCACCGCTTTGAAGGATGTACATGTACACGTATGAGCTAAAGTGAAAGTAGTGAAAAGTTGTGCAGCGTGAATGCGTTGGGGAGCGCACGGGGGGGGGGGGGGGGTATGTACATGGTGTAGGCATACCGGAGAGCGAAGCACTATGGGGGTAATTATTATATTAAAGTTTGTGCAAGAGCGTGTGTACAAGATCTTGGTTGGTGTTGTATGGCCCTATGGGTATGGGTACACCTGTAGCGTTACAGGTGTATGCAGTTAGTCGTGTTAGGTCAGTTGCTTCGGCATATGCATACCACAGGACGCAGGTGGCATGCAATGGTCATATGGACTCCTGATGATTAGTAGGGAGTCAGGTACGCCTTTGGCCGGGCCTGCGGGGAGTAGTGAAATAACACAAGCACCAATCCCTGATGACTGTAATGATCACAAAATGTACAATCACTGTAGATTCAACAAGATACAAACGTCTTGGCTTTGATGAGAAAAATGAGAAAATGGGTAATCTATCTGTGAACCAGAGTGATGTACAGACAGTGCACTAGTGTAGTACGAGATCTCGGAGCCAACAATACATGCATCCGATCCTTGACGTGACCTTGGCACGTGGAGCTAGCTTGCAGAGACAAGCTAGCTACGTCATGCACGGTGCTTTCATGCATAGCTAGCTCGTGGAGCATGTGCATGGTTGGGATTCGGAAGACTTTTTGAAAAATGACATCCAAAAAACTGTGAACAGAAGCCATTCGACCAAAAGAAAAGCGAACTGAGTGATTGCAGGGTAGATCTACTTAGGATTGGGCAATTATTTGTGATAATTATTCAAGTGTCTGGACCTCAAGGTGGTTTCGACTTGCCTATCCTCGAGTGAGATTAGAACGGACGTAATGTGTGCTATTGTAGTGTTTTAGTGAGTGCGTGAGCGAAGATCCACCAATCATCTCCGTGCTAGAATAGCATTTGTTCGCAATGAGTAGCTGGCTGTCGTCCAATCTGTCCTCAAGCTTTTCAGAATTTACTAGCCAAATATCTTCATTGGCCGGTGATGTGATACCAAATGGTATTGCACCGCAGAAAGAAGAGGCAGAGCAAAGTAGGCAGCTGTATTCGCTATGGATTGTCCTGGTTGACACCATTGTGTTTAACGTAAATGGCACAATAATGCCTTCTGCCTTCACTTGTGCCCCTGTGCAGCCGACTCTGTCCCGCAAGCCTCAGAAAATGGTGTGGATGGGGCAGAAGTGAAGCGCGTAAGTTTGTCATATTGTTGAAGTTCTTCCCTCTCTCTTTATTTTAAAAGAAACAAAACAATATCTTAAGGCATTCTTGATAGTACATTATTGTATGGAGGATTAATTAATATCCTCCAGGCGACCCTGCTTCCTCGTATTTTTCTTGAGCATGGTCAGTTGACCAGGTATTGTAATGAAATGAACACATCAAACGGGAGGACGCATTCTCAAATACAGTACATTAATTCAAAGAGAAACGATCAGAAATTTCCGAAGAAACACCGCATGTCTACGAACTATTGTACTCCCATAATTATGACATTCTCAAACCAAACCGGCCAATCACATCGCGTGTTCTTAGGCGAAAAATCTCCAGTACGTCAACGCAATCCCTGCGATCCTGGAGATTCTCCACTGGGTCTCTCAAACTCTGTGAACTTGAAAAGAAATTTATCGCCATGGCAATAATTGTGCATCCTCTACATGCAATTTTGTTGTGCAGGGGCACTGCCCCCTATCCTCCTTTGCCTTTGGCTAGAACCCTGACCTACGACTCCAAACAGCTGTTGAACCCCGTGTTCATGTTCAAGCCCTGCCCTTTGTCATGTTTCTTGGACCCTGATCTGATCATAGTCTGTACAAGTACATGCCGGAAAAGCTAGTTTGTTCCTGCGGAAGTCTTTCCTATGCACACGTGTTCTGGAACAGTGTGCGTGTGACTACATGGATAGGTAGTTTGGATGAATTGCATGTACCTCCTATATTCTCCTTTCATGCTGTATTGACAGACATGACAGATACACACACACTCAGACTCGGACATGCCCATCGCGGAAGCGATGATAGCGAACAGCTATGTTACACGTAGCAACTTGTGCTGGGATTACACCATTCAACAGGTTGCAAGGCTGATGAATCGACCACCACTAATTTTAGCCTGGCATCCACCACACAGCTGATTGAAGAAGTTGCTTTTTCTGGCCAGTGAATCCCTATTTTTCTTTTTTTTCCATACACACACACATACACACACCTTGAACCTTGAACCTTGAACGTGCCCATTGCCGATGGCAATGATAGCGAAGGGACTATCTGCTAGCTTTGCAGTACGGAGCGTGGCGATTGAGATCCCCGGGACGACGGCAGACCTTTCCACATGGGCAGCGCAGCGGTACACACACACACCATGTGCCATGTGCACGCCCGTCGCAAGAGAAGCACGCAAATCTACAAATGCACTAAATGTGCACCCACAAATTTTATCTTTATAGCAACGATAGCGGATCTGATTCTGAATGAAACAATCAAGACAAGCGCCAGACAACTGTCTAATCCATACAACTGGCGATCCCCAATGCACATCTGGTCTACACCACACAGAGTACGTCGGAATAGGACGGCGCGCACACACCATGTACCACACACACACGCACACACACCATGTACCATGTATGCACCTGTCGCAAGAGAAGCACGCAAATCTGCAAATGCACTGGATGTGCGCCCACAGATTTTTTCTTGTAGCAACGATAGGGGACAAGATCTGAATGAGACAGATCAAGACTAGCGCCAGATATATATATGTCTAATCCACACAACCTGCAAAGCCATGTGAATCGACCACCAATGCACACCTGGACACACACACACCACACACACACACACCTTGACCTTTTTGATGTGAATTATGAAAGAGCAGTTTGAAATACACAACTTGTGGACAGTAGCCATGTGGCCTCTCCAGTTCATCAGCTCGGTGTGTGACTCCTCTCTTGATTATTGTTGTGTACAGGATGGTTTCTCTTTACCAGTGGCCGAGGTGGAGAAGCCAGTTGAAACGCCATCTGGCTTCCAGGATGTAACGTTTTCACCCATCAAGGATGAGTCTCAGCGACGTAGCATTGATGATGCCCTTACCAGCACACCAAACTCGTCCAGAGGCAGTTTCTCAGGTGTGTGTCTCTACTTCTCCTATCCCGAATGACTTAAATAGGTCATTATGACTCAAGATAGAGTAACCTTTTGGAATACTAGCATGCTCACTTCCCTGTTATTATTTTCTTGTACTGTGCTGGCTAGAATCGCCAGTGTTCTGGGATTTATTTTCATCTAACTCTCTTGCCCTCATCGTTCCACATCTGCTGTGTTTTGCTTGCAGAGTTTCTTGGCGAGACGGGTAGTTTTGTTGGTGATGCTGCCAGCTTTGTCGGGGCTGGTGGTGACAGCAGCGCTTTCACTGCTGCTAAGGAGCCATCGCCGTCAGCTGTGCACTTTGGTCATGATCAGAGCGACGGTGCAGCGCTCAATGGAGCACAGCACGATACACTGCCCGAATCCCCCAGCAATGCTGGTGTTGAGACTCCGAAGGCAACTGTTGAGGTATTTCAAGTGGTTTGGACTGTTACTAGTACTCACATGCATTGAAATTGTGTTATTACTAATATATTCTTCAGAACTTTGAAGCTCCATTGTAGACTTGTCATCTTTTCAGTACACCTCCAACTCGCAACACACAAAGTCCTCGGCTACACCACGTACAACAATTATTTCCTACTAATAATTATAGCCTATGCCTTTCCACGAAGCTGGCAATTTGACTGAGGCGTTTGCCATTCATTGTTATTCATTCCACTGCTATCTTGTGCCTGTTCCTTGTGTTTAGACAAAGGAAGACGAGCTTGCTCTTCTGCAAACACGGCATGAAGAGGAGCTCCGTTCTCTTCGCGAGTCTCATAAGCTCAAGATACAGGCATTGCACGAGCACCAGCAGGCGGACATGGAAGAAATGGAGCAGCGCATTGCTGAGCTAGAGTCCCAGCGTCAGCAATCTATGGAACAACTTAGTGAGCAGCAGCAGCAGGCGAACGGTAACTTGTTTACTTGCACTTGCAATCTCCTAATAATGCTCAGTGTGCACGCAAACAATCATGTACTTCAAAGTGGGTATTGGTGGGTATTTGGGACTTTTTTTACACATAGCAAGCCTGGCCTTATAGACATGGTTCAACATACTCATACTAGCAATGCCTTGTATTGAATGTCAGTATGTGCCAATGCATGTTACAAGACTGAGTGTAATGGTGTCTTGTGCTTGTTTTTCTTGTTTCTTGTAGCGGCCAACTCATCATCACACTCCAAGTTAGCGACACTGCAGGACTCTGTGGGTGAGCTGACCGAGAAACTCGAGAAGGCAACGATACAGGTGGACAAGAGCCAAGCCAGTGTGTTGTCGTTGGAGTCAGAGATCCAGGAGCGAGACAGGCTAATTGCATCCTTACAGGAGTCGGCCGCGGCTACAGGTACCGTAGGGTCTTGTATTAAAGGGGAAGTTAAGGCAAAAATTAAAATTTCACCAGTTGTAGTCTTCGGGGTGCTGAGTCGAATGGTCGTGGTCCGAGGAAGCTGAGACGCTCCCTTCCTACTTGAATCCCAATCGAACTCGCGCACTTCCACCGAAACTGGGTGACTGCGCCCAACTAGATGGGGATTTGTATGCAAAATGTCACTAAAAGCGCCATTTCGTTCTTATAAAAGCATGGATGACCGCGATTGGCCCATATGTTGTAGTCTTTTGGACGCTGAGTCGATTGGTTTTGGTCCGAAAAGGCTGCAATGCAGCGTTCCTCCTTTATTCCCAATCGAACATGGTTGAACAAGCGGTCACGTGCTCCTGCGTACACCAGTCACCTGGTCACCGTGCCTGCAGGGTACAACTTACTAGCCTGTTTGACCTTTTTTGGGTGCAGTCCTGTCACTCGAGTTGAACTCGAGTTGAACCTTGGTGTGAAAGTTGTCGCCTGCTGGCGTGGTGACCAGGTGATTTGGGCACCCAGGAGCACGTGACCGCTTGTTCAACCATGTTCGATTGGGAATAAAGGAGGAACGCTGCATCGCAGCCTTTTCGGACCAAAACCAGTCGACTCAGCGTCCAAAAGAGTACAACATATGGGCCAATCGCGGTCATCCGTGCTTTTATAAGAACGAAATGGCACTTTTAGTGACATTTTGCATACAAATCCCCATCTAGTAGGGCGCAGTCACCCAGTTTCGGTGGAAGTGCGCGAGTTTGATTGGGATTCAAGTAGGAAGGGAGCGTCTCAGCTTTCTCGGACCAAGACCATTCGACTCAGCACCCCGAAGACTACAACTGGTGAAATTTTAATTTTTGCCTTAACTTCCCCTTTAAAGCCTGTCTAGTATAGGCCTGTTTTGAATACAAACCTGATTCTCAAAATGCACTGGCAGCACATAAGCCTGGTTGTCGTGTTGACATACATAGAAATACCTGACTTGAATAGAAGCCTGACTTGAATAAAAAGAAGCCTAGCACTGCCATCGGCTTCTACAGGAATAAGCCCGGCTTTAATACGCAACAGTACGGTATGCATCTATGGTTAATGTAGCGTTGTGTCAGTAATCAGTATGGCCTGCAATGTAGTAAGCTGTGATAATTTTCTTTTAGTTTCATGTACTGGTACTCGTGTGTTAAACTGGTTTTGTTGTGTTTGGGTGTGTATAGAATGAAAGGTGAAAAAGCAATGCATGTTCAAGAGGCAGAACATACGGACGGAGATAAAACATGGGGAGTGTGATTCGTGACTCTGTTTTTTTAAAAATGTCTACCAGTGACTGGTTACTTCCATATCCCTGCTTAATTTGTTTTCACTTTGTATTCTACTGTTGTAGTTGAGTGCACTGGTTGTGCGGGCTTACGTCGGGACCTCGACGATGCTCTGCTCCAACGTCAGAAGCTCGAGGAAGCCTCTAAAGCAGAGAAGGTAGGTGTTTTGTGATGAATTTCAGTGTGGTTTAGTAGTGTAGTGGATAGTGCATGATATCTTCACCTGTGGCTCAACTTCTTTGAAGAATGCTGCAGGATCAAATCAGGTCTGCAGCTCATTAATACGCTTGTTCTGTGAGTTTTAGATCGTCAGCACCGTCGGTCAGTTCTGTGAATCGTGTTCTTTAGCTGTTCTTCTTATGCACAGTCTATCACTGTATTGGTTTGATGCAGTGACTGTTTTATGCAGCATGCGTTGCTGTGTATATTCTGCACACTGTTCTCCCTGAGACAAGTGTGCTATCAAGTGTGTACTAATGATGCGTGTTGACTGTGCATGTTATCGGCAGGTGAGGCTGGAACACGGTGATGCTGAGCGCAACGAGTCGGAGATGCGTCAAGCCGCTGCTCTCGCCACGCTGTCCGAGGAGCATGACAAGCTACTGGCTACATTAGAAGAGTGCCAGAAGCAGCTCGCGCAGGTGTGTAGCTTTGTTAGCAGTTACCTCTCGAATCCTGTCATCTGAACATGTCTAGCCTCTATGTGGAGACTGTAGAGAACCTCAGGAGACCCCCCCCCCTGGAAGTGTCCTTCTTGCACTATTTCCATGGCATAGCTGTCTCACTACAGGTGCCAGGTTGCCCTGGGCCTTTGGGATGCTTTCAGTTTATGTGGCGTTGACGCTAAGAAAGAATGTGATCCACTTCTCTTGCAAACTTATTGGAATCTTGACTCCAAGAAAACTAATGCACTAATGTTTCCACTAGTACTTTCATTGCCTTCTTTTCGAGTGGATACAGACAGAAGAAGAAGAAGAAGCTAAACGTCCCTAATAACCGTTAAAAGTCAACGCATAGATGATATCAGCAGCCGTAGGCAGACTGAAGAGAACAAACACGGAAAAAGGAGTTCTGTGATGATTCCCGCGCACTTAGAAAAATGCCGAATCCTACAGTGATGCACTAGTGATGGAGATAGGACATCCACACATCGTTAATTCTGTTCAGTTGCCGTCTACTGTTTCACTTTACTCCTTTTTCTGTGTTTATTCTCACTAATGTACCTGTATCCTTCTGAAGAGAAAGCAATGAAAGTGCTTGTGGAAACTTGGTAGTTGTAAAGAGCCTGAAGCTCGGTGTGTTCCTCAGTCTGATTATTGCCTTACGGAGCATTTAAAGAGAACCTTTTTCTATCTGATTTGGAAATCACTCTCTTGGCTGCTAGATTATAACTTCATTGTGTTGCCTTGCCACTGTGTATCTCCAGGAAAAGCAGCTCTCTGAAGAGTTTTCGTCAGCAGCAGAGGAGTCTGCAAGGGTGTCGAACTTGTTGGCCTCAGAGCAGGTTAGCGTGGGTAACATGTTTGCTGATGCTGGTTTGGCATTTCCAGAAGAACAAATTAGAAAATGCGAGCACATGTATGTTGAAGAGAGTCGCTGTTTCAGCATGTAAGCTGCAGATGTATAGACAGGTGACGAAGAATTTGAAGTATTCTTCTGTGTCAGGGCCGTCCAAGATGCTAGCATTTGTGCAAACCAGAACTTTAGGCCCACACGTACGGTAACAATCGGTCAGTGCCAGAAACTGTGACCTTCCTTTGTGCATGTGGGAGCGAACCCTTTTTTCAATGTTCCTACTACCTTTCCCATCAGTGTATGGATACCTTCAGCTGAATATCGATTTACACTTCTGTGCAGCTGCACTCATGTGCTTGTCACTTTTTTGTTTTTCCAATACATTGGCAGGAAAGGAGCTTGGCATTGGCAAAGGCATCAGCGGAACACGAAAAGCATGCCGGGGCATTGGATGCTGAGCTGAACACACTGCAGGCAACTCTACAGGAGTTCAAGACACGCGAGAGCACAATCACACAGGAGATGGAAGAACTACGAAAAGCATCAGTTAGTTCATCGCATGAGGTAAGAGACATGATGAGTGCATCATTTGAATTCGTAATAAAGTGCGGTGGACTTATTCCTTTTCCTGTGCATATACACTGTTGTAGGTGGTGCACTTTTTTTATACTTGTAGTCTTTTCTTTGTTGTTTGGTAACAATGTAAGATTATCCTGCTGTCAGCTGAGTGCTCTGCAGCAAGTATTTGTATCCTTTTTTCCTGTGCTTTTCTATGTATACAGTACTCAAAGCTACAAGACGAGCATGAGCAACTCAGTGCTGCACATTCCAGTCTAAAGCAGCAAATGTCCACAGAGCAGTCAGCATCTGAATCCGCTCGCTCTGCGTCTGTTAGTCTGGTACGGTTCGAGGAAGTCAATGCCAACTTGACGCAATGTCAGCAGCGCCTTGCGAAGGCTGATGGTGAACTTGCAGCCATGAAAGAAAATCATGCAGTAGAGGTATGGTTTGTGCTTCCTTTCTACATACTCCATTGCCAACAAAACGTTGGTCAAAAAGGCGCATTATGCTCAGGTGCGCTTTATACTGGTACAAAAATACTCAGGCAGCTTTTTTCTCTGCTTTCTAACTGATTGCTTTTTTTGTTTTCAGTTGTCTAGCGTTAACTGAATGCAGCCTGTATTATACACTATGTTGTACCTCGGTGCTTTGGTAGTCCATCAGGATAGTTGATAGGGTGGTGTTTGTTGGGTGTTCACTGCAGATACAACAGCAGCTGGACACTATCGCTAGCCTGCAAGCAGAATCACTGCGGAGCCAGGAAGAGCTTAACAGCCAGTTGTCCTCTGAGCAGGCATGTTGCTATCATTGCTGTTGCTGTCTGTTACTGCTGCCGCTGCTGCTGCTGCTGCTGCTGCCGCTGCTGCTGCTGCTGCCGCTGCTGCTGCCGCTGCTGCCGCCGCTGCTGCTGCTGCTGCTGCTGCCGCTGCTGGTGCCGGCTTCATCGTTGTCGCTTTACCTCCCTGTGGTCTAACTTAGTACTGCTGTGGCGATATATTTGAAGTCAAAAGAACACAGCATAGGGTGCTGTTCTGTAGAAGAATACATTATCAACATGGCACTGCTGTTTGTGTGTCCTGATCGTGTAGGCAATGAAGATCTGGTGTCAAGGAGGAAGGCAAAGTGCACTGCGTCTTGTACTCTTGTTTGAAAGTGGTGGCCTCTACACACAATCTCACTCACGAAGTACTCACAAGTGATGTGTGGACCTGGATTACTAAATCCTGTGCTGATATGTTGACGTGTTGTGCTGCCAACCTGTGCAGGTGAGAAACGCCAGCCTTACCCAGCGAGCATCTGACATGGAATCGGCGCTCGGTGCAAAGAGCGCTGAAGTCGAAACGCTATGCTTACAACAGGAGACGCTGCGTGCACGCGAAACGAGCCTCTCTGAGCAGCTGGACAGCACCATGACTGCGACCAAGGAAATGTCTGAGAAGGTATTGCCGCTCTGTTCATGCGTGTGTGTGTGGGGGGGGGGGGGGGGTGTAATTGTGTATATTTTTATTATTTTTATTTATTGCTGCAGCTGTTGCTATGGCTGATTCTGATTCTAGTCTCACTGTGTCGACTTCTTTGCTGTCGTTCTTATGTGCTGCACATGCGTACATGAACCCGTTCGTGTGCAAATGCACACGCACACACACACACACACACACACACACACACACACACACACACACACACACACACACACACACACACACACTCGTAGCTGTTGTGGCTAATGCGATGGCAGCTATCCAGGTGTTTACTACAGTACCCGGCTTCTATTTTCAATCTTACAATAGCATCAGAAATCCACCCAAATTGTGTTTTACAGAAACACTGTGGAACTGCATGTATTAGCTGCTTATTTCATTGCACAGGGCATTAGGTTGACAGTTGTGTTGCTAATGTTCCCACTGAAGCTTTTGTGCTGCTTCTGATTGCTGTGCCATGTCCACTATATAGCATGCCAGGCTGGTTGCTGATCATGAGGAGCTTGCTCTCACACACTCCACGTTGCAGCAGGAGGTCTTGTCTGACCGAAATACTTTAGAGGTGCTGAGACAGTCCTCAGTGGACACGACTGTTCTGACACAAGTTCAAGCTGAGCTAGCTCACTGCAAGCAGCAGCTCGTGGACACTCAACAGGAGTTGGAATCGGCGCAAACGTTTCGGGATTCAAAGGTAGGGTATTTTTCATCTTACTTGAAGTATATCTTTCCACCTCAGGACTTGTACTGTATACATATATCCTAGTGCAAGTTCTGAACTCCAGTGAAATTGTGTGGTTGCCTGTGGTTCTTAGAGTTTAGGTTAACTTTCTAAATGGCTTGGCCCTCCTTATTAACAAAGGGAACCCTGGAACCTGCCTCCAACTATACTTGTAATAGAACTAAGAAGCAGTTACAGACGTGACCTGCTGAGGTATGCTACCTTTGGCTTTAGTCTCCCTCCTCTACATAGCTGGCTTGGTTGATGATGTGTTGATTGCTTCAGGAACAGTGTGGCGTGCTAGAAGAAAGAGTGAGGGATTTACAGTCGCAACTGGCTACAAAGGACACTGACCTTAGTGGCATGCAGTCTCAAGTTGATCAGTGCAAGACGCAGGAGTCCCACTACGTACAGCAGTTGGAAGTCTGTAGGACAGCAGCTCAGCACGCAGAAGAAGAGGTACGTGTGCATGTTCATGTTAGTCCAGGCAGGGAACATGAACTGGCTCTGTGATGTTCTATCTATTACCTGCTGTTATTTTATGCTGTGTGTATCCGTTAACGGTTTTGAGAAGGTCTAAACCTTCATGCTTACAGTTACTCTGACTTCACTGCAGGTATCGAAAACAAGGTGCATTACTGTATGGCCGCTGAATTCTTGTGACGGCCAAACTAAGGTTAAGAAATGGATCAAATAGAGTGATAGTCAACTAACACTTCTTGCACCTATTGTTTTTTCTACATGGCAGTGTTAGACTGCAGAGACTTTGCTAATTTTGTGCTTTTACTTTGCATCATTGTTGTTTGCTGTTTGCACACAGCACTCCAAGCTGCTTGCAGATCATCAGCAGCTGTCTACATCCTATTCACAGCTGCAAAATGACCTCTCTGCCGAGCGGAGTGCTGCAGAGTCTGCCAGGAGTACCCTGGTGAGTTGCAGTGAGCTGGAAGCCGTTCAACATCAAGCAGCACTGTATCAGCAGCAGCTTGCTCAAAGCCTGGATGAGCTGGCAACTTTGAAGGAAACCTCCTCTCTGCAGGTATAGCTGATGACCTTGTATTTCTGAGTTACTTGCCTTGGGTCGGCTGCGATTACGATTTCATGAGTCTCTGCATTGCTCGACACATTAGAATGGTAACTGATGAACTGGCCCCTTACAGTCCGTGTGCCAGATTCAAAAAAAGTCGTCTAAAAGTTGACTTTTCATTTTCCACACTGGGCAGTTTGCGGGTACTTTTTGAGTCGCATTCTCAATGGTGGACAATTTTGGAAAATGGTTTTGTGTCTATGGCTCGTTTGTTTTGGCATTTCGCTACCTGTGTGGTTAGCCTAAAAATTGCGCTTAGCCGTGGCAACGCAATGGTGTATTCCGTTTTTCAGCCAGATGACTTGTTTCGCTGTGGTCCGGCATCTTCCTAGATTCTCAGCCGTCGTCGAATTTGAGTATTTTCGAAACATTTTTTAGGGTGCAGGCGTGGGGCAAGGCTTTCACTCCCAGCCAATGGCACCATTTGGCATAACTCAGTCCTATGAACACGTCACCAGGCCCTCGTTAGTGTCCAGCCCATATTTCCAAAAAATGGACTGGACTTTAAACTTGAGTGTACAGACAGTACTATGCATTATGCACGTAATGACCGTATGCAATAACTTTCGCAAGCTACACGACAAGGACTCGCTGCAGAATAACATAATGATACTCACACCATATGCCATTGTGGTGCACCGTGATACCAATGACAGTATATTTATCGGTGATCAATTGCCTACTGGGTCGCTCCGTTGCCGAGAACGTCAACTTTGCGGACTGTGGAATGACCCGCGACACCGCCAACCACCCCTGACACAAAGCCAAATGCTGAAAGAGCTGACTGATACGGTACCTAGCAAGTTAACTGGATAATGCTCATCTTCAACAAAACCAGGACATAAAACAGTGCTATGATAAACTACCTCCAGTCACCGGAAACAAATACAGTGCATTACGCATATGGATAGAGATTGCACTAGTACATGTATAATTGTATACCAATCTTAGAGTAAGAAAACAAGTTATCGGGTCTACACCATCAGAGTTGGCAGCTATATGTATTGGATTCTCCTGGTGTGCAGAATGATGCTGGCGGCGTGGTTCATATCCACTGTTGGCTTGCTGTCGGCAGTACTTTCACTATCTCACGTCTAAGGCATTTTATAGTCTGCATGACTTGGATCAGAACGCCATAGTTATCCACACGAGAATGGTAATAAATCCAGATCACTAAGGCCTTCTTCATTGCAGTTGGCGCAATACGTTCACGGGATCGCGTCTCCGACCTCCAAATTGTAATTATAGGTGGCTAGTCTGTTGTTTATTGGCAGACAAGAATTGCGATGCTTCTTCAAAAGAGGCAGTTTAGCGATGTCTGTCCATGACATATTCCGCATTGCTGTGTGTGGAAGGAAAGGTGCAACAATATTAGATTGCTGCTGGCCATAGACATCAAACTGCAACATCTGGGCTTCAGCTGTCACAGGTCCATTGACAGAGAGACTGCCGCATATTGCACATACTGCAAACTATTGACTTCATACCATCGCCTCATGGATCAGAAGTCACCACACTGAAAGAAGAACAGCAGAGGAAAACACTTTCAAAACAGAACTGATGCAGTTAATCGATGCAGTTAATTGGCAGCAACAAATTTACTCCTTCATTTCATTCGACGAATTTGAGTCGTGTAATGCAAGAAAAAAGTCAGAGAGCAGGATCTAGGAGAGGGCATGCACCAGTGCTGTTGTGCCTATAAGGCCAAAACAAATAATGACCTTGTTTCCGGTCGCCCGACCGGGTCACTTTTTCCCAAATTCTGAAACTTTTTTTTGGTCCCAAATGTATACAAACGGTGGCAATGCCATGTGTGCAAGTGCACTCAACGAGTCATAACTCAGTCAAATCTCAACCGAATTCCACAATCGAAACACCTACAAGGTAGCAGAGATTCTCAGCTGTGGGCTCGAAAACCTCCGGGGTCGATACGAGCTAGAATAACGGAGCTGGAAGGACTCAAACTGTTTACTTGATTTCTCAGGATGTACGAAAACAGGAATACACCACATGCTGCACAAGAACAGTGAGTCAGTCAACTTTGACATTGACCCTTGCCATGATAATGTACATGTGTAGGTCCTCTTGTCCATCAATACCACAACGATTGAGGAACCAAAAAATAGTATCCAAAAAAAGTTTCATTCCGGCCGACCGAGTCTCCTTTTTGAGGGGTTACCGACCGGAAACAAGCCTATTTTTTGTTTTGGCCTAATAGTTAGATGCTCAGAATTTCACCACAACAACGCACATAATACTGACATATTTACACTATGCAACCTAGTAGTCAACAAATTCAGAAAAAAATCTAATACTTCAGCTGGTGAAATATCCCACCTCTATCCCCTAAGCTCAAATGTCCTTGTAAAATTGATAAAGGATTGGTAGATGCTCACTCGGAGTGGTGTTTGAAAAGTAACACAACAGGTCATGACGATTTAGAGCATGCTCAATTGTCTCTTCTCATAAAATCACAATATTGCCTGTGCGTGGTTTATTTCGGGTGCAATTGTGGGGCACATAGGTATCACTCTAATTTCTCGTGCATTCGAAAGATAAAGCTTTGGTCTATCACCCCACAAAGCGGCTTTAGTGTCCGCGATGGGTAAATGCCTTACCTGGTGTGAAATTGGTGACCATATTCCTCGTTTCAGCAATTACAAAAGTGAGACATTCGTCCTTGGTGGCTGGTCACGAACTGCAAGCTCCAAAATATTTTTCCAAGGTACGGCCATAGGTGTCTACATCACACCGAGCCATCTCTCCAGTGTAGGAAAGGTCTCCTGACGAGACTAGAAGGGCTCTAAGCAGCAAATTTCATTGAAATATTCACCATTCGGAGATAGGCGAAATCAACAGAAAACAAGCCCGCAGGTGCGGCGCCTTGGAGGCTACGATTCCCGCGAGAAAATGAAAATCGGTCTCTCAAGGGCCTTGGCGCACGGACTGCTTAGGCGGAGTGTTTTGCTAGTTCTTGAAGCGGATGTCATGATTGGCAGGATGTCAGATATTGGCTCTCCTTCTCCTTGACTGTTTTTTATCTCAATGCCATTTGGTTCCACGCGCACTTTTTCTTTGATGTTCTGCTTTCTCTGCTTAGATCAAGCAGCATGAACATGCTATGGCCAACGAACGGGCCCGATCCCAGACAGCTGAGGCTGAGTTCAACAGTAAATTGTCTGCAGCATTGGTATGTGTTGCAAAGTAGAACACTGCAAGGAGGAATTTTTTATTGTTTGGTGACAAACACATGATCATCACGTTGTTGTTGAGACTGAAGCACATTCCATTGCGAGTCATTTGATGTTGCTTTTTATCAGAGCTCTGGTATGCTGTATTACAGTGATCACCTTTGTACAATCTTGAGCCACCATGCAGAACATCTGTCATCCGCACTCTGTATCAAATCTTTTCATGTGTGTACGTGTGCATGCACGTGTGTGTGTGTGTGCGTGCGTGCGTGTGTGCGTGTGTGTGTTCAACTCGTTTTCTTTTCTTCTGTACTGACAGGAGAAGAGTAATCGCCTAGAGCAAACAGTACAGGATGTTGAACACCGAATCAGCTCGAAAGACGACCAGTTGCAGGCTCTGCAACTCACCCTGGATCAATATAGCACACAGCAATCGCAACTAGTCCAGGAGAGGGAGCAGCATGCACACACTGCCCAACAGGCACTGGAAAAGGTATGTATCCTTTGTCTTTAAGGAAATATTAGCTGCATCCGATGTGAATCGGTGGTTGGGTTGGTTTTCAGCGCCAACACGACTGTGGTGTGCTATGTGTTTGTGATTGTGTACTCATTGCAGCATGCCAAGCTGACTGAGGAGCACAAACAACTTCGCTCTGCACATGCAGCTGCACAAGATGCGCTAGCTCAGGAGCGAAGCACGGCGGAGACCGTTCGATCCTCATCAGTCGACCTTGGTATGTTTGAAGACGTTCAGTCCAACGTCAAGCACTACCAGGAGCTACTTGCGCAGACTGAGAAGCAGCTAGCAACACTTAAGGAGTCTCATCAGCGTGTGGTGAGTGCCCTAGAGCATGCTGTGGTGCCATGATGTTGTTTAAACTTGTTTCTGATCCTAGCTCAACGCTGTGAAATGTCAAAGCAGTGGTTGACATCGGAGTCCTGACAAACAGCGCTACACCGCTGTACATGTATATAGTGTGACTTCCGTTGTCGAGGCACTTCCGTCTACTGGACTGGGCCACGACTGTCCTGAGCATGACACGTATGCGATGTATCGTAGCAATGCGCTTGACAACAGCTAATTCAAACATGCATATGCAGAGCATGCCTATGCGTGCAGTCTGTTGCTTAGCTTCTTCCCAGCACAGGTGAAACCTGGTGAAGAGCTGTCCATACAGGAGACATTGCTCCATGTGACCTAATGTGACCTGAACGTGCAAGGGTCGCCCTGGGTTTCTGAGACCAGCTCTGTTTAAAGACAGCTGTAAAACTACGATAGGCAAAATTCGAACAATGTGTACGTGTATGGGTGGGTGGGTGGGGGGTGCGTGCGCGTTCTGAGTTGCGTGCAATTCTAAGCTTCAGTCAGCCCTGGTCTCAATGTGCCTCGATCGGGATAGTGAACTTCACATAAATGACATTGTACATGTACTTCTTTTGAAGTATAGAAGCAATTCAAGATGTGTGAGACACTGCATTGAAAAGCAGCTGGCCAAAAGAATACTTCACATGTATCCTTGGATAACTCAAACCTGTGGACAGTACTATTCATGAAAGGTGCTGTGTTGTGTATTTGTGTGCTTGATACGTGTCCTTGTCATTGTGTGTAGGTTGAATCACATTCACAAACCATAGCCGAAGAGCGTGCTCAGCAGGAGAAGAGCCGTGAAGAGTTCAGCACCCAGCTATCTAGTGCACAGGTGAGATGTGAACACGCATGTGCACACGCTCTCTCTCTTTCTTTCTCTCTCTCTCTCTCTCTCTCTTTTTCTCTCTCTCTCCTCCCTCCTGCTTCTTTCTATCTTTTTTTGAAGTAACTTGTAGAGCTGTTACAATGCTCTCGCACATATTCTGTACGATACTGTTGATTCCCCCCCCCCCCCCCACACACACACACTCCATCCTTTTCCCAGTTGGTTTGTGGAAGGGTGACAATGAGATCCAGGCTGCCAAGTGCAGCACGATGTACAATAACGCGAAAGATCGGACGTTCCATGCTGTATCGCACACAGTTCCTTCCGCAGCAATACCTGCACTGGCATGTATGGTGTAAAGCAGGGCATGCGTACAGTATTTTGCTGCACCCGCTGAAATCAGATCACAGGTGGAAAATCTATAGGGGCAGATCAACGGTAGTTTACGGTACGTACAGTCGTACATGCATATTACTTGTGTGCACAAACATTCACGAACAATGCAGCCTATATTTCTGGGACAGTGCGCCAACAACTTACTTGGATTTTCAACGCTGTTGAAATCCTCTCTGCTTGTACCATCATAGCATGTGGATGGTAAAGCATGGATATGTGTGCCTTTTTATTGGTACATGTATTTAACTTAGTGTGTGCTGGAGTGTGCATGCCTTGCTTATCAATACTTGTCAAGATGTACTGCTATATCACCTTTGGTGCCCTCCAGTAAACAAGTGATAAAAATAATAATTTGAAACTCGGATGTTGAGCCATAAATAAATGTAGAAGAGAAAAGGACATATCGATACGAGTTAAGAGTAACTCTCCATCACTGTAACATGATACTATATACAGTCAGAAAGTGCAATAACTAGGCACAAAACTGACAGAGTACTGAAACATTCGACGTCCTGACACCTAGCTTCAACACATCTCCGTAGCGCTAACCGACAACGGACTTGACTTATTGCACTTTCTGACTGTATATAGTATCATGTTACAGTGATGGAGAGTTACTCTTAACTCGTATCGATATGTCCTTTTCTCTTCTACAAAAATAATAATGCTCATCTTTGTTTGCTTTATCGGCTCCTTGCAGAACCAGACTGAGCGAGTTGCAGTGGAGCGAGATGATCTGCAAGCTCAGCTGACCAAGGCCAACGAGATGTACTCTCAGCTCAGGGACGGCAGCATGACGCCTGAAGAGCAGGAGAGACAGCAGCGCGAGTCCGATCGCCTCCGCCAGCATCTACTGATGGTACGCTGCATGCAGATTGAAGTTTGATTGTCTCTTGAACTACTACTCCAAACTCTTAGTGCAGTGGAGCATGACACAAGTAACCACTTCATTTGGGTACCACCAGCCATACCCATTGACTTCACTTTTCTATGCATCTTTGGGTGATCACACACTGCAGGTGGAAGAGCAGCACACACAAGATCTTCTTGATGCAGAGAAAGTCCAGGAGGATCTCCGCGAGGAGCTACGGGCCGCTCAACAAGCCACCGACACTCGAGCGCTGTCTGCAGAAAGTGATATGTGAGTGATACCCTGCACTGGGCTTTGTCTCCACTGTGAATGCTAGCTGTGCCCGCTGCGTTAGCTTGAAATGCAACTTTTTCCTTTCGTGTTTCATTAGGGTAATTGGAGACCCCGGTTGGTGCATACGTTTTCATTGTGTGAATCCGCATTCTATCATAGTTACTGCCCCTGGCCCCCAAAGTGTTTGGCCTACACGTACTAAGACTTATACTAGCTTGTCTAGGTTTTGATTGGTGCCGTAAAACATATCTACTGCTCTGTCACTTGCTTTTCTTAGATCACAATGTCACCAGGACATACAACTTCTCGAGCAGAAAGTCAGTAGGCTATCTGAAGAACGCAATCTGGCCATGCAACAGGCCATGGACGCTGAAACTACGGCAGAGTCCTCCAGTTCTTCTTTGGCACGTCTCCAGCTGGTTCTGGAGCAGTTCCAGAAAGGTAAGTTTGTGCATGATGTATTGGGGTGTGTGGAAAGATGGCATGTTACTGTGTATGCTCATTCACAACCTCATCAGCTTTGTCTGGTTGTATGTTCTTCATACTCCAAGATTAATGCCATGAACCATGTCTTTTTTTGAAAAGTGTTGACATTAGAGAGGTTCCGTATAACGTAGAAAACGTAGTCGATCTACGGAAAGTCTTACGTAAACTGCATGCGCATCTGTGTTCCGCCATACGGAGTCTTCAAATCACGTAGCTGCCCTTGGCAACTCCGAACGCGGCAGTGTACGACCAGATCGACCTGGGGAGAGAGTCATAAATTTGTACCCCAATCCACTTACGGACCAGCTACGTTATCAGAGCCCTATCTACGTACTCTACGTAGACAACTTTCCGTAAGTGGAGTGCAAACTCGCGAATTCACTGGTTTTCCCCGTCCACTAACGTAAAGTTGCTCAATTTTACGTAGTGCGGAACCTCTCTATTGTATTACGCTGTGCGACTAACCTCAGGTGTTTGGATTTTCATGTGTATTTGTGTTCAGAGCGAGATGAACATGTTGCCAGTGCGCTTGAGCCTCTTGAGGCAAAGTTGCAGAGTTGTCATGATGAAATTGATGACTACAAGTCTCAACTGGCTCAGCTACAGGTGAGTAGTGTCCATGTTGCGTATGTGTGTGCACAGCACTGTGTATGCGTGTACAGCATGGCCTTTGTAAGCATGTACAGCATGGGCTAGGTATGTCACATAATGTGTGTTCAGCATGGACTGTGTATGTGTGTTCAGCATGGACTATCGTCTATGTATGCGTATGCAGCATGGACTGTGTATGCATGTACAGCATGACCTATGATGACAGTGTAGTCCCTAACTCCAAGAGTATGCAGCTCTGATCTCTGAGCTACGGTTGCCCTGCGAGGTGCAGGTGTGCCTGGAAGCTGGAAACCTTAGGTGATCAGTGCTGATGCAACAGTCTAGCAGATTCCGTAGTTCATGGCTAAATAATGTGGTCACCATGTCCGTCAAAATCTCAGGGTTGCATTCTCTTGGGTTATGGACTCTGTGATGTTGTTGGTTAAATTGCTGTAACTTGGTGTAACTTGGCACCACAGACGGAGAGGTCTAACTAGGTGCAAGCAATCAGAACAATATAAGTCTCCCACCACGTATGCATTTGCACGCTCCGTTCCACTCTTGTTCTTGGCTTGCAGTCTTTCTGACGACACTACATATGTGCAGTTGAGAGCAAGGTACCACACTGTCCACAATTCAAACGTGTTAGAGTCCAACTACAACTTCAGACACATTCAACGTACTCAACGATGCCGGGAATGCTCCTGATCCGGTTTTTGTGCTTTTGTTGTGGTTATGTACGCGTGTAGGTCCGACTGGATGAGATGTCGGCTCTCCGTACTCGCTTACACACAACTGCTGATAGTTTGGCTGCAAAACGGTCGGAGCTTGAAGGCGTACGAATAACATGTGAGTGATTTCCATTGATGAACACTCAATCGTATAGAAGTACTTCTTTCGGGTAGTTTGCAGTAGTAATTTGTTGACTGTAGCATGTTTTTCAACTTTTGGCTTGCTACAAGTTACCAGACACCCCTGTCCACGAATCTTCAATCTTCTCTTTGTTACTTACTTACAGCTTGCACACTGCTTCTACTGGGTGTAGTGTATGGTATTTTCTATTACTTCGTATCAGTACGCAGAATTTTCTTGTGCTTACATGATTTTTGTGCTCTGCCGTCTTCGTCTTGATGCCCAGTACAAGACAGTCAAACTGCGCTGGATGTCAGTCAAGAGAAGCTTCACAGACTTGCGGCAGCAGCAGAGGGCAAAGTAGACATGTAGGTCTTTCCCGAGTGCTGCTTGTGTTGCATCTTTTTAAATTGTGTCAGCTTGTAAACTGTGATGTCTTATCTGACCTATGGCCAATGAGAGGTATATCATTTGACTGGTTCATAGAATAATGTTGCCCTGATCTTGCGTGTTGCACATCGATATTAATGGTACTCTGCAAGTACAAAGAACGTGTACTTTCGTCAGCTGTTGTACCAGAATAGCGTGTACCATATCTACAGGCACCGTGCATGAGTATTACTGATCGATGTTACATACTAATATGCAATCCTGCCTGTTGGATGTGTGTGTGTGTCCATATCTTATGCAGCAACCTTGTACGCAACCTGCTGCTTACATACCTGACGGCATCTGCAGAGAAGCGACATGAGGTCCTGCGCCCAGTCGCCAGTATTCTCGGTTTCTCAGGCAACGAGATGGCAAAGGTATGTGCTGATAATTGCAGTTGATTTGCTCCCTCTTCTAGTATTTAAAAAAAATCTTGTTGTGGTTTGCTGCAGAGTGGACGGTAGTTCCACACTACTCTCTGTACTGTTTGGGGATGAGCCTGGGGAAATGGCTTACCTGTTCCTTGCTAGTCTATTCACATTCTGGGCACTCTTGCTGTGTTTGGTTGTGCAACACCCTTTCCGACTGAAGCATGGTGTCAGACTAGGCTGCATAGCCAACCTGCTGGTGTTTGTGACTGTCCTTTATTGTTATCAGGTAGCGAAGCAGCAGAGCTCTTGGCTGGGATCTTGGTTACGTGCGGATGGCAAACCATCAGGCACAGCTGTACCATCTGATGTAAGCATTGGTTAACATGTCTGTGCTGTTTGTGTTAATGGGTAGCTTTGCTACTGAGCTGTCCAACCCAGCTGTGCATTGTGACAGTTCAAAAACATCAGTGACAAGGTCCTACCCAATATTGTTACTGCCTAGTAGTGCCAACGCATAATTATATCGGGCAGGGATTATGGATATACATTGTGGTGGTGTGCACTATCCTGATAATCCAATGAATATATATGGTGTCTCCTTTCTGCATCCTACATAGACGACAGTCTGATGGTGTATACATGTATCTCTGTCTATGTTTACACAGAAAACTTTCACGGAGCTTTTTGTTGAGTTCCTGGAGGCTGAATCGACTCCGGCTGCCAATGCCGTAGCTCCTCACGAGATCTCAGCAGCCGCCATCAAGGATGGCCACATCAGCACATCTCGCTTGCCTGCGTCTGCATTTGCGAACAGTTCTCTGCCGCTGTCGTCTGATCGCACTGATCAGCAGTCTTCCTTACATCTGTCACTCACTAATGCCGCCACTCCACCTGCTGAGTCGCCATCAATGACTTCAGCAGCTGCTGCTGCTGCTGTCACTCAGCACACTACTCAAATGCCCATTGCCTCAGCACCAGCAGTGCCACCTCTTCCCATTGACTCTCAAGTTCAAGCTCCAGAGAGCAGCACTACAACCAGCACAGCAGCTCCTGCAGCAGCTGACAGCAGTGTGAATTTAGCAAAGCCCCCGATCGCTGGCACACCAAGCACAACACCGACTAGCCAAACAGACGCCCTGCGTACCATTCTTAATCCTAGCCCATAGGCACCTCGCCTCACCTGCTCAGCAAACCGTGCAAAAACATCAGGTGTTGTAATTTTTGCTTGCACGAAGTGACTTCCTTTGTGCTGGTCACGCAGGCATGCTGATATCATGAGTTATCCACTAGGACATGCTGAAGTACTTGACTTGCAGTCATCTGCATCGTGAGGTGAGAATGCACTGAAGTATTCCAGCATCCAGTACGCTACCAGGTAGTCAGGAGCACTGTTTCCCATACAGTGCGTCCTCGCCTTGTTCACGCTGTCACCGTGAAAACATGTGTTTGCTACATGTAGGGCAGTGGTTTTTTTTAATAATTATTATTTGCCTATCCCAGGCACACAATCATGTTTGTTCCAGCAAGATTTTTTGAGAAAGCTTATCTATTTCCTATTAATATTTGCGATTATACGTACTTGTGAACTTGAGCTACTGCGCGGGCTGTAAGTTGCTGTTAACCTCATCAGTCTACACTAGTAGAAAAAAGCATTGTCTGAACCTTTCTTTTTTTTGTTTTGCAATGATTGTAGTGTTTTGTACATTTTTTTTTCTTGTGCAGTTCAAGAAGTAGCTTTGCTATTGGCCTGGTGCCATATTGTCATCATGTTGTATCACTGTCACTATCTCTAGCCCACGCTTCCGATGGAGTTGAACATGATGTCATTACTGCATGTAGGCCAGCAACGACAGTAACAAGCGCTACGTCCCACGTAGGGGGCGGCACACAATTCCCCAATGACAGTCTAGTAAGGTTATAAGCAGGGAGTAAGTATTTTACTACTCCCTGGTTATGACTCTTGGTTATAAGTACAGGTATATCTTGAGTCTCAGCTTACAAAAACTGTCACGGGCACAGGTGGGTTGAATCCCATTTAAACAACATCCCTTCCTAGACAAAGGAATTATGATGCCGACAGTAACTAGGGCTGTGTTTACATGAGAAATTTCAACCCGGGTCGAGTTCAGCCCGGGGTTGAAAGTCTGTACGACAGACAAAAGAGGTGAGCGTTTACATGAAGACAGTTGACCCGGGTCAAATACTGATATGCCGCCGAAAGTCCACTTCTACAGTCCTGTATGGTCACAACAACCCTCCCCTGGGGGGGGGGGGGGGGGGGGGAGGGTTGAAATCAACCCGGGTCAAGCGCAATGCGTCATGTAAATGCGCCATTCATTTTGTGCACATGGCGGGTTGAAATCTGACCCGGGTCGAACTCAACCCGGGTTGAAACGCCTCATGTAAACACAGCCTAGGTTATGCATGATAATTATAGTCTCCTGCTCAATTGCTCAGTGTCTTGGGTGCAAAGAATCAGGAGTAAACATCGGGCACGAGCAGCGGCATGTAATGCATGTCCGCGACCAAGAGTATCCATGTAATCTTGCCACGCTCGATAGCCAGCAGAGCAGAATTGCAACAACTAGCAGTAGGAAAACTCAAGCCTGAACGCAATGAGAAGCACAACAAGTGATCTACTAAAACATACAACAACTGTAGTAAAGGGATTATCCAGTATCCATACCTAGAGCAGCAGAATGTGTGAAGCATAACAGACTAGGTCAGCAGCTATGCTACAGGTGATGCACTCTCCAAACAACAAGAGTCATCACTCCTCATACATCAGCAGCATAGCAGTTGTAAGGATCATTTGCTTGCCCGGATTACGGACACCGAGGTAGGTGCTCAGGTGTTCTCGTATTGAGCTCCAGAGCACATACTGACATAGTTAGGACAAGATGAACGGATGTGACCATACACCAAAGAAGAATGGTGGAAGAATCTGCAGTCCAGCTACACTGTTCGTTCTGTACTTCCCACGAGAGAATAGAACATATTCATTGGACATCTCGACCTCGGCATCCATACCATGTATATACTGCTGTCGCCGCTATCGGAGTGCAGCAAGCTGGAATATGTCGATGTTGGCGAAAACATTGGCTTTGATAAATGGTGGTGGTAGACAGACATGGGCATACATTCCACCGTGGAAAGTTGACACCACACATCTTGGAGCAGTCTTTCAGTAGGAACTGTGCATGGTTTGCCTCATGTGTGCGCTTTCCATGCCAAATAGGAGTTCCAGCCAAGGGCAATAACATTCACGAATGTAACTCTGTACCAAAGAAGAAAGACAGGCAACCAGGAGTTATCAGCCTAGAGTATTCACTATTCATGAATGTAACACTGCAAACATGTGTGTGCGTGTGTGTATGTTACAAAGAGAGAGAGAGAGAGAGAGAGAGAGAGAGAGAGAGAGAGAGAGAGAGAGAGTGTGTGTGTGTGTGTGTGTGTGTGTGTGTGTGTCTGTCTGTCCCTCACCGGTGCTGAAACGGAATGATGTAGAAGTTGAGCATTTGAACACCCGGCCAAATCTGCAAAGCAACACAAGAGAGCCAAGAGCTAGTCAAGTCAAATCACAGGAGTGATACTAGTACAGGGTATACCATGTACCAGGGATAGCGCAGATCGTCTGCAATAGTTACAAACTGCGTCATGGTTATCAATAAATGGGATCATTGGCACGCTTATGATACGCAAACAAAGCAACATAGTTGGTATAATTATGATAACATTTCTGCATCACAATCACCAGCGAAAGTCTTGACAATACATGGAAATGAATTTTCTTTACTGCTTGCTTGAGACTCAGTCAGATAGAATTCTTCGGTTTTCGTCGTGTCGTTTGGAACACCACCGCCGACTGTCAGGGATCAAGGTGCAGATGAGTAACAGGAGGAGAGTAGTTCAGACCCACCACGAAAATCCCACTCACTGCATCCATGCACTGGGAAAAATCACAGCATGGCTATTGGGGCACAGGATGAGGAAATACGCAGGCAAAAACAAACGAGAAGCTGCAAATCCCCACGCCGCTTTGACTCACCATGTAATTGGTTTTCAGAGCTGGTATGTAGTCCTATTATGAAAATAAAGACAAACCAAGTAGCGTGCGCACACGCACACACACACGCATACACGGCATTGTTTGTTGCAAGAGCCCCACATCAATTTGCAAATGTACATGCTGGGGAATACGAACTTCTGAAACACATGCAGAAGATGATTTATGACTGCTGCTGGTGTACAGTGTACTTATACGCCAAGCAGCAATGTCAACATCGGATTTTCTTCAAATGTGTGCACCACTCTTGCAGGTCAGTTCCAAATTCCCTTCCTTTCAGCATAATTATCCCCACATAGGCACTCGTGTAACGTTACATGTAGTCTCATCCCATCCCCTCTCCCTCTCTTGTTCCAAAACAAGGCAGGACATTTACGTTCAGAGTGAGGAGTGTTTCTCCAAATCCTGTGATTCAGCGGAATGCATGTACATGTACATGGGATTGCCTTGAGCAACTATCACAGTGCAATTCGGTGCAAGCAATTACTACTAGCAGGTCTTTTCTCAGACGTGAAGACCGTACGAATACTGGCGCTCTTACGTTCATGTAGCGACCGTGAATCTCTTGCCAGCTCTTGCCCTCCAGCACTCCCAGTATGCCAAAGAAGCCAGCCAGGAAGGTCGGTGCAAACAATGCCTACAGCACAGCACATCACCACAACAACCAAAACACTCCATTGTCAATACTAAATAACTCATTGGTACAGTTTGAAAGGATTGAGATCAACAGAACCAGCTGAATCAACATAACATTGACAGCCATTCTACAGCAAATAAAGTGCGGCTATCACACTACACCATCACTGGCCAGAACTAACCTGATCAAGAACCATCTTCTTCAAAGGAGCTGCAGTAGAAAGCACATGATGCAACACAAGTCATGTTATTTAGTATTTACACATAAACTATGACAGGGCCACCTAGCCCGTAACGTGCAGCCAGGATCTAGAGCCTCATGAAATCACGCATCCAGAGTGCACAGCATTCAACTCCCGGCCAAGGCGGCATATCAAACCATACAAAGGGGTACATCTAGAGCCTGATGAAATCACGCATCCAGAGTGCACAGCACTCAACTACGGCAAATATGGCACATCAAACCATACATCTACGTCACTGCATGACTTGGAACAGTCTAATGTCTGCATGCAGCTGACAGGTTACTGTCATGTGTGTGGATACAGGAAAGACACAGTGAACAACTGTTAGACATACCCATGGCAACATTGGCTGGAAATATCCGCTCCAGTGTCATATACCATCCGCGCAGTGCAGGTGCCTGGGAATAAAAATCAACAGTATCAAACAAAAAACTCTTCACACCTTCACTCCTACATGCAGCACCCATGAAATACCTGCACTCAGTCCACCCTCGGGATCGGGATGTCTTCAAAGCAACAATGCACAGGTGGATCAAAGACTAAGCTTGCAGCCATTGCAGTTATCACTGAGGTCCCTGCGTGTAGCAAGCCAAGCAGATCCCAGGGGTCCAGTAGGATAACACACACAACAAGGAGTATGGTGACAAGTCAGTATGCTGGTCAGAACATGTTTACAAAATAAAAGCAAACGCTGCTTGTTAGCTCGGATGTTGAGCCACAATAATTATTAAAGAAAGAACGAGTGGTACGATTTATGAGTAACAATCAGGTGTCAGGTCACAGTGCTTCATGCCAGTTCGTACTTTCTGGCTGTTCGTTGTCTGGTTCAATTGGGCCACGTCGGCGCCGGGAGGCATATGCGGTGGGTGGGCCCCCGGTCGGCCCCGATGCCAAAGGAGATCACGTGCATATTGTTTGAGTGCCGCTGTACTGCCGCTGTACTGCCGCTGTACTGCCGCTGTACTGCCGCTGTACTGCCGCCTAACCTACTACAAAGTACAGTGTAGTACAACAATCAACATGTGCCTAGCTAAGACAGGATTGCCAATTGGAGCATGAATGCAAGAAGAACGGGTTGGTATGCTGACTAATTTGCCACCTTGAAGCGACTACAAGAATGAAGAGCGGATCTGATTCTTAGCCTCAATTTAGGAAATTTTAGGAAAAGTCCTGGGGGGTGTTTGGTTGGCACGATCTAGAACAGGATCGGACAGCTGGTGCACATGGAGCAGCCTCATGCCAACCAAACGGCACACCAGAAACTGAGCACATTTGTGTGAAAAGTGTGCCAAACTTGGTGCATTCTTCAAAATGTGTACGGGTCACCTTGGTCACTTTGTACGGTACAAGTCACCATGGTCACTTTGTACGGTACGAGTGCATGCCAAGTCCAACCCAAAAGCGTATACGCGTATGCACGTGATCATTTGGGACCAAAATCGATGTTCCCGCCAGGTTTCACTGTGAAAAAGTGAAATTGCTGGGTCTGCTCCGGCCTAGAGGCCAGAGCAAGCAGAACAGGTTCTATTCGGGCCGACCCAGAACAGCTGGTGCACATGGAGCAGCCTCACGCCAACCAAACGGTACTCCAAAAACAGAGCATATTTTTGTGAAAAGTATGCCGAACTTGGTGCATTCTTCAAAATGTGTATGTATATCTGTGTACGGTACGACGAGTCTAACCCCAAAGCAAAATATGCTCTGATTTTGGAGTACCGTTTGGTTGGCATGAGGCTGCTCCATGTGCACCAGCTGTTCGATCCTGTTCTAGATCGTACCAACCAAACACACCATAAGTTATAACTGCAGTTGGATTCCCTTCTTTTTTTTCTAAATATTCAGGGGCTGCGCGAACGCAAACCCCCTCTACCAGAAATTGCGCACCCGACTTTCCCACGTTTGGGGAAATCGCAGGCTTCAGCCCCAACTGACTGCAATGGAGGGGCCTCGACCTGAGGGAGCCGCCTGGTTGATCACGGCGTCCCCTGTACAAGGTAAGTATGAAGAAATATCAGCAGAAATGGTGCTTTAGGTGTGGCAATGCTCTCAGGGGATACAGTTACAATCCCCTAAGGGAAAGGCCATTTACACATCTATTCATGCTTTGGTACGCTGCTTAGGTTACTAGTATCCTATAAAAGCAAACATAATTAGATTATACATGTACGACATACAGCGGCACAGGTTGCCATAGAAACGCCGTCATGAAGTGAAGCCATGGTGATGTGAGGTTTACTGACTTGTCTCTACCTGTTTGCTCCTCATGTACATTCAAAAATCACAAGATGGCAAGCCATATTATGATAAACACGTATACCATTTCCATGAACACAGGAGGGCTTGAAACTTGAAAGTGGTATTTCACAGCCAAGATACGGCTAGAGTCATGGCAACGGGGATTTTTGAAACCACTCGGATCCAGTTTTGTATAGATCCGTACCTGTATGGGGTGCTTTCCTTCACATTATGGTTACATACCGTAGAATCCTGCGGATAAGCCCATGGGCTTATCTGTTTCACAAGGACATTTCGGTGGGCTTATACAAGAACATGGGCTTATACGCGGGCATGGGCTTATACGCTGACACCAAAATTGTGCTATTGAAAAGTACCAAGGAAGTGAGAAGTACATTGCTGAAAGCCACTGTGCAAACAAAAACAACCGATGATTGTGTTGAAATGTACAAAAAAAACAACAACCTACAATTGTACAAAAGTCATGTAGATCTTACTACCTACATGTACATGGTACAACCAAGAGTCCATAATTTATGGACTCTTGGTACGACTTAGGCCCATGGGCTTGTACGACGAAGCCTTGTGATGTTCGAACTTTCCCTGGGCTTATGCGCGGGCATGGGCTTCTCCGCGGGATTCTACGGTATTCACCGGCACTGACCAGACATGGCCTTCCTGACCGGGAATCCATTGTCGGTGCAGGAAAACGTCACTCCAACATACAACATGAGGGGCCGGCCCAACCATCAGACACCGTACTGCTAAGGTCAGTTTGCAGCCTGATTTGAACGATATCCAGCAGATCCGTATGCATTTTCTTTGCGCGTGCCACAGCGTAGAGAACCTCATCTCCTGGTAGAAATCTGAACCCAAAACACGTGAGGCTGCAGACTCTAACCCACACACCTGTTCTCTACGTGATTTCTCTACGTTTCACGTATAGCAAAACAAAAAATCGAACAAAGTTTCGCGACGGGCCTTGCGAAAATGTGTACGAATTTTCGAACAAACTTTGTGTTCTGCACATTTTCGTAGTTTGCACGCGCCGCGTGCACGTACGCCATGACCCGATCTCACGAAACTTCCCACGGAAGTTCATTTCAGGTTCACTGCAAGTTTCGTGTTCAAGTTGCAAAAGTTCGTGCGAAATTTCTCATTTCATGACGTAGAGCGAAAGTTTGTACACGTTTTCGTTTTGCAGAACCTCTCTAATGCCGGTATTTAAAAATCAACTTTTCGCTTTATTGAGAAGTGGGTAGGCACAGTGAGCGGTGATGTTAGGTGAGGCTGGGGTGTAGTCGCAGAGGATCCATTTTGGAGCTACAGTTTCACTCACATGCTCAGCATGGGGTCTGCTTCTACACCATCAGTGGTGGCTGTGCCACATACAATAGTCTGCGGGCCTCAGGCACACGTGATCAGCAAATTCCCGAACTGTCTTCCGATGGCAAGACTAGAGCTCTGGACAAGTACTGTGCATGTTGTACTGAAGTATGACGATGAATGCGGCAAGCCAATGCACAGAGTTCTACTCCTCGACCATTCGATTTTAATCCAGCCAAGTTGACTGCGCTGCATCACTGTCACGTCCAAGTGTACATTGGTACTAGTAGATGCACATGAATTTCCAATGTTTGTCATGCTTGGACTATACAGAGTCCAGTAGTGCTATGTTCATGAAGGTAGATGTCACTGACCCCCCACTGGACTTACAGCAACACAGAATCCAACACCAGTCATGATCGCGGAGCGTCGCCACTGGTGCCCCGATGTGCCGCGCCGCTCAATGGCTTGCTGCGCAATCACATCTCCTGCACAGAATAGAAAACCTGACAAAACAGATAGACACAAGCACACGGAACGAATGCACCGTTAGCGAGTTTCTTTCTTCAGCTTCATAATGTGAACACAGTCGCCCCTCTTTACTCCAGCACTTTATAAACCAGCACCCTAAACCATCATAATTTTCAGAAACGAAAATGTCCTCTTCATGCACATTGCAACAGTAATCAGATTTGCTGATCCAGCACCCTCCCTAATCCAGCGGAATTTCTGTAGCACAACTGGTGCTGGATTATAAAGGGACCACTGTATACCACTATAAAAAAAGTTGATGCAGGGTCAGTGTTTATTACAGCCTGCTTTACAATGCTTAAACTGGGTCATCTAAAACAAGGGGTAGGAAAGCAGCCGGGCTCTCAGCTATCGCTCAATTATTCAAATCAAGCAATGGACGACACCACTTGACGTACTGTTATACATGCCATTGACTTTCAGCCAGTCCCACCACAGCTCGGACATGCACGAGTTTGGGTTGTTGGGGCGGGAGGACGCATGCAGGACTGAAAGCTTAGTACTTTGTGTACTGGTGGTGGCGGGGGTGGTAGCGGATGGGTTATGCGATATTGCTTCGTTCGGTGTTCAGTGAAAGACTTTTCATGGCCTCTTGATTTTGTGTTGTTTTGCATTTTCCTTGGCAACTAAAGTTACTTTTGTTGCATTATTTTGGCTGCAGTATTCTGTGCACTGCACCCTAGTAATAAACATTGACGTCATTGTCACGTGTGTGACTATGTATTGTATTGCAGAAGCTCATATGCTGCCAAGATGTTTGCCTTTCTTGTTCAGTTCTCAGTTTTGTCTCGTCGTGTACTGTCTTCTTTTATTCGTCTCGACCCTTCCACATAGTCATTAGTCTAGCATGGCGTCATATATTTGTCTCAATTCAGTGTTTTCCGAATAAAAAAATATAAAAAAAAATTCGTCTCCGTCGTGTCCTCTAGTATGTAGAATTTTTAGTTCGTCCCATGTTCTAAGATGTGTCTGATGCATTGGGAGGCTGGGGCCCTGACGACCTGGAGTAAGTGTGCGTGTGCACATGTTGGCGATCACGCCAGGATAGTCAGGGTGTCAGAAGCAATACCAGTATCACATAACCGATCCGGGACAGGGGGATTCATTTGACGATCCAGTCACGACAAATATTATAACCTTCCACCAATGCGACGACAATGCAACCGTCTACACTTGTATCTCTGAAACCAAAGGGTGACGAGTTCGCCAATAAAATTCTCACGATTCAGTTCAATAATCTACTCTTACCTGTTGTGACCGCTTGTGTTGTCCAAGGCCGCTTGGAGAGCTGGCGAAGATATAAATCTAATATTCGCTTCATTTCCCTGAAATTCTTCTTCACTTCGTCTAGAACTAACTAACTTAGAAGCAAGTAAGTAAGTTTTTGGAACTGGAAGGCAAGAAAGGAACTAGTTGTAGTTGAACAAACAATAATCAAAATCTTGAATCACGATCGCTGCTGAAAACATTGCATAATGAATCGTCGTCACGTGCGCTAACACTTTCCTTTTTGAAAATCTTCCCGCGAAATGTTAAAAATATTTTGGTAAAAAGATCTGGAGAGCATGGCCGGGTTAGAGGAAAGATATATATATGGCGTTCGAGTTTCGTCCAAAAAATAAATCATTTCCGCGATTCGCTGGAGAAAAGTTGTTGTGGACTCGATGATTTTGCTCCTTGAGAAAGTTTGTAGGCAGGCTCGTAAATGTTGAGGCTGCTGTGAAAATCTCCTTCACATCGTCCGTCGGAAGGAGTGAGCTGCCAACGAGGCAGCTGCCTGCTGACTTGCAGCCATGGCGGAACAAGCTGCTCAGCGATACCAGTACGAGTACCAAGCCGTAAGTTATCCTCTTGAGAATTTTACATACTTGAGAATCACATTGTATTATATTGGCATATCCGAAAAATTGTTGGTCCACCCCTGCTTGTTTGATGCACTACAGACTTCTAACCTTGTACTTAGTCACGACAGGAACCTTATTGACTACCGGTCTCGCAATGAGCCCACTGGTGAGGTTCAGTCGCTCACGGGGCATTTGGACGGAACCCGTATGGGTGATCGTTTCCACAGAAGCAAGGCACCATTGCAGAAAGATGAGGAAAGCGCAGCCAAGTGAGTGCCACTATGTTGTTTTTATGTACATGTATAGAAGTAGTTTAATATTAGTTGTTGTACAAGCCTCCGCAGCCTAGCAAAATCTCCTGCCGTATTCGGCTCATCTTTGCCGGCCTCTTTGTTCGTATCATACGGATGATAAGGTGGTTGCGGTCACCCGTGTTAAAGCCTTTAGGGGTCGTCGCAAAAGTTTTTTGTCGTCCCTGAAACGAACATGATTCATTTGGGGGGGAGGGGGTGCGAGCCAAAATCGCAAGTCGACCGACACTGTACATATGACATGTACATGCATGCGATTTTCGTCGTCCAGCATAGCAAGCTGTGTTCGTTTCAGAGGGAGGGGAGGGGGTCCAAGTACGAAATGAACGATGTTCGTTTCAGGGACGACAGAAAACTTTTGCGACGACCCCTTAGCCAATGTGTTCCCTCAGCCAACATACTTAACTCGTGTAGCCGTGCGTGTTTTAAGGTCTCAAAGGCAGAGCAGCCACTTCAGCCGCCTCTCGCTCTACTGGAACAGGTCATGCCGGACTAAGGAATAGCGGTCTGTGACAGCGGCGTGGACATTCATCATGCAGCAAAACCCAAGCAAGTTATCAACTAGTGCGATTCATCCAAGCAGCCTTCACCATCACCCATATGTTAGGTGTACATGTACTCGGCCACAGCAAGAGTTTAGGATATTTGCCGCTGCACCGGCTCAGCATCAACACAGGCATGCCTTGTAGCATTATTCCTTTCAGCAGCCAGGTGTTTGATGGAGAGCAATGCCGCGACACACACGTTTGTTCAGCCACTGGTGATGTAATCTGCTCTTTCAAAGCACAGCTGTGCACGACTGGATTCGCTGTGTCCATGTTAGTGTATGAACCGCGTGCTTCCATAATGTGTATGCTAAGTGAGGCGCAAAAGGTGAAACAGAGCTAATGAACTACAGTTTATGGTATGATTCAAAGTTACCATGATTCGAATGTGACTTGTTAGCGAGTTGACCACCTGTTACCAGCCGCCGCGTGGCCCACCTTCAAACTCGGGTCACAACACACGTGATACAAATGAGATATTTCGTAGTGAGGAGGAGTATTGGTCGAACATTATGGACATAGTTATGCAAACCTACACAAAATTCAGCAGCACATGTGCAGCATAGAAAAACATGTATTTCAAGTATGAGAAGAATGTATGAAGCCGACCTTTCGGCACAGAGCTGATAGTGGTGCGAAAAACTTGCCTCAACGCTCCACACTTGCAGTATGACATTTCTTACGTTGTACACGCACAAGTGGAATACAGCATACCATTGTCAGATGTACACGTCCGCCCTGTTTACTTGTATTTGTATTGCATTTGCATTGTACAGTCAGACCTCGCTTAACCGCACACATCCGTTTTCCACGAAAATATCCGGATAGGCGAGGAAACCGGATAATCGAACACAAATACTGTATGTATGCGTGGCATATGCTGTAAATCGTTAACAAGCGATTTTCTTCCGGATGGCGAGGGATCCGGATAAAAGAAGACCGGATAAGCGAGGTCTGACTGTATTTGTATTTAGGGATTCTCCACAGGCCTTGGCCTAAATCGGGAAAATCTCCGTACTTATACATATGCACCCACAGTCAACTGGGAACTTGTGGCCAGGCACAAGGGGTACATGGATGCAGCTAATGGGGTCGTTTTCGGCACTTGTGCCAGTGGTTGTGAGACTTATCCACTCACCCCCACCGTTAGGCGCTGCATCTGCCGCTAGGGTTTATCGGGTGTTAGCGGCCGTCGTGAGTTCCCTTTGGGAACGGACACGATAATTTACTTTTTACTTTTACTTAATATCGTGCGTTCTTGCCTTCATGCCATGTGGTCTCATGTATACAGGCGCGAAGCTCAGGCTGGCAAGAGCGGAAAGAAATCTAAGAGTACAAAAAAGGCAGTTGGTGTCCTTGGGCACGGTGATGATATGTCGGGCATCTATTATCGACCTAAGACAAGAGAAACTCGTCAGACATACGAGGTTCTTTTGAGCTTCATCCAAGAGGCTATTGGTGATCAGGTAAGATGCGAATTGCTTTCTCTCGTGTACACAATTGTTTGTTGTGATAATTTGTGCCTGTACATGTACCTGTTGCCTTTGCTTTGCTTTCTGTACTCACAACATTTGCGCCTTGGCCCTGATACTAGGGAGTATGTGGCTTTGTCTGCAGGAACGGCTCATTTCAGCTCATGCTGGAGTTTGCATGATATGTACTCTGTGTGCGTGCTTCATGCTTCATATGTTCCTTTTGTCTATACTCAGCCTCGTGACATTCTCTGTGGAGCTGTGGATGAAGTCCTAGCCAGCTTGAAGCAGGATCGTGTCAAGGTAGGTGACTGTTGGCGCATTACAGAAAAATCGAGGAATCGTGGAATGTTTTCAAGGTGACCGTGTTGTATCTTTGGCTGTGGCATTCCTGTCTTTGTATATTTTTGTTTAACTTTGCCATGTTTTCGCTATCCTGATTGTGCACAGGACCAGGAGAAAAAGATGGAGGTTGAGGCACTGCTGGGCTCCATGAGAGAAGAGCGCTTTGCATTGCTGGTGAATCTGTGTAGGAAAATCACCGACTATGGAACAGAAAAGGAGCACGTGCAGCCGGGTATGTTTCGTGAGAATTATCAACTTCTGTTCAAGTATGAGACTGTTTTGAATTCGAGCGAGAATGAAAATTTCCGTGTGCTGTTTGAGTCGGTAAAAAAGGGCGGCCAACACATGTCTAACATCACACGCTCTGTATAGCTGCAAACAATGTTCTGTCACTTGTTGCAAATCCGAATTTTCTCCTCTCACCATCAGCTCGCGCCTGGTGCCTAGTTGATGGGTGACGATACCTTGCTTGACAGGCTGGTGCATCAGCTTAGCAAGATGCGACAGAGCGTTGTTTGCAGCCAGACAGAGCGTGTGATGTTTGGCGTGCGTTTACCGCCATTTTACAGACTTTATACTAAGTCTATAGAGAGCTGAGTGTTAACCACTTTGCTGTTTAAGTCACTACACACAGAATTGGAGGTTTCTTTCCTCTGTCCATTTTCAGTTGACTGATGTGGATCAATGTCATGTTTTTGCTTGCCTTTTATGGGTCTTTTGTTTGTTTGCAGAAGAGGACCTGAGCGGTGAGCTTGGTGTGGCTGTGGTGTTTGGAGAGGATGAAGAAGAGGTCAGTGCCGGAAGGCTTTTGTGTGTGTTCACTTCTCATGCCCCTGTGTCTCTTTTCCCAGTATTCTTGTGCCACCTGCCAAGTCCTTACCATCATCTGCACACATGGATGCTCTACACGCATGACGGTCTTGCACTCATTTTGTGGTGTTGTGTTCTGTATGTGCTACCTTTTTGAGGGCCCTGTGCATAGCTGCTGTAGTAGTCGGTTGACGTTCGGCACCCCGTGCTCTTCTCTCTGTATACATTATGGTCTTGCAGGCTGAACCTCAGGAAGTTGACGTTGTCCGTGATGAGTCCGGCAGCGAAGAAGAAGAGGAGGAAGGCGACGATGCGGATGTTTCAGAAACCATTGCAGGAAAGGTATGAATGTGTTCTGTGTGGTGTAAAGCGCTGTGATGGTAGCAGTACATACATGTATATAGGGAGGATTGGCAGCTCACCTCAGTTTCCCAATTATTCTTTCTCAGTATACCATAATCCCATGCACATAAGAACATGTTTTTACAGTGCTGTTCTATAAAACCTGATTTCATGAATACATTGGCACATTTCGAGGTCAGATTTAATCTTTCTGCATGAATTAGTTCACCAGACACTTGCTTCCAGCATGGGCAATGAAATCAGTGTTCTGTAGGGGGGGGGGGGGGGGAATGGTCATGCAATGAATGAGAGTGAAGTGGCCAGACACTTTCATTTGCGAATCTGGCACTGAGACAACTTTAAGTGGCAGTGCTAGATGTGCAGTAGTCGGAGTTTGGGTGGTGGGATCTTTGAATTCCTTATGGAAAAGACTTTCCAGAATGCCCAGGGTGGAAATTGAGCAATGGAAACTGAAGTTAGACTCGGGTGGAGAGCCAAGGATTAATTTATAAGAAGAAAAGAGGACCAAAGCTCTGTAAGCTCTTGTAGCTCTTCGGTCCTCTTTCTTCTTGGAAACTGAAGTTTTGATAATTTGAAAGTATATTTTTTGTTGATTCTGCTATTGCTAGAGTGCTCGGTGGGGTCCCATGGCGGTAACATGGTTGTATGTGGGCTTTTTCTACTTGTGTGTGTGTGTGTGTGTGTGTGTGTGTGTGTGTGTTTCCCAACAGACGGATGGTGATGGAGACAACAAAGGTGACAGTGATGACGTAGACCCGCTAACCATTGATGCTTTCTGGCTGCAACGACAGCTGAACAAGTTCTATGATGATGCCGTGGTAAGTGTGTACGCCTGCTTGTATCTGCTCGAGAAAGTGTGCCTATGGACAGTATGCTGCACTGTTTTCACAAGTCCGCTTTTTATGCGTGCTTTCTGTTACGTAACCAGCTGTTGTTGCAACTACTAGTACACAGTTGTTCCAGTGACGTATTGCCCTGTGTGTGCGTGCGCGCGCGCGCGTGTGTGTGTGTGTGTGTGTGTGTGTGTGTGTGTGTGTGTGTGTGAAAAATAATGTGTCTTTCACGATATGTGTCGATACATCCATTGGTACCCGAATGCTGGTTGTTTTACTATCATGCTATTCTGCATTTGCTGGTCCTGTAGGCGTCTCAACGGAAAGCCACCGAGGTGCTTACCATCCTTGATGTAAGTCATATTCACTTATGCAGCTTAGTTATGCTTGAGTCCTTGCCAAATCCTTTGAATCATTGATCCGAATTTACACTTGAGTATACTTTGTCAGCCGCCATCATTACTGCTGTTGACCTGAAACACCTACCAATGACTCTATCCATTTGAGTCACAGGAAATATATTCCAAAATCTGCATATTTTCACTTTTTTTGGATCGTAACTTCAGTTCTACTCCTCAGTCTTCACTTTTGAATCAGTTGGCTTTCGTATGATTGAATGCCATTTCCAATGTAAAGAAGTAGTGATCCCAGTTGTGAAGGTACTTATGTGTATTTTTCTTTTGAACTTTTCACTTTGTAGAATGCAGATGATGACCGTGAAGCTGAAACCAAGCTCGTCATGCTCCTCGGCTTCGACAACTTTGACTTCATCAAGATTCTGCGAAAGAATCGTCTGAAGGGTATGGATTGCTGGCTTTGTATGACTAGTAATAGTAATAAAACTAGTAATAAAAAACTGTTTCAGTTTGTTCGGATCAGTGCCGATCACTGGCCAGTTACTCAACTTGTGTTGGAAGTCTTGATGCAGTGCAATTGCCAGTGTGTTATTGTCATGCTGCAGCAAGAATCTTCTTTTCGCACTTCCACTTTTTGTGTTGTTGAATGGTTTTGTGGATGCGGTTGGTGTAACGTTATTCAGTTGGCTTGTGTACGGATTTTCTGCAGTGTTGTACTGCACTTTGCTGGCTCGTGCTGCTGCTGGAGAGGAGCGCGAAATGATTGAAGCCAAGATGCAGGCTGACCCTGCTTTGCTGCCAATCCTGCAAGCGCTCACCGATATCAAGGCAGAGGATCTAGTTGAGGTTAGTTACTACTTCTGAAGTGAATTTTACAGAACTGGACTGTGGGCTGCTTGCTGTTTACCTGTATGCAATATTCTTGGTTGTCTCGATTTCATGACTATGTTGGCAATGAGTAAGATGCTATTACCTTGCCCATCTTCCTCTGCAAGTGTAAACTCTGACCATGTATACGTTGCTTGTGCCTCTGTTCCCGAATTGGAGAACGGGTCTAGTTATTTAAGCCTTTCATTGCAAATTGCTACACCGCTTTAGGAGCTGCATCTGCGCCTTGATCCTCGAAAGGTGGTGGCGTTCCTACGGATGCGGAAAACTCGGCCTCTAGCCGAATCTGACGCGAATCGTGATTTTTTTAGCAAATTGCTATGTTCTGATATTGTTGCTGTTCCGCCTCTCACGCTTGGTATTTTCACTTTGAATGCAGGAGGAACTTGACAGGAAAGCTGCTCAACGGAAATCGAAGATTGACGCCAATCTGGGAGCTGAGGACAGTGAACAGAAAGCGGTATGTACAAGTTTATGAGGCTCATGCCCTTTCAAGTTATTAGAGAGGTTCTGCTACACGGAACTACGTACCAAACTCCGTGTCAACTGCAGTGAAGTTTGATATGGGTTTTCATACGTTACGCCGGTTCTGCTGTGCGTAGCATGCTCTAGCATGCTCTAACTCCCCGCCACATGTACTCTGTCCGCTCAGTTTTCACACGGAGACCACGCACTTCACACGGAAAACGGTATGAAAAAATCCGTATGAAACTTGATCCCGTACTGCGGCGAGGTTTCCATACATATTTTGGTACATTTTACCGTGTGGCAGAACCTCACTATTGGTCTTCTGTAGCGTGCCTGGACGAAGCCCAAGCCACTTGTACCACACAGTGCACTTTAAACACTGCATGCCCGTGTGGATTCTTGTCGTCACAATGTATGTTTCTGTTGTGTGTTGCATGCTTGCGGTGCAAGTGGCATTCATGTAGGCGGGAGGGGTTTTGCTGACGCCATTCTACCACAGGTTGTGATGGTTGTTCAACTACATGTAGTAATTCCTTTCACCTTTTGGTGTTGTTTCATGTACAGTTGATGCGTGCTACCAAGGTTCTTGACCTGGATGGCATGGCCTTCCAGCAAGGAAGTCACTTCATGGCCAACAAGAAATGCCTGCTGCCTGATGGTTCTCTTCGAAAGACAAGAAAAGGTGAGATTTTTTTATATTTTTCTTCTCTCGCTATTCTACTCTGCTATCTACTACTGGCCTCTCACATTTGCGCTTGCTCTATTGATCTCATATCCTCTTGCAGTCTTGAGAGGCGATTAATGTGCTGTGCTGATGTGCAGTGGATTTCTTTCTGGAGTGAAAACTGGACCTGTGTGCATGTGCATTTGTGTTCTTATTGGTGTTCATCCATGGCAGGCTTTGAAGAAGTCCATGTTCCACCACTCAAGCAAAAGACGTGGGATGACGGCGAGGTAGGTGTTGATAGGGGCTTGTGGTTTGTTTTCTTCTTCACCATCCATGTCCTCACCTTGTCCTGTCCTGACACCTGTAGTCATTCGTTATGGGCGCTTGACCTAAACATTTGTGCCTCTAGTTGAATTACCTTGTGCGCTTGCAGATAGTGTTTTTTCCCCTGAAGGACTATTCATAGAATGCTGTAGACTCCAATGCAGCATCATATATACTGTGTCTTATATACTGTCTAGCACGATAATTTCGGTGCAGCGATATATTCAGTGATTACAGTAGAGTAACCAGGCACCTAAATCGAGATTACATCTAAAGGGCGATGGACTATTCACCATATGTAATGGGAGATACCATGCACCGTATACAAGGTTATACCCAAAGCCCCTTGGGCTTCTGACACCGACATTTCAGTATACCTAAAATTACTTGTGCAGTAGTAGAGAGATGGTGGAGGCTATCCATCGTGTATTTATAAAGTTGTGTGTATGTGCACGATTTGGTTTGTGTGTTGGTCTCCAGGCTCTGCGTGAGATCAGCAAGCTTCCTGAATACGCGCAGAAAGCCTTTGAAGGTTACCAATCTCTGAATCGAATCCAGAGTCGTCTTGCAGATGCTTGCCTGAACACGGATGAGAACATCTTGCTATGTGCTCCAACAGTAAGTCTGATTCATGAACTCTGTCTGTGAACCACAGTGGGATCATGTGCCGGACTCATATCTTTGTCCACATTGTTATCACAGCGCTGTCCCATGTTCACTGTACATTTCTGGTGTTGAGCAAAGAAATTGTGATCCGGTAGTGTTATGTATAAAGGCCAGGCTTATTCCTTTAGAAGCCGACATGAGGGCTGGGCTTCCGTTCAAATTATTTCTCTCTCTCTCTCTCTCTCTCTCTCTCGCTCTCTCTCTCTCTCTCTCTCTCTCTCTCGCTCTCTCTCTCTCTCTCTCTCTCTCTCTCTCTCTCTCTCTCTCTCTCTCTCTCTCCCTCTCTCTCTCTCTCTCTCTCTCTCTCTCTCTCTCTCTCTCTCTCTCTCTCTCTCTCTCTCTCTCTTCTGTGTGTGTGTCCTTTCATAGGGTGCCGGTAAGACCAATGTTGCTCTTTTGACCATGGTACATGAGATTGGAAAGCATCTCAACGATGATGGCTCCATCCGTCTTGATGAGTTCAAGATCATCTACATTGCTCCCATGCGCTCTCTTGTACAGGAAATGGTGCAGAACTTTTCAAAGGTATGTATCGGGTGGGGTCTAACATAAGCTGTCATAAGCAGATTATAGTTGTGTCATTGCTTGTGTCAAGATGACTTGTTCTTAGGGCATGTTCAATTGGTAGGATCGGGATCCCGTTCCACTGGATCCACTGGATTCGCACCCTTTCGATTGGTTGAATCCGGATCCGGATCCTTCGGATTCGGATCCGGTCAACTCACCTCGGGGAGCAGAGTTTACCGTATCCAACGGATCCAAATGTGACCTTTGTGCGTATATGGCGGGTAAAAATCATTTTTGTACACATTGTGGTATGCACACGTGGATCGAGATAGATCGTAACAGCCGTGATAGAGCTTGTTGACTTTTTGTACAACTGGCACGGTGAGTACGACTTTTTATTACTGTACTTCGTCAACATGGCAACAGTCAAGGCCCAAAAAAGTGTCCAGTTGACTCTGAAGGATCCGACGGATCTGAGATCTGGATCCCGATCCTTACCAATCGAACATGCCCTTAGCCTGCCAGACTCTT